GTCCTACAAAAACGTGTTAACACAAGGCGTTAATTAACAATCCCTACCCACCTGAACGTATTTTGTTCTTCCTCCCCCCTTCTCTCACCCCCCCCCCACCCCAAACCCACCACAACCCCATCTCCCGCAATACTGCTACTATCGATTCGGTTGAGAGAATTTACTGCCCGATATTGCCTGGTTAGGATGTGTATGTAGGTCAGTGGTGGTAGTGGTTTGTGGGGGGTGGCCACGTTTGATGAAGGTGGTTAGTGGGGGTGGATGAGTTTGATGAAAATATCCCATGTTTACATTAGCTACACAAAATATCCCATGTTTACAATAGCTACACAAGATATCCCATGTTTACATTAGCTACATAATATATCCCATGTTTACATTAGCTACACAAGATATCCCATGTTTACATTAGCTACACAAGATATCCCATGTTTACATTAGCTACACAAGATATCCCATGTTTACATTAGCTACACAATATATCCCATGTTTACAATAGCTACACAAGATATCCCATGTTTACATTAGCTACACAAGATATCCCATGTTTACATTAGCTACACAAGATATCCCATGTTTACATTAGCTACACAATATATCCCATGTTTACAATAGCTACACAAGATATCCCATGTTTACATTAGCTATACAATATATCCCATGTTTACATTAGCTACACAAGATATCCCATGTTTACATTAGCTTCACCAAACAAAATATCCCATGTTTACATTAGCTACACAAAATATCCCATGTTTACATTAGCTACACAAGATATCCCATGTTTACATTAGCTACACAAGATATCCCATGTTTACATTAGCTACACAAGATATCCCATGTTTACATTAGCTATACAATATATCCCATGTTTACATTAGCTACACAAGATATCCCATGTTTACATTAGCTATACAATATATCCCATGTTTACATTAGCTACACAAGATATCCCATGTTTACATTAGCTACACAAGATATCGCATGCATCCTTGCACAGAAAGTTTTTTCAACCAATCAAATTACACGGCGATACATCTAAAAACTTTTTGTCGCTTACATTGTCCTCATCCATTTTGTGCTCGGGGCGTTAATAAAAGCAAATATATTTTCCCATAATGCCCAGCAAATATATTTTCCCAGCATGCTCAGCAAATATATTTTCCCAGCATGCTCAGCAAATATATTTTCCCACCATGCCTAGAAAATATTTTTTCCCCGGAAACTCAAGACTTCCTTAGTTCCGGTGTTCTATTCATTGAGCTCCAGTTTTGTGGTCTGTCTGCCACTTATCTGTCCATCACTTACTTTCCCTTCCTTTAGTCGTATCTAGGCGACAATAGACAGACATCATAAGACACAATCTAGCAGACACCCAGTCAGACGAAACCAATGCACCTACAGTACAGTGTCACTGACAGACATGTTTAACCATAGACTAAACTTCATTTAGTTTTATTTCTCTTTTAGAAAATGTCTAACTTGGTAGTAATCTATGTAAATTTTAAACTAATTATGTTCTATAAAATATTACTAAAATGCTCTATAAAATATTACTTATAATTGATCGGCTTTACAGACCTCTTGTTAGTTGTGCTATAATTAAGACTTATGCCTAGATAAAAACATAGTGTCTTGAATATCCGACTTTATTCTGACAACCTTCTTCAATCGCTGGGATTGTGAAGATGATTTTTGAAACATTTTAGCCATTTATTTTAAGATATCTTCAATACAATGAATATGTATACATTTAATGAAATAATTATAAAAAGGTTGATCATAAATGAAAAATCTTATCGCTTCGCTACAGATTTAAGTCTCTGACTGAAATCTATTCTTATCAGTACATGAAACCGTCAGATAAGGTCTCACTAAAATCTATTTCTATCAGATTAGACCCAACTAACTGAAATCTGTGTCCGTATTTACCGCCAACCTTTCACTGTTTGACTCCAACTTTTGCCGATGATGTGTTTGTCTGAGATTAACTCGATCATCGATTCGATGTCTCCGACATTTTTATCGAAATATTTTGATCCGACTAGTCCGCGCAAGTTTTCGCCGCATTATTCAGAACTTTTATTTCTGTCAAAACCCAAACCTTAAGTCCGTAAATCTGGGCCAGCACTCGAACATAGCGGCCCTTTGAGACACGGACAACTCTCGGCTTAGAGTGAGGCGAGTTGTCGAACGTTAGGGTGGTGTCCCTTTAGTTGCATCTCTGTATTGAAAATATAACTCAATACAGAGTAGAAACTAGTTTGTTTATCTGAACATTTGTCATTCAGATGTTTATTTAGTTAAATGAGCATCTAGACTGGTCTATTTTTAACACGTTTTTATCAACTCAGCTTCGCGTGTGTTTGTTGTTAAAATTGACATCGAAAATTAGCCCACTTCTGATTGTTCTATAGTTCTGAAATTTGGCATGCAGGCTACTTTCGCCTAACAATTTCAGATGCAAACATAAAAACTAGCAATTAGAGACCGTAATTAGCTTAATTTAATTACGCCCAAAGGACCATAAAATTGAGGACATGATTTCTAAAGATACCGACAAGACTGGAGGCCTATTGACAGTTACTTCGGCCCCAATCGATGTGAGCGCGCTGGCCGTGATCGTATAGTGGTTAGTACTTCGCGTTGTGGCCGCGACAACCCAGGTTCGAATCCTGGTCGCTCAAGATTTTTAGTCCGTGTATTTATAAACACTTAGTCAAGTCATACTTAATCAAGTCATTAGATAAAGTAGAAAATAAACTATATAAAAAACTTTTTTAAAAACCACGTTTTTCATGTGTAGCAACGGACTAAAAAGGAGAAAATAAAATACTTAAAAAAACTTTTTAAAAAACCACGTTTTTCTTGTGGACTAAAAAGTAGAAAATAACTATTTACATACATTTGATGACAAAAAACGTGGGTCGGGCAGATGGGTCGGGAAATTTGATGGTGAACGTACCCAACTTTTTTGTCATCAAATGTATGTAAATAGTTATTTTCTACTTTTTAGTCCACAAGAAAAACGTGGTTTTTTAAAAAGTTTTTTTAAGTATTTTATTCTCCGAACAGTTTGTCATTCAGATGTTTAATTCGTTGAATGAGTATCTAGACTGGTGTATTTTATCCGAACAGTTTGTCATTCAGATGTTTAGTTAGTTGAATAAGCATCTAGACTGGTCTATTTTTCTCCGAACAGTTTGTCATTCAGATGTTTAATTACTTGAATAAGCATCTAGACTGGTCTATTTTTCTTTGAACATTTTGTCATTCAGATGTTTAATTACTTGAATAAGCATCTAGACTGGATTATTTTTCTTTGAACATTTTGTCATTAAGATGTTTAATTCGTTGAATGAGTATCTAGACTGGTGTATTTTATCCTAACAGTTTGTCATTCAGATGTTTATTTAGTTAAATGAGCATCTAGACTGGTCTATTTTTCTCCGAACAGTTTGTCATTCAGATGTTTAATTCGTTGAATGAGTATCTAGACTGGTGTATTTTATCCGAACAGTTTGTCATTCAGATGTTTAGTTAGTTGAATAAGCATCTAGACTGGTCTATTTTTCTCCGAACAGTTTGTCATTCAGATGTTTAATTACTTGAATAAGCATCTAGACTGGTCTATTTTTCTTTGAACATTTTGTCATTCAGATGTTTAATTACTTGAATAAGCATCTAGACTGGATTATTTTTCTTTGAACATTTTGTCATTAAGATGTTTAATTCGTTGAATGAGTATCTAGACTGGTGTATTTTATCCTAACAGTTTGTCATTCAGATGTTTATTTAGTTAAATGAGCATCTAGACTGGTCTATTTTTCTCCGAACAGTTTGTCATTCAGATGTTTAATTCGTTGAATGAGTATCTAGACTGGTGTATTTTATCCGAACAGTTTGTCATTCAGATGTTTAGTTAGTTGAATAAGCATCTAGACTGGTCTATTTTTCTCCGAACAGTTTGTCATTCAGATGTTTAATTACTTGAATAAGCATCTAGACTGGTCTATTTTTCTTTGAACATTTTGTCATTCAGATGTTTAATTACTTGAATAAGCATCTAGACTGGTGTATTTTATCCGAACAGTTTGTCATTCAGATGTTTAATTAGTTGAATGAGTATCTAGACTGATCTATTTTTCCCACGTTTTTTCTCCGAACAGTTGGTCATTCAGATATTTAATTAGTTGAATGAGTATCTAGACTGGTTTATTTTATCCGAACAGTTTGTCATTCAGATGTTTAATTAGTTGAATGAGTATCTAGACTGATCTATTTTTCCCACGTTTTTTCTCCGAACAGTTAGTCATTCAGATGTTTAATTACTTGCATGAGTATCTAGACCAGGGGCGGAACCACTATACCGCCAGACCCCTTAGTTCTACTGTAACTAACACCTACTGTTGCATAGAGATAAAAAAAAACACTACGAGAGCAGTGAAAGCTTGGCAAACCTTCAATCCACTTCCATGACTTACTGCTTCTCTTAAACGATTGTAAAAGAGTTGCGCATTAAGCTCGTTAAAATAGTTTTGTTCTAAGGAAATTTAAAAGAAATTTCTTCTCTTAGCTATTATTAAAATAAAGCGTACTAAAGAATGGCATAGCTATAAAGCGGATCTAGACTAGTTTATTTTTCTCTGAACAGTTTGATGAGGATGTGGTTGATCTAGACTAGTTTATTTTTCTCTGAATAGTTTGATGAGGATGTGGTTGATCTAGACTAGTTTATTTTTCTCTGAACAGTTTGATGAGGATGTGGTTGATCTAGACTAGTTTATTTTTTCTCTGAACAGTTTGATGAGGATGTGGTTGATCTAGACTAGTTTATTTTTTCTCTCACAGTTTGAGCAGGATGTGGTTGATCTAGACTAGTTTATTTTTTCTCTGAATAGTTTGATGAGGATGTGGTTGATCTAGACTAGTTTATTTTTTCTCTGAATAGTTTGATGAGGATGTGGTTGATCTAGACTAGTTTATTTTTCTCTCAACAGTTTGATCAGGATGTGGTTGAGCTGGACACGGCACTATGGATGACATACGGACAGAGGTGGTCAATGGCAAGTACACGGACGAGGAGAACAGTGACGCCTTCTCGGAGTTCCAGGGGACGGTCATATGGCCCAGACGGTGAGTAGTTCATGGGGGGGGGGGGGGGGGGTCAACTAGACCAGACGGTGAGTAGTTCATGGGGGGGGGGGTCAACTAGACCAGACGGTGAGTAGTTCATGGGGGGGGGTCAACTAGACCAGACGGTGAGTAGTTCATGGGGGGGGGGGGGGTAATATGCCCAGACGGTGTTCATGGGGGGGGGGGGGTCATCTGAACCAGGTGGTGAGTTAATGGGGGGGGGGGTCATATGCCCAGACGGTCGTGTATAACATGACGTGTACACAGTCCCAGGTTCATGTACACGATACTTATCGCATGACGTGTACACAGTCCCAAGTTCATGTACACGATACTTGTCACATGACGTGTACACAGTCCCATGTTCATGTACACGATACTTGTCACATGACGTGTACACAGTCCCATGTTCAAGTACACGATACTTGTCACATGACGTGTACACAGTCCCATGTTCATGTACACGATACTTATCACATGACGTGTACACAGTCCCAGATTCATGTACACGATACTTGTCACATGACGTGTACACAGTCCCATGTTCATGTACACGATACTTGTCACATGACGTGTACACAGTCCCAGATTCATGTACACGAGACTTGTCACATGATGTGTACACAGTCCTATGTTTTTGTACACGACACATGACGCGTAGTCCCAGGTTTCTCTATGATTCCAGACAGTGTAGACTAAAGGTCACTCCCCCCCTCCCCCAGCCCTCTCCCATTATGGACCTTTTAACATCTTATTGATCCCGGCCGTAGGGCTCGACCCCTGGTTTACACCCCATTGTTACATGGCTGTCTGGACATTAGAGGCTGACCTATGGCCTGACCTCTGACCCCACCTCACTGTGATGGCGATATTTTTTGTAACGAGATATAGACTGAGCGGTTTTACATTGTATTAGATCTAACATATCGTCACAATAGTAGGGAGATTTGTACAATAGTATTTTAGACATTGTAATCTAGACATTCAGATAATTTAAAAACTCACGTAGACACATACGAATAATCCAGCCATCAAGTTGTCACACTTTAATTATCTAGACATCTTAAATTATCGAAACAAATAATTTGTATTTTATAAAAAAATTATTTCAATAATTCTAAAAGTATCTGGACATTGCAGTTTAGTTCTAGACTCATGAGATATAGATCGTGTATAGATATCTGAAGATAGTTTAGTTCTAGACACATGAGATACATATTTTGTACAGATATCTGAAGATAGTTTAGTTCTAGACACATGAGATATAGATCTTGTACAGATATCTGAAGATAGTTTAGTTCTAGACACATGAGATATAGATCTGTACAGAAATCTGAAGATAGTTTAGTTCTAGACACATGAGATATAGATCTTGTACATATATCTGAAGATAGTTTAGCTCTAGACACATGAGATATAGATCTTGTACAGATATCTGAAGATAGTTTAGTTCTAGACACATGAGATATAGATCTTGTACAGATATCTGAAGATAGTTACCTTCTAGACACATGAGATATAGATCTTGTACAGATATCTGAAGATAGTTAACTTCTAGACACATGAGATATAGATCTTGTACAGATATCTGAAGATAGTTACCTTCTAGACACATGAGATATAGATCTTGTACAGATATCTGAAGATAGTTAACTTCTAGACACATGAGATATAGATCTTGTACAGATATCTGAAGATAGTTACCTTCTAGACACATGAGATATAGATCTTGTACAGATATCTGAAGATAGTTACCTTCTAGACACAGATATAGATCTTGTACAGATATCTGAAGATAGTTACCTTCTAGACACATGAGATATAGATCTTGTACAGATATCTGAAGATAGTTACCTTCTAGACACAGATATAGATCTTGTACAGATATCTGAAGATAGTTAACTTCTAGACACATGAGATATAGATCTTGTACAGATATCTGAAGATAGTTACCTTCTAGACACATGAGATATAGATCTTGTACAGATATCTGAAGATAGTTAACTTCTAGACACATGAGATATAGATCTTGTACAGATATCTGAAGATAGTTACCTTCTAGACACATGAGATATAGATCTTGTACAGATATCTGAAGATAGTTACCTTCTAGACACAGATATAGATCTTGTACAGATATCTGAAGATAGTTACCTTCTAGACACATGAGATATAGATCTTGTACAGATATCTGAAGATAGTTACCTTCTAGACACAGATATAGATCTTGTACAGATATCTGAAGATATCATTCGAGCAATTTGTGTGAGGTACCACAGGTCCAAGCTTAGATTTGATGCACACAACAAGCTAAAAATAGACGGGGGTGTGGTCCCTAGACGTGGGTGGTGTTATGGAAACTTCACCATTCCTCCCCTACCCCAGACAGCCGTGAGTTGTATTGTGAAAAAACTTGCCCGTGACTCTCCCCCCCCCCCACCTCCACTTCAGATAGCAGTGAATTGTGTTGTGAAAACTTGCCCGTGACACCCCCCCCCCCTCCACCCCAGACAGCAGTGAGTGTTGTGAAAACTAACCCGTGACTCGGTGCTTTAAAAACGTCATTGATTGAACTTTAAACCACGATGCGGGGTACTCAGGCACCACGAGTGCAGGACGGCCGTTAAGTGGATGGTCAACAGTTCCGTGACTGGAGCAGACGAACTTCTGATCTACGAGCCTGGAATCACAGAGAGGACTGGAGTATCTTACATGGCCCTGGGAGTATCCTGCAAGTCCCTGGGAGTATCCTGCATGGCCCGGGGAGTACCCGGTATGGCCATCAGACTACCGGCCCCTGACCCTCGATGTTCCGTGTGGTGCTTTAAAAACATGGAGAAATAACACTCATTTCCGGCGGGTGGGGGGTGGGGGTGATGGGGAGGGGTGAAAAGAAATTGAGAGGGTATAGTGGTGAGGGGAAGGGGTGGAAAGACATTGAGAGGATAGAAAAGATGGTTAGATAAAAGACGAAGTAGGGAACAGTCTATTTTTAGAAGATGATATTCCTTTGATCAGTTACAGTTGCGTGATCTGGGTAGAAATGGAAGAATGAAATCTATTTTTAGATCATGAGTTACTTGATTATTCACATTAGGGTGGAAAAAAAAGTGGGGAGCACGATATATTTACAACATGATATTCCTAGATTTGTCTACACTCTGGTGATAAAAGTATATAGCGGGGGGGGGGGGGGGGGGGGAATTGACAAAAATATTTTTAGAACATGAAATTGCTTATATTTATTTACATTTCGTGATGTATGAAACAGATTCAGTGCATAAAGTAATCACACTTGTAAAGATAAGTTTTTTTTAAACTTCGTATACTGGTACAAGATATGTAATACTAGTATCAAACCCTTTCGGCCAACAAAGCAGAGAAAAGGCGTGTTCAAAAAATCCCAGCAACAAATCCAGACGTTTTGGGAAAAAATAAAAAAACGCTTTCAAATATTTTCTCTTCAGCTGAGCAACATGACGGGGTTACGGCTCTTTGTTCGTCAGACGTGTACAAATAATTTGACGTCACATCCGGTTTAACTTGTAGCACGCAACTTAACTTGCTGTCAAAACACGTTTTGTTTAGACCCACACTACACTCACACTACATGGCCTTCTACTAGATCAAAATTAGTCATCCATTTTATACCAGACGTCACTTGGTTATGATATACAAGACGTCACTTGGTGATGTTATATCAGACGTCATTTGGTGATTCTATATCAGACGTCAGTTTGGTGATGTTATATAAGACGTCAGTTTGGTGATGTTATATAAGACGTCAGTTTGGTGATGTAATATAAAACGTCAGTTTGGTGATGGTATATCAGACCTCAGTTTGGTGATGTTATATAAGACGTCAGTTTGGTGATGTTATATAAGACGTCAGTTTGGTGATGTTATATAAGACGTCAGTTTGGTGATGGTATATCAGACGTCAGTTTGGTGATGTTATATAAGACGTCAGTTTGGTGATGTTATACCAGACGTCATTTTGGTGATGTTATACCAGACGTCATTTTGGTGATGTTATACCTGACGTCATTTGGTGATGTTATACCAGACGTCATTTGGTGATGTTATACCTGACGTCATTTGGTGATGTTATACCTGAAGTCAATTTGGTGATATACCTGACGTCATTTGGTGATGTTATACCAGACGTCACTTGGTGATGTTATACCTGACGTCATTTGGTGATGTTATACCTGAAGTCAATTTGGTGATGTTATACCTGACGTCACTTGGTGATGTTATACCTGACGTCATTTGGTGATGTTATACCTGAAGTCAATTTGGTGATGTTATACCAGACGTCATTTGGTGATGTAAAATCAGAGCGTCAAATGCTGGTTGTTACACGTAATAAACAGATATACAGACATAAATTCATTCACAACTAAACTACAATGAAGATTTAATCAATACAAAAAAGATTCACAATAAAAATAGAAGTATATCAAGTTTTGATTGAAATGATGTGTAGGATTTTATCGCTGGGAGCTTTGTTGTATGGAAATTTTTGGAAAATTTGCAATTTTTACCTGTAGTCATCAATTTTCTTGGCCACATTCCTGACAATGTGTGCGTGTATTGATATTCCGTAGACTGATGTGTCTTAGTAGACTGATGTGTCTTTGTTGACTGATGTGTCTTAGTAGACTGATGTGTCTTAGTAGACTGGTGTGTCTAAGTAGACTGATGTGTCTAAGTAGACTGATGTGTCTTAGTAGACTGGTGTGTCTAAGTAGACTGATGTGTCTAAGTAGACTGATGTGTCTAAGTAGACTGATGTGTCTAAGTAGACTGATGTGTCTAAGTAGACTGATGTGTCTAAGTAGACTGATGTGTCTTAGTAGACTGGTCTGTCTAAGTAGACTGATGTGTCTAAGTAGACTGATGTGTCTCGGCATGTTGATGTCTCAGAAGACTGCTGTTTTTGTGGGATTATAAAGCCACAATCAAGTGGAGACAAGCGAAGATGCCCAGACCAGAACAAACTCACCATTTAAAGTCGAAGAGTTCGCCAAGGGGACATAACTAACAGCTGAATGGCGAAATGTTCCTGAGACGAAAGAGCGGATGGACTAGATAAAAGAGAAGCGATCGTGTTGTTGCGCGCTGGTCAGGCCGGCCTCTACGTCCCCACCCATTGATCGGATCAAACGCCAGGTTTAAAAGCCGCTGAGATCACTAGATGCTGAAAGCTCTGAGCCGGCTAAGGGGATTTCTCGATTTATTCTGCATTTCGACACTTTAGCTTGAGTAAAAATGAGCAACAGAGGACAAGTTTAAAGTTTGAAGACTGACATTTCATTTGCAGTAAAAACAGAAGGGAAGCGGTCGCTTTAATGATGGCTTGGTGTAGAATTATTCAGTGCAAACAGTTTTTATTTCGGTTGGGATTTCAAAGTCATTGTCGTGTTGTTTTCATCTAAGTTGATGTGGGTTTTAGCTGTTTGTGATGTGGGTTTTAGCTGTTTGTGATGTGGGTTTTAGCTGTTTGTGATGTGGGTTTTAGCTGTTTGTGATGTGGGTTTTAGCTGTTTGTGATGTGGGTTTTAGCTGTTTGTGATGTGGGTTTTAGCTGTTTGTGATGTGGGTTTTAGCTGTTTGTGATGTGGGTTTTAGCTGTTTGTGATGTGGGTTTTACTGATGTTGGTTTTAGCTGTTTGTGCTGAGGGTTTTTTTCTGTTTCTGGTGTGAGTTTTAGCTGTTTCTGGTGTGGGTTTTAGCTGTTTCTGGTGTGGGTTTTAGCTGTTTCTGGTGTGGGTTTTAGCTGTTTCTGATGTTGGTTTTAGCTGTTTCTGGTGTGGGTTTTAGCTGTTTCTGGTGTGGGTTTTAGCTGTTTCTGGTGTGGGTTTTAGCTGTTTCTGGTGTGGGTTTTAGCTGTTTCTGGTGTGGGTTTTAGCTGTTTCTGGTGTGGGTTTTAGCTGTTTCTGATGTTGGTTTTAGCTGTTTCTGGTGTGGGTTTTAGCTGTTTCTGGTGTGGGTTTTAGCTGTTTCTGGTGTGGGTTTTAGCTGTTTCTGGTGTGGGCTTTAGCTGTTTCTGATGTGGGTTTTAGCTGTTTCTGGTGTGGGTTTTAGCTGTTTCTGATGTTGGTTTTAGCTGTTTCTGGTGTGGGTTTTAGCTGTTTCTGGTGTGAGTTTTAGCTGTTTCTGATGTTGGTTTTAGCTGTTTCTGGTGTGGGTTTTAGCTGTTTCTGGTGTGGTTTTAGCTGTTTGTGATGTGGGTTTTAGCTGTTTCTGATGTTGGTTTTAGCTGTTTCTGGTGTGGGTTTTAGCTGTTTCTGGTGTGGGCTTTAGCTGTTTCTGATGTTGGTCTCCAGTTCACTGTCACCAGATTAAAATGGCTATAAGTTACAGACAGCGCCAGTCTCTCGAGTAATGCCACGGCCAAACACAGGTCCATCGATGATAGAATATCAGAGGAAGTAGAGTTCAGCACAAATAATGTGTCTGTCGTTTTGCTATGATCTGTCCCTGGGTGGCGTATCTAGGACTTTTAACATCCAGACAAAAACAAAAATAAAGTGTTGGTGTTGGTGTTTGTGTTTGTGTTTTTGTTAGAAAGTGTAGCGGGCTGGGCAGGGAGGTTTTGGACGGGCAGGTTTTTTGTTTATTTGCCAGGAAAGTTCAAAACCATTAGGGCTTTCAACTGTCGTGAGTTGTTTACAGATGTGGGTGGGGAGGTGGGGAGGTGGGTGGGCAGGTGGGTGGGTATGTGGGTGCGGAGATGGAGGGAGATGTAGGTTAGGTTTAGGAGATGTGGGTGTAGATGTGGGGTGGGGATGTGTGGTTTTCTGTTTGTCTGAAATGAGACTCAACGAAGGCAGACTAACGATGTCGGAGTTTGTTGTCTGCTGTCTGATGTATGGCCTGCTGACTAAGTGGCGAGTCGTTGTGTGGCGGTCGTGTGGCTGTGTCCGTCGAGTGGTTGTATGACAGTCGTGTGGTTGTGTGACAGACGTGTGGTTGTGTGACAGTCGTGTGGTTGTGTGACAGTCGTGTGGCTGTGTGACAGTCGTGTGGTTTTGACACTTCCATACAACTCTCTCACGACTCCTAAAAAAACTGCTCTCTCCCCCCTAAACGACTACCCCACCCGGCGAGTCCCCCCCCTCCCCCCACATCCCCGACTCCCCCAGCCCGAGCTTGTAGGTAGCGACGTGAACCGAACTTGATTAAAGATGGGCCAGACATTTTGGTGGAACAAGGGGACTCACTCGCGTTAAGTGATCGAGTTACGGATTAGTGATCGAACGTCGATCGAGTGAGACAAGGGCGACAACCCTGCTGGGGATGAGGAATTAATGGACTGGCGAGAAGTGATCGAGAGTTCTAGTCGAGCGTCGATTGGCTAAGTAATATCACGTGAGGGAATCCGTCGTCACAGCGATAATCCGTTTATCAATCTGGTGGCCGTGCGTGCTACAAGTGTAGCCTTTACCAGGGGGGGGGGGGGTTGAGATGGGGGGGGGGTGCTGACCAAAGCATGGCGGACAGCGCTTAAGGGCGGTAGAGCACCACGTGATTTCATCGCCAGAGCAGCTTGTGTCTAAGCCGGAAGTTTCATTCAGAGAGTGGGATGGAGGTGGGGTAGGGATAGGGGTGTGGTGGGGTGGCGTTTTGAGGAAATTTATAGTGTAGTGTGTAGTTGTGTTGTCTGTAAGTTGTATGAGTGTATGGTCTAGTTGTTTTGTCTGTCGGTTCTTTGAGTGTATGGTCTAGCTGTCCGATAAATGAAGCAGAGTGTCCATTTATGTTGCGGTGTGATTGTTAGATGGATAAAACATTGATGGAATGTGGTTGTGTGAATGTTAGTTCTCGAACGTGTGAATGTGTGGACGTGTGGTTATGTGGGGGGTTGGCGAGGTTGAAACTAAATTAACATTTTTTACCCACTATGCCTTTTATTTAATAATAAACTGTTCTTTCAGTCACGTGGTTCCAATTTGAAAGGTTCGCTTTAGTGATTATTTTATTTATACTCCCAACACTTATAAATACTAACAACTTTAATTCAATTAAAATTTATCAGTTTAGCTCTACGGAGACAGTATTACTCAGATGTTTCTATAGGTACCTACCAATTTGCAACCATGTTCACAACATTTGCTGTTATAATGCTGTTAAACAAATATTAATGTTTTGACTGGTCAAATGCTTATTTAATATGTTTTTTGGTTATCTGTTCATAGAATGGTACTAGTTTAGCTGATACTCAATTACATATCTTTATTAAATCAATGTTTTGTTTGCCAAAATAAACGATACATTTAAATTAAAACTATAAATTGAACATGATTAGAGAATTAAATATTATTAGTGACTCAATATTATGTACTTATATAAAGAATCAAAATAATTTATTACAAATATAAACGTGTTTTTTTCAACAAGATATTTTAACGATTCTCAGCGAAACAAATGTTTATGTAGTCAATGTTGCTTTAATAAATTTTATTCATAAAAATCATGTAATGGGACACAACCGATAAATTTAAATATCATATTAAAGTTTACGTTGTTAACTCCCTTTTCAGATCACTCTTGTATCGAACAGCATTTATCGCCCTTGTGCCGCTGTTCGCTGTTTTTCTACTGGGATTCAGCAGCCCGTTTTGGATGAAAAAACACCAGGTGAGTAGCAGACTATCAGGTAACGCGTGTAGCTACACCAGGTAAATTAGGCTCATTAGGATAAGATAAAATGTACAAATTAAATTTCTTAACTACCAAGCAATAATCAATCGACCACAATTTCTGCTGTATATACCAGGGGTCGGCTACCTGTGGCTCTTTTGGTGTCACGATGCGGCTCTCTAGCTCCAAAATTTATAACAAAATTTATACTGTAAAGATACACAAGTTTAAACAGGATAAAAAACACTCATCAGAGAACAATGAGAATACGTGGAGTAGAGAGTAGACAGCTGACAGCCGCTTGGGCACCAGGCCCAGCCCCACAACCGTGTTGTAGCCAGCCACGTGACAATAATTCTATGCTTGCCACTGCCCAAGTGCCGACTGTTTCGAATATCGTTGAATGGGGACTGTTAATTTAGAATGCATTTCCCTATCCGTCAGTAATCATTAATTTGACGTGAGTGACGTAGTTTTTATTAGCTTCCTACCGTCGAGCTGAGTACTGGACAGCGGGGTGCGAGTTTACCCTGGGCTCTGTGGGGTGGAAGATAAGCCCTGTGAGAACCAAAGGATAGAAGCGAACGATGCAAGTTATTCAAACCGATATCCAAGCCAGTTAGTCGGAGTTTGCCGTGTTGAGGCCTGCCTGTCTAATGGGAGGCACCTCCTGAGACGGTGTTGTCCGTAAAAAAAATAATAAAAAATTAACAGCTTCTATAGTGGATTGGGATAGTCCTATATTTTTATTTTTTTTATTACTAATTTCATTATTCTGGCGAAACAAGGGTATGTTTTTATATGAATAAATATTATTTCATATTTAAAGCTATTTATTTTAAATAACAAATCAAATTTATTTATCTAATCCAAATCAAATAATAAAATATTGAAATAACAATGCCAGTAGCTATTTAAAACTGGGAAATTGGCAAAATTTTAACTTTTAGCTCTTCCGTTTCCAAAGGTTGCCGACCCCTGAACTAGAGAACAATTTTTTTTAGTTGTTTCCCATTTTAACATTCATACTAAACAAGGGAAGCAACAAATTTCCTGAATGTTTTCATGATAACAAACATAATAATACAATATAAATTGAAATGATTGTTTTATTTATTATATTTTACATAGTTATTAATACGTTTTTAAGTAATATTTTGTCCATTAGTGGTAATTATTGGATTTCTGAATAATTAATTTTCTCTAAAATATGTATAAAAGCATTAGATTAATGACCGGCTGAATTTTTAAAGAGGGGACACTACCGCTTTCTTAACGATTTCTTCTTATAAACCATTGACCCTCTCTGAAATATTTCCTTTCCTCTCCCCACCCAGAATTCTGACACTTTCATTTGACCTTCACCCCTTTTACTGTCATCCTTTGCTTTTTTTTTATAATCAAATACATGACATCATGTAAATATTCATTATGTACATTTGCAAAACCTTTCGTTTTCATTTGGTGTTCAAAATTATGTTAAAAAATTTGATGTTGATGTACTTGTTTTAATTGCAAATAAAAGTATTTAAAAAAAAAAATCCTTTTTTAGTACTGTTCACCATTTTCTGCATGTAATGATAATTTTTGTAAATGTTTGAATTATGTTACAGACTAACGCTCACACACATTTGTATATGCAGATGTAATTATTTCTATTTGAAAATAAAAGTAATAAAAAAAAAATTTAAAAAGAAAATTTAAAAAAAAAAATTGAAAAAAATAAATTGAAAAAAAAAAAAAAAAAGATAATTTTCATAGTATAGGGTAATTCATAGTAATAGGCCATTTCATTCTCTCCATTTAATTACTATATTATAAGCAATTGATGTTCATGTTTTTGATGCTGTGTTAAACCATCAAATAAATTATTATTACTATTTAAAAAAAAAAAAAAAAAAAATTTAATGGATAATATTTGTCATAAGTCCTGTTAATTATTTGAGCACTTTGATTTTGAAAACTATGTATTGTTTTTGATGTACTCAGTCATGGCATTAAAAAGTAATATTCTTGAACAAAAAAAAAAAAATAAAAATAAAATAAAAATGAAATTAAGGGACAACATAATATTGTTTGAGTATGTGTCGGAAACTTGCATCTCGCGAGCCGAATGCGGCTCCCCTGATGTCAAATTGCGGCCCCTCAGTTCCATGCATAAATTATAATAATTATTAGATCTATTTATCATTTTCAAAACTCATAACAAATGTTATACTGTAAAACAAAACACACCTTCGAACACTAAAACAACTTTAAATAAAATAAAAATAAAACAATGAGAATAGGTGGAGTAGAGTGTCTATGGACAACTGACAACCCCGTGGCTATGGTTCCATGCTTTCCACTACCAATGTCCAAACTTTGTTTCGAATATCGTTCAATAGTGAATGTTATTTTATTGAGATTGCATTTCTTTATATGTCAGCATTCATAAATTTGACCTGCGTGACGTAGCATTTTGGTTATTAGCTTCTAAATTGGGTAGGGGCGGATAGCGCCATAGCTATATAATTTGATTTTTTTTATACAAGCAGAGATAGCTAAAATAATTTCGTGTTTTGTGCGAAATAACTAGATATAATTTCATACTTAGGGGCCTAAACCTATTTGTTTAAAATTTATTCACCTAATCCTAATCAAATACCAAATATTAAATATTAACATAAAAATGTTAGTGGCTCTTTAAAAACTGGGAAATTTTATAAATTGTAACTTTTGGCTCTTCTGTCTCGAAAGGTTGCCGACCCTTGGTATATACGGCTGTTATTGATTACCAATAAACCCGCTGTTAATTACAATTATATTAATAATTACTCATTTGTTGTAAACACAGGTGGAGAAATACAGAGGACACTACAACCTGTTCGACAAGGTGGATGTTAGTATAGGACTGTGGCGGGTGTGTGAGGGGAAGGACTTCTTCGATATCAAGGACTGTACGAGTCTGCCCAACATTACCTCATGTATGTCATACAACTGTCTGTCACTGTCTGTCATACAACTGTCTTTGACATCAAGGACTGTACGAGTCTGCCCAACATTACCTCATGTATGTCATACAACGTTCTGTCAGACGTTTTTGTAAGATACAACGTTTGCATAATACAAGTCTGTAACATACTGTCCACTGTGTCCACGCACCTGTCTTTCACACTAAGCTGCTCACCAATCTGCCAAAATTCACAGCTAGTAAGGCAAGGCATGGGTCGGCGTGGTCGAGTCGGTAAAGCTCATGGTTGCTAAACCGAAAAGTCTCGAGTTCGAACCCTCGGGCAGATGAGGTTCGTTAGCTGGGGACAGCCACTCTTCTAGGAGAGACAACTCCAAAATTAAAACAACTGCTGCCTTGTAGTTTGTTCTTGGTTGGACAAAGGCTATGGAAGCAAATCCAAAATGAAAAGCAGGCTGAAATCGGAGTCAATGGCCTCAATGGCGCATAACCAGTTGACACGTAACGCTTAATTGTGTTGGAGGCGTGGTCGAGTCGGCAAAAAGCTCATGGTTGATAAATTCGAACAAAGTCTCGAGTTCAAACCAACTGGCAGATAAATCTCGATCCTCTTCAACACTCATAATTAAGAACGAAGAAGAAGAAGAAAGAAGTCAAGGCATTAGGACTTTTTTTTTCTATCCATCAATAAAATGTTCAGTGAGCACATCTTTTGTAGACCACATTCAATGAAGAGACTGTTTTAAAAATTACACTTACAGATACTATCAGATACTAGTTGGTAAACACGTGTTGAAAACATCTGTTGAAGACACACGTTAAAAACATCTTTTAAAGACATACGTTAAAAATATCTGTAGAAGACATACGTTAAAAACATGTTGAAGACATACGTTAAAAACATCTGTTAAAGACATACGTTAAAAACATCTGTTGAAGACATACGTTAAAACATCTGTTGAAGACATACATTTTATACGTTTAAAACATGATGTTGTTGTTGTGTCTCCACAGACGAGATGGCGTGCCAGTCGATGATGTGTCTATCCCTCATCTTCACCCTCTTCTCGCTCATCTTTGGCTTCTACGAGAACTGCGCCACCATGTACGAGATTGAGGACGGGAGCGAGAGCAAGACAAAATGGCCGGAGATGAACGCCATAGCTGCAGGTTAGGGGCAGGTTTTGTACATGTTGGCCATCACAGGTGCTGTTGGCTATAATGTCGGTTATTGGCCATCACAGCGGTTTTTGGCCATAATGTTTTCAGTTAGAAATTATTATTGTTACCTAAAAATGATGTAACCAATCTATTATTGTTACCTTTCAGAATTTGCTCATTCTATTATTGTTACCGAACATTGATGTAAATTATTGTTGCCTGTCCAGAATTTTGACCAATCTATTATTGTTACCTTTCCAGGATGTAACCAATCTATTATTTTTACCTAACATTGATGTAAATTATTGTTACCTGTCCAGGTATCTGACCAGTCTATTATTGTTACCTGTCCAGGTATCTGACCAGTCTATTATTGTTACCTGTCCAGGTATCTGACCAATCTATTATTGTTACCTAACATTGATGTAAATTATTGTTACCTGTCCAGGTATCTGACCAGTCTATTATTGTTACCTGTCCAGGTATCTGACCAGTCTATTATTGTTACCTGTCCAGGTATCTGACCAATCTATTATTGTTACCTGTCCAGGTATCTGACCAATCTATTATTGTTACCTGTCCAGGTATCTGACCAATCTATTATTGTTACCTGTCCAGGTATCTAACCAATCTATTATTGTTACCTGTCCAGGTATCTGACCAATCTATTATTGTTACCTGTCCAGGTATCTGACCAATCTATTATTGTTACCTGTCCAGGTATCTGACCAATCTATTATTGTTACCTGTCCAGGTATCTGACCAATCTATTATTGTTACCTGTCCAGGATGTAACCAATCTATTATTGTTACCTGTCCAGGTATCTGACCAATCTATTATTGTTACCTGTCCAGGTATCTGACCAATCTATTATTGTTACCTGTCCAGGTATCTGACAAATCTATTATTGTTACCTGTCCAGGTATCTAACCAATATATTATTGTTACCTGTCCAGGTATCTTCGGTATGATCGGTGTGGGCATGTACGGTGCCATCATCATAGAGCTGGCTAAAGGGGGCGATGGAGCCGTCCACTGGGCCTTTCCCGTGACAACCATATCCGCCACGGGTTTCATCGTCTGCGGCATCCTCATGGCCATAGCCAACCCGATCCATGCGGTAAGATGACAACTTCCGGTGACGTAATACTTTTTTGCTTTTGTCCCTTCATTTACTTTCATCGAATATATGTACTATACTTTTTTTTTTAATTTAAAAGGATTTAAAAAATTTAAAACTTTTAGTAGTATTGTTTCTTTCTTTATATTGTACGTAATATGTCAATTTAAATAACAAAAAAAAATAATAATAATTTCTTCTTTTAAATAAAAAAAGTCTATCGTTTAGATAGATAGATAATGTTCCCTTCTCGTGTTCTCTAAGTTGTGACGTTTCCCTCCGACAGCCCCGGCAGAACTACCCCGGCCAGATCATGAGCCTCTCCCGTCAGAGCTCCCTCCGTGTCCGTGAGCCCAGCGTTCAGGACCGTCTGGTGTCCACCAGCGAGACGGCGGGGCAGTACTCGGGCGCCCCGGCCCCCTCCACCCTGTACGGCGTGATGGGGGGCGGCAAGGAGTCGCGCGACGCCCCGTTCCTGCAGCGCAGCGACTCTTGCCTGAGCTCACACATGTCCTCCCCCGACCTGTTCCTCGCCTCCACCAACGCCGAGAGCAACCACTACGGCGGCCACCGCAGTACTCACGTCGTGGAGACGCACGACTGCTACTCCAGGACCTATGACGTCAGCAGGAGGAGCAACGTCAAGCTGCAGAACAAGGCGGCACAGCGCCGCTCGTGGCACTTCGACGACCGCAGCGGGGCCTACGTTGTAAGTGACCTTATCAACAGACCGTGTGACGTCACGCCGTCTGGCGACAAGCGTGACGTCATCAAACCGCCCGTGCCTCCGCGACGTGACAAGAACACGTCACCGTCACACCCCCTCCCCTCCCGCCCGTCCAAGAGCAAAGCATTAAACTCGATACCCGACGAGTCGAACGACCTGATGGTGCTAGACGACCCGGTCGTGATAGCCCCAGTCAGCCCCGGCCGGAACCTGAACCAGGATAAGAGCGACGAACAGACGTCATCGTCTAGCCGGAACACAAACCCTTTCATCGACGACCCGCCATCGTCGTCGTCGTTATCGGGGTCAGCCTCCCACCCCCGCCCCAGTCTACAACACAGCTCCGTCAGCACCGAGTCTTGGGAGAGCCAGCCCTGGCCCGACCCCCCCACCGAGATGGAGATCCTCGGGAACACGTCGCCCTCCTGCACCACCGAGACGTCCTCGGTCTCCAACACCCCCCAGCCCGTCACGCCCCAGCCCATCACCCCCCAGCCCAACACCGTCCCCGAGAGCCTCCAATACCAGCCCCAAAACTACGCTAGCCTCTCACGAAAACAAACCCAGGAAGACAAAAAAAGCCCGTTTATCAAATCCGACACCTCGGAATCGCATTGTGACTCCAATTCCGTCAGATCAAAACAAGGGGAGCGAACTCACAGATCAGGCGACACAACTCCTGCTAAACATAAACAAGGGGAGCGCATCTACCGGCCGTCTAGTAACGGGAGCACCAAGTCCCGACAGGAGTCTCACGTGCCGGTGTTACAAGAGTACGACAACCCCTTGTTTAAATCCCAGACACCGGAAGACCGGCGAGGGCTGGCGTTCGAGCAGGAATTCGACCTCAAGATCTGCGACTCGACCTCCTTCATCCACCCCTCCCCCACCCCGCCGCCTTCATACTTCTCCATTGTGGACGCGGTGCAGGCCGAGCCGACCTCGTACCGACGCCACAGTAGCCACTACAGCTACAGCCCCAAGCTCGACCCCAGGGGCTCGCCCCACACCGTACCCAGACCCGCCTCTCTAGAAAACGGCAAAGACCCACCGCCGGCGTACACCCGCCACCCTAAAGGAAACAAGGGCGACAACTCCAAGAAACAAGCCACGCCCCGAGATAAGGGTAAACATCAACAAAATGGCGGCGTGAGGTCACGACCCCGGCAGGTCAAGCGTGAACACAACCAGCGGCGTAACGCCCAACAGGAGGGGCCGCAGCCCCCCTCGCCACACGCCGGCAGCTACGGTTCCAGCCCCGACCTGACGACACGTTCACCAAAGCCTGGACGTCGCATGACCTCTAGCACAGGCCTGGCTAATGGAAACGTCTATGTCCAGGAGGACTGTAATAGAAACATGGCGCCCCGGACCCCGCCCCCTCCCGACTGTCGCCCCAGCTCCTACGGGTATGACTGCAACAGACAATCGCCTTACTTCATTCGGCCAACCAATCAGTTTCCTCATTGGGGCGACTCTGACCTCTGACCTCTACACGTGAGCAAGCAATGACTGTTCCCACAGTGGACCTTCATGAGGACCTAACGCGAAATTTGACCAGTCCACAGTGGACCTTCGTGTGGACCTAGTGCGCCTTTTGACCTGCTCATGTTAACAATAGCCACAGGGACTCCTGGCCAACCCTGGCGTAGTTAGAGGTCTGTAGCAACCATGTGACGTCACAGACCCCGTGACGTCACGCACCGTGTGACGACACAGAACCTGCGAGCCTGTATCATAGCAACGACGCCTGTTAGTTGAATGTTACTACTAACCATGTTGATATTTGAATAACCTGCTTCTCTCGCTGATCATAACCCTCTGCTGTAGCGCCCAATGTACTCCGTCTGTTTCTCCTCTTGTCTGCTTATACTGCCTTTTACTGCCAAGTGTCATCTCTGCCAAGTGTCACCTGTCACACTGACATGTTCAATAATTAGAGCTAGTCGCCTGTAATTAACCCATTTACAAAACTCATGAGTCACAATTTTTTACTTTATACAGATGATTATGTAGCATATTTTACTGTAGACGGATGATCATGTCACATATTTTTACTTTATACAGATGATTAAGTAACATATTTTACTGTAGGCAAACGTTTATGCGACATATTTTTTACTGCCATGTAGTATTGGTAGTGCTTTATAAACCAAGGATGGTAACTCTGTGATGTATTTGTAAACAATGACATGTAGAACTGACACAAGCCATCACAAGTCGCAGTAGATAACCTTTAGCCTTTAGCATTGAGTATCTGTCTACTTTGTATTTAGTCATTGGATATGTACAGTTTCTCACACACTTCCCTGCTTCACACATCCCTGTGTAATTTGACATCAGCTCCCCATTTTTCCCAAGCCAACTACACTCCGATAAAGCTGTGACAGCCGGAAGTCTTGACAGCCCCTCCCACCGACTAGACCAACTTTATTTGACCCTACCCAGCCAATGGGTGTCATCTCATGCACCGAGTGAACCAGGAAGACGAGGTCACAATGACATGATTACGTCAGCACATCATTTATTTACCTAGAGGTGTTCAACTCTTAAGTCGGTTAGGTAGATACGGGGGGGGGGGGGGGGGGAGAAGGGAATGGGTCTAAGGTCAGTGTTTGACTCTTGTATAATCCAGATATTGACCTTGCTGTTGTCCAAATGTTCTGGTCATTAAAACTCCTAAAGGTCACGTATCTGACCCACATTTACACAAGACGTGGCAGAAACCAATTTTCCGACAACAAACGGCAAAAATTATTCCCATCACCTGATAGGGCTTAGCCTGACCTGATGAACCGTGACATTTTGGAGCTTCCTGATTGGTTAATCGATCGCTGAGTCATCGAAATTCTAAAGTACAAAAAATTTACTTGAAGTTCTCAGACCAGTTCAACACGTTTTACTGCAAGCATGTAAACAAAATGACCTGCATGCGTCCTTAATGAGTTGCATGCGTCCATAAAGACTGGCATGCGTCCTTAATGATCTACATGCGTCCAGAATGAGTTGCATGCGTCCTTAATGATCTACATGCGTCCAGAATGAGTTGCATGCGTCCTTGTGAGTAGATCAGCGGCACTTGTCATGTCAAACAAAATTTTTGACCATAGTAACAAATATTGTTGCTAGTCCTAATTACAAGGGAATACAGCTAATCGCATTAATATGTCATATATATATATATATATATATATATATATATATATATATATATATATATATATATATATATATTATATAATATATATATATATATTTTATATATATATATATATATATATATATATATATATATATATATATATATATATATATATATATATATATATATATATATATATATATATATATATATATATATATATATATATATATATATATATATATATATATATATATATATATATATATATATATATATATAATGGAAATGCATTAACTGGACATAGTACACACTGGCCAATATCACCTCCAGCCAACGTCCGTAAGTTGTCCTTGCGTGAATGTGTGTAAAATGTCCACATTTGTATAAAGAACTTACAGTGCTACCTGATAAGGCAAGTGTAACTTTACAGCATTATTAATTCATTAATTAAACAAAAGCTAGAGTATCAAGTGTTTTTCGAAAACAAAATTCCAACTAATTTCCGCCCCTTTTCACAGACAAAAAAAAAGCTATTTATAGACTTGATGTTCACGTTTGAGAAAGATGATGTCAGCAAAAAATGCAATCAAATATCTAGACTATAATCCCAAATCTTTATCTGAGATCAAGTTTCATGACAGGCTTATTGCTTTAATTAATTGCGTTAATTTTTTTTTTAAAATCACGGCTTATTGGCCTTAAAGGCGTTAAAAGGTAATTCAACGTAAGACACAATCAGGTGAGTTGATCGTTAAGTAATGGCACGGGATGGTACATGTGACAGTGACGTAACACATGGCATGTGCACATGAACGTGACAGCAAGGTCATGAATGTGTCAGCTCTCAAGGTCATGACCCTGTCAACTTTATGATGACTCAATATACCTGGGGCGCACCTTACCAACGTTTCAGTTTTGTAGGATTGGAAAATTTCAGCATTCAACTTTTTCTTCGCTAAGCCTAGTCTATTTATAATAAAGGTTTTTTTTTAAAATGCTACACTGAAATTATGTCATGTATAATTGTAAAATAAGATAGGATTGGGGAGTGTGGGATTGGGGAGTGTGGGATTGAGGAGTGTGATGGAGTGACCTGCTAGTGACGTGAACTCACGGAGTTCTGTGTTCCACTATCCCAGAAACCCACCCTGCTAAATGACACACCATCAGTGTGTGATGCGACTACACATTTGTTCGTCCCCAGCTAACACAGTCTACTGCATGATAAAACGCCACAGAAATATTTTAGATTAATTTGGCCTTATAATTATATCCTTTTTGTGTTCATCTGTTAGCAACAATTTTTCAGGCTTATTTTGTTTCATTGATTTTAATAATTCTTGTAAAGCTAATAATTCACCCTAACTTAACGACCGCCTCTATTTGATGTTTATTAGTTTATGTATGTATTGATACTATAACATATTTTATAGTTTTCTCATGTATTAATTAATCTATCGCGTTATCATGTGCGCCATTTTGTAATTAACCATAATAAACGTTCTTCCAATTAGAGTCTGTTTTATATGATTGGGTGAGTACTTTTAGTTTTATGTGATTGGTGGGTACTTTTAGTTTTATGTGATTTTAGTTTTTTGTGCGTTGTATCACCAATCATGGGTATGTATCACCAATCATGGGTATGTATCACCAATCATGGGTATGTATCACCATTCATGGGGGGCCGAGTCACCAATCATGACGGATAAGTTTACAACAAAGAGCAGCTACACCGAGAATATAAGCCAAGTTTCTAAGCGCAGGCCTGGCATAATCACACAGTTGTCAAAAACAGATTTTAAAATAATGTTTTTTTTTCAGATGCATGTTTAAGGTTTCAAAACATTGAAAGATAAACTTTTTAAATAATTTATTGAGCGTTGAAAAAATAATGCAATTCACATAATTCTTTTACATAGATATATACATTTGAAGACATCTAACAAGGGTTGTTTGATTTATAAAACAAAGTGTTTAAGTCATCAGAAGTAGCTGACGTTATGAGACTCTACAGACGGTTTTACAAACTTGGCCAGCCTCTAAAGTTATGTAACTAGTCACATCTTGGCAAGCTAGATAGTTGGGTCTAACTAGCTAGTCATGACATCAACTAGACATGGAATCACAGCGATAGTGCAGCTAAACATTTTCTTTAAGCTTTTCTTAAAGTTTGTTTCAAACTAAATATTTTCTTTAAGGTAGGTATTGGTTTCAAATTGTGTATTTGCATCAAGATAGATATCTACTTCAAGCTAAACATCAGATTTTAAAATGATAATGATAAATCAAGTTATATATTTAATCTTTACCATCTAAAACTCATACAAATATTTATTCTCCGCTTATGAAGTGAATATTTTATATTTTCATGGCTGTAAGTTTGGCTGGTTCCTAATGTGCTGACTTCTGACTTGTAGTTTTTATTGCCCCCTGTTTTGTTGGCTCCCTGGGCCCTAGTTTTGTTGGCTCCCAACCCTGAGTCTTGCTGGCTCCGGGCCGTTCCTATTGTTGCCTCTAGTTCTGCTGGCCCACTATATAAGCCTGCACTGAGCGATAAAGGGCCGCCACATTACCAGAGCCAAATCCCGTGGCTCCCTCACGTTGGATGAACTCCAGGAAAAACGGATCTTTCTTCAGCAGGGGTTGGGTGAAGATCTGCAGGAGATAGCTGGGGAAGACATTCAAAGCTGGTTCAAATCATGCCGAAACTAACACATATTTGATGACGTAGAACACAAGTACAAGCTGTTAATTTATTGTAGAGAAGGTGTATGAATATAAAGTCACGTGTTACCCGTCTCTTCTGGCCTCGCCGGAAGTGTGTGTTACTGCATGAATACCATCAGCCTCGGTATCGATAAGGATGCCATTTTCTTTCAAGACAGACAACTCCTCCCCCGCTTCTTGTATATCGTACAATCTACCAATCTATGGTAAACAAGGAGATCACTCAACGATAATGCAAATATCACAGCACGAATAAATAATAAAAACATTACAGGCGGGTGTATTTAAAAACAATTACCTTAATGTGATTAAGTGAGACAATTACCAGTAGTGAAGTGAGATAGCTACCTCTAGTAAAATGAGATAGTTACCTCTGTGTAGTACGTGTCTGGGGGAGGTAAGTGAGATAGTTACCTCTGTGTAGTACGTGTCTGGGGGAGGTAAGTGAGATAGTTACCTCTGTGTAGTACGTGTCTGGGGGAGGTAAGTGAGATAGTTACCTCTGTGTAGTACGTGTCTGGGGGAGGTAAGTGAGATAGTTACCTCTGTGTAGTACGTGTCTGGGGGAGGTTTGGCGAAGGCTGCCCCACACCTCCTGAGATCACTGACCGTACTCTTGATGTCCGTACACAGGACGGCCACGTGCTGGATGCCGGCGCCGCCATGTTGTTTCATCCAGGACTCGATCTGGTTCTCTTCTGTGGAGGTCAAAGGTCACGTGAGAGTTGGTGGAGGTCACAGGTCATGGGGAGAATTGGTGGAGGTCACAGGTCGTGGGGAGAATTGGTGGAGGTCAAAGGTCGTGGGGAGAATTGGTGGAGGTCAAAGGTCGTGGGGAGATTTGGTGGAGGTCACAGGTCGTGGGGAGAATTGGTGGAGGTCAAAGGTCGTGGGGAGAATTGGTGGAGGTCAAAGGTCGTGTGAGAGTTGGTGGAGGTCACAGGTCATGGGGAGAATTGGTGGAGGTCACAGGTCATGGGGAGAATTGGTGGAGGTCACAGGTCGTGGGGAGAATTGGTGGAGGTCAAAGGTCGTGTGAGAGTTGGTGGAGGTCAAAGGTCATGGGGAGAATTGGTGGAGGTCACAGGTCGTGGGGAGAATTGGTGGAGGTCACAGGTCGTGGGGAGAATTGGTGGAGGTCACAGGTCATGGGGAGAATTATAGATTTTAACTTTAGCTGTTTAAGTACTTTGTCTAGCTCATTCGGCGCCCGCCTCTCTTCTTCCACTGTTACATCCTTTGATTCATTCACGTGTGTGTGTTTGTGTATGTGGTGTATGTGTGTGTGTGTCTGGGTAGGTGAGGCCTACCTGTATGTAGGTGAGTGTGGTGAGGGACAGGTAACTCACCTGAGGAGCCAGGGACGGGAGGTAAACCTTCCGCTACCACCAAGGAGAGGCGCCCCAGGACCCCGTCGTCCCGGGGGGTGGTGAGACCCACCTCGGCACACTTCCAGTACTCCATGGCCCTGAGACGTAGTCCCACGTTGTCAGTGGACAGCACTAGACCTTCATCTGGTATTTCTTGCCTGCATAACACAGAGGCGTGCTCATTAGGTCATGGTTAGGTCATGATTACGTCATAATTAGGTAATGATTAGGTCAATATTAGGTCATAATTAGGTAATTGTCATATAATCACTTTAATTTTTTAAACAAAAATTGGGTGTGTCCTTGATTAGAATTAATCTACTAATAGTGTGGCATTTCATCGTGCGGAACTTTGCTCGTCAGTATTCACTGATTAATAATTGACAATATATGAGTGTTTTGCATAATTTATTTTCTTTGAAATGCTAACATTTGCCCACTACTGACGCAGCTAAAAGTTGCCCACTACTGACCTAGCTAAAATTTGCCCACTACAGACTGACCCGTCTAAAATTTGCCCACTACAGACTGACCCAACTAAAATGTGCCCACTACTGACCCAGCTAAAATTTGCCCACTACTGACCCAACTAAAATGTGCCCACTACTGACCCAGCTAAAATTTGCCCACTACTGACCCAGCTAAAATTTGCCCACTACTGACCCAGCTAAAATTTGCCCACTACTGACCCAGCTAAAATTTGCCCACTACTGACCCAGCTAAAATTTGCCCACTACAGTCCTGTCGGTTCCACTGACCTGTTGATGAGAAATCTTTTCATCCCGAAACATTTTTCGTACCACTCAATCACCGACATGGATTTGTTCATCTCTACAGCTAGGGCCACGTGATCAAAACTCTGCGTCAGTGAGTCAGCACACTCGCCACTGACGCCTGACTCTTGACTCACGTCATCCTTACCCACAGGGATAAACTCGGGAAGAAAGCTGCCTGTGTAGCTACTTTTATCTAGGAGTGTGTGGTAAACGTCACCTACACAACTTTTGATGACGCAAGTGTTCACGGAGCCGGAAGTATCAGTCACAGTTCTAGGCGTCTTAGGGAACGCCACGTTTTGAGCTTGCAGACGTTGAATGCAGACGTCAATATTCTTGACTTGAAAGGCGATGTTGAACACTGAGGGTTTTTCCGGCAGAGGGCTGGGTTCTGCTGGGCGGGAGGCCCAGTTAATGGCGTAGTTGTCGTTCTGGGAATGGTAGCAAATTATTCCTATTTAATAGATCCAATTTTTAAATAATAATTATCAGAAATGTTCCTGGTTTTTAAAGTTGTTTTTTTAAGGTTTAAATGTTACAAATCTATTTCAGATTTCCCCTCCGAAATTTAATCAGGAGTTAAATTTAAAAACTTCAACTAATCCATTAATGTTACATTATAAATTAGAGACTAATTTCAAAAACAAAAAATCGTATAAAAATCAATATTCGCCAAGGAAACGGAACAACGCTATGGTCAGACTACCCCTATGTGTGAGTTCCGCTACCTGTATGAGAGACTGGTCCTGAGAACAACGCTATGGTCAGACTACCCCTATCTGTGAGTTGAGGTACCTGTATGAGAGACTGGTCCTGAGACTTGAGGCTTGTGATCAGGAAACGTGTGTCACTCCTGACCATCAGCCACTGGTCAGCCACCTGGCTGTGCCGGACGGCCTTGACCTTGAAGCCGTACTGGAGCTTGAGAACTTCTATGGCTCCAGGTCCGTCAGTGACGCCGACCTCGATGTGGTGGACACAGGGGAAACACGCCATCACCAGTAGCACACACAGCCCGGCCAAGTGGGGGCTGGGGTTTACAATGGGATTTTAAATTAACATGCCACTAATTAAACTAACACGTTGATTTCAAACTCAATCAGTCAAAGTATTTATACCAACAAGAGAATTTTTAGATAAGTTAAAGTCGATTACAGTTATTTAAATAATAAATAGGCCTACATCAATTAACGTTATAATTTGTAACTAATTAATATTGAATTGTTTAAGTTACCAGATGATTTTTCAAAGATAGAGTCACAGAAAAGTCTACAGAAAACAATTTAACTAATTAATTTCGAATTAATTAGATTAAAGATTGAAAATATATGTTTAGAAATATATGAGTTCGAGATCTATTTTAAAAAATAAATTGAAAACGTATTTAAAGCAGTTTTCAGATACAATAGGTATAATTTTGGATGAAAGTTACAAATATTATAACTGTAAAACTTTATTTGGTTGTAAAAATTAGAAACAAAAAGATGGTTATAATTACAAGAAAACACTCAGTTTAATGAGAGAGTTGACAATGTGTATGCTTTTATAGTCAGAGGGTAGTGAGGAGGTGTGACTGAGGGGGGGGGGGGGGGATGGTCCCTCAGCTTGACAGCTACGTCAGATGTTCTCATAAACTATCGTTACATAATTAGCAGCAGACGTCACTTATGATAATCAAACGGATTTGAAACAGGGAAACGGATTAAGACAGGTGTGTTTTTTTTTACCTGGGGGGAGTCAGGTCTAATCCAACGATCGATTGACCCAAACTTGATGGTGACGTAAGACTGATGGGACGGTGATGGGACATTAAAGATATCTGCTGTTTTTATGGACATTTAAATATTTATTTAGACAAAATGTAAATCAAATAAAAAGTCGGATAAAACAGCCTGGTACCAACTTGTCCCCTGGGGGGTGGGGGGGGGGGGGGAAGATCTACCACGCCCTGATATACACGAACCCTTCCCATGACAGTTTATTTTTGGCTTCAACAGGGCTCACTACGATTACATCATGTTAATTTACTCTTAATTTATTTTGATAATTACTTCTATAGTTTTATAAACTTTGATAATTATAAAATCAGTAAATTACTTTGGTAATTTATACAAATTGTTTTACATTAATTAATGACACCTAATGCAGAAATAAGTATGTGGTAGTGCCGTAGTGGGAACCCCTGTGCAGTACTGCAGCATGCAGAATCTAGTAAATTGTATTATGTAACGTTACACCTAAAATACCAATTTGGGAACCACTGCGCATCCTATTGACATGCTAGGATGTACGTAAAGAGGTGAGGTCTTGGGATTGTATTCACACGGCCCGGGGCACACATTCTATAAATAGATGTCTAGTGTTCTTTTGGATTTTTTGCAACGCGACAGAATGTTCAAGGTGAAGAAATACTGTCAACAAATGTATGATGTATGTGTTCTAATAATAAAACCAATCATTGGAAGTTCATCCAGTAGTTTATAGAACTAAGGTACTTAAGTGCACCGTCAAACTGGCCCGTGACAAATTGATTGTAGGAAAAAGTCACAGAAAAAAGTCACAGGAAAAAAGTAACAACTAAGTATTTATATTTTTATATGGAATACTTTTATGTATTTAGAAAGTGCAAATCCTCTTACGATTCAAAAGTAATGTAAAGATTTTAGATATATGTGCGTATGTTGTATAGGTATGTATGACACACGTAAAAATATTTAGTATAAAGTATGTAGGCTTTAATTCCGTTATACTTATAATATTTAATAGAATGTTCCAACCTTTTCGGTTTTCATGGTGTTTTTTAAATACTAACTTTAGATTAGCGTGAATGGGCCTTGAGCATGGGTCGGCAACCTTTTGAGCCGGAAGAGCCAAAAATTACAATTTACACAATTTTCTAGTTTTTAAAGAGCCACTAACATTATTTTTCCCCAATATTTTGGTATTTGATAAGGATTATATGAATAAATTTGATTTTTGATTTGAAATAAGTAGCGTTAAATATGAACTAATGTTGATTCATATAAAAACATACAAATGTTTTGCACAAAAACTGTTTTAGCTAGCTCTGCTGAGATAAAAAGGAATTAAATAATACAATTATAATATAACTATACGACTATCCCAATCCACTTTAGTAGCCAATAAATTTTTTTTCTTTCTTTACTGACACCACCGGCTCAGTAGGTGTCTCTCATAACCAGACAGCGCTCAACACGGCAAGCTCCGACTGACTGGTTTGGGTAACGGTTTGATTACTGTATCGGTCGCTTCTGTCCTTCCGTTCTCACCAGGCTTATCCTCCACCCTACACGTACCCAACAGTCCAGTACCCGGCTTAACCGTAGGAAGCTAATAACTAAAATACTTCGTCACTCAGGTCAGAGGCGTAGCGACCCTTCCCGGCGCCCGGGGACAAACTTTTCATTTGCACCCCCCCCTCAAACTTTCAATTTGGCGCCCCCCTCAGGTCGGCGCCCGGGGACATATGTCCCCCCCCCTCTACGCCTCTGACTCAGGTCAAATTAATGCATACTGACAGGTAGATGAATGCAATCTTAATAAAATAACATTTAACGATAATCGAAAAAAGTTGGCACTTGGGCAGTGGCAAGCAAGGAATTGTTTGCTGGCTACAACACAGATGTGGGGTTGGGGCTGGTGCCCAAGCGGCTGTCAGCTGTCCATATACTTTCTACCTCACCTACTCTCATTGTTCTCTGCTGTGTTTCTTCCACTTTTTTCTCCGGGGGGGGGGGGCACTTGAAATTTTCGGGGGGGGGGCGGTAGACTTTCTTCGTGGGGGGGGCGGACACTGTTAAAAGTATATATTTTCTATATAAATTATATAAATTTCAATTCGTTCGGGGTTAAGGGGGGGGGGGGGCGGTAAAAAAATTTCGGGGTGGGGGGGGGGGGGGGGGGTGGGGGGGGCAAAGCCGCCCCCCCCCCCCCCCCCCCCCCCCGAAGAGATGCCTGGAAGAAACTCTGGTTCTCTGTGTTTTTATCCTGTTTAAAGTTATTTTTCTTTACAGTATAATATTTTTATGAGTTTTGAAAATGAAATGATATAATTTTTTATATTTGTGCATGGAACTCAAGAGCCGCATCTTGACATCAAAAGAGCCGCATGCGGCTCGCGAGCCGCAGGTTGCCGATCCCTGGCCTAGAGGCGTAGTTAATGTGACTTGCTGTACTCAACTCATAGCAATAATAGTTCACATTTATCATGCTCATTCCATAAAAAAGCACAGGATCAAAACAGAAAGCCGACACGGTTCAAAGTAATCAAAGGCTGTCAATGACGCAAAACGTCAACAACACACAATATTAACGGACAAGGCCCACTGAGGAGAAGCCAACCAAGGAAAGGCCTATGGCAAAAAAATGCAAAACACAATGATGTGCCTACATTTCTTTTATAATAAATTTCTCTGCCGCGTATTCAACTAAATGCATAACAAAAGTGAAGATTGATGTGCTAAATATTTTATAGTATTTTTACTTATTGTTATAAACCATAATGCTTTTAAAGTTTATGATTATGCTACCAAAAAGAAAAAAAAACCCAACAACGCCTATAGTAATAAATACCCAAAATTTTACAATTCTCTACAATTGAATCAAAATATTTCTTATAAGATTTTTGTGACTTTTTTCTGTGACTTTTTACTTAGCAAAGGGTCGGCGTGGTCGAGTCGGTAAAGCTCATGGTTGCTAAACCGAAAAGTCTCGAGTTCGAACCCTCGTTAGCTGGGGACACCCACTCTTCTAGTAGAGACAACTCCAAAATTAAACAGCTGCTCCCTTGTAATTTGTTCTTGGTTGGACAAAGGCTATGGAAGCAAATCCAAAAAAGAAAAGCAGGCTGAAATCGGAGTCAATGGCCTCATGGCGCATAACCAGTTGACACGTAACGCTTAATTGTGTTGGAGGCGTGGTCGAGTTGGAAAAAGCTCATGGTTGATAGATTCGAACAAAGTCTCGAGTTCAACCCACTGGCAGATAAATCTCGATCCCCTCCAACACTAATAATTAAGAACGCAGAAGAAGAAGAGACTTAGCAAAAACTGTGACTTTTTTCTTTGATTTTTTTTCCTATGACTTTTTCCGTTAACCGAAAAAAAAAAACGCCCAGTCAAAATAGCCACGTCCGAAGGCCCCCGACATAAAGACTCACGTCACATTGATTCGCCACTTACAGGCCCCCGACAAATGAGCTCCCAACATTTAGATCACGACATATTGGCTCCCGACAAATTAGCTCAATATATATTGGCTCCCGACAAATAAATCGTATGACTAAGACTTTCGACATAGATGCAACCATTTTGTCCAACCCACCTACCACACTCAGTTGCCACCTATACTACCAACTACCACTATAACCTCTTTTAAATGCCTGGATGAAAAACTAACAGCAATTCATAAACAAATCGAGCTCTTAACAGATAAACTCCACCAATTTTAAAATTTTGATGTTCTATTTACAACGGGGAAGCTATGTTGCTTCGATGCGAGTACATATCTTTAAATGTATGACATAGACGTACCAAGATGTTTATAGGATAAACGGCGTTTTGTTTTGATAACCTACAAGCAGGTCAATGTACAGCGTGGATCTATCTCCCAACACACTGAGTTGGAACAGCCCACAACCAACTCATTTGATGGAAGCCATAGCTAGATGAACCTCAAATTTATGACCTACTATTTTTTATATTATACAAAATACAAAAAAAATATGGCCTGTAGAACAACAGCTGCACACGTTGTATTATTTAAGGGTGGAGGCTAAACCAACTTTAAAGGTGTTGTATTCAATGAGACAGTTTCGACGGTCTCTACGGAAACCGTATTGAAAGGGGCCCTTTTGTCGAGAAGCCAAAATGACACTCATTGACAGGAGCCTATCTGTCTGGAGCCTAAATGACGGGAGCCTATTAGTCGGGAACCTAAATGACGGGGGCCTATTTGTCGTAAGCCTATACATTTGATGCCGACTCTTTTGACGGGGTCTATTAGACAGGGGTCTTATGTCGGGGTCGTTTTGTCACTGGCTGTTATGACGCCGCACGACTTAAAGTAACTTTAAAATAATTATTTTTTAAAGTCTCTTATTGTGAGCAGAAATATTACCACGTAAAAACATCATGATGGTCAACAGTATCAAAAGTGTGATGGTCAACTGTGTGATGTTCAAGTCAGCGCAGAATTTCTTTCAGACACCTCTACGTAGTTGGGGGTGCAGTGTCTCACCCCCCCCCCCCCCCCAACCAGAGAACGTCGACTGAACGTCGATTGAAAGAAACCCTTGGTCGACAACTCTGGTTTACTATTAAAACTACAAATTCCATATTGCCGGCGTCATCGACAGGCACTGCATTATATAAATCTACCACCTCTTTCTATATCTTTATTTAATAAGCAAAACTCGGGCTAAAGCCTAGCAAAAAAAAAAAAAAATTTACATTGCAATTGTGCAATGGTTTTATTTTTGTACCCATAATGTTAAATAGCCTTATCAAAGGGAGGCTATACTGAGAAAAGAAACGAACAAGAGGAATACAACAGTTCATGTTTATTTACATTAGCCTCGATTCAAAATTAATAAATTATAGATCTACGCATTTAAAAAACACTTTGCCAAATTTCGTTAATTTTTTTAAATCTTAGGTACCTTGTTCAATTAGTTAAACTTACTACACATTTATAATTTTCAATGATAATCATGACAAAATATCAGTCTATTACTAGACTATTTAATATATTTATGCGAAAAAAATTGATTGAAAAATGTTTCAACTTTTTATAATTTTAAAGAGTATTCTCTAAGTCTATCTCCCCCCCCCCCTCCCCCTTCTTGTGTATAACAGACGCCTAGTTTTAAAAAATACGAACTATCGGTTCACTGCCCTCAACACTGTCCAACACAGCGAACGGCCTACAGACGTGACTATTTTCGTCATGACACCCTGACCCTCCCCCACCTTAGTGTAGTCGGTAGTACTTGAGTCCTTGGATCAGCCTACACATTGAAACATCGACCCAAAAACTAGCCTATCATAAACACTGAGGTTCTATTCAATAAATAGACTACGAGTTGTAAAATTTTCCTTACCAAGTTCAGCACTCACAAGATGTAATGGTGACCTCTGACCCCTACACGTTATAATGGTCAGCGCGTATGTTTACCTCTCGACTGCGAACACGTGTCGTGTGTACCGGCCTACTCATGTAACACAAGGTCACACAAGGTCGCGGGTTTCGTAAGCTCTGTGTTCTAGGTTGCGAGGTCAAAAAACGTAAACAAAGGCCTTTTCTTTGAGGGAAGGAATGAAACATCACAGTCCTCGAACTGTTTTTGGTCCTATTACAAGCCTCTGCGCAACGCAATTGAAGTAACGGAATGTGGATTCTAGTCCTACTGTAAAGGTCATATCAGATGCTCTTTAAAAGTCACCGGCCTGTACTTAAAAAGGGATAAAATTATTACGGCGGCTACTATGAAATATTACGGTAGCTTTGCAGATTTAACCCAGTTTAGTAGCGTACATATATTACATAAGTGTTAAGAACCAGACTATTCTCACTCAATTTTTTTAAAGTGTGCACAAGGCAAAGTGGGAAAATTGTTTGGTAGATAATAGTGAGATATTTTCACGATTATTTGCTATGATTCATGGGTGGATTAAGAACAGAGGGGCATTTAAGTATGTGTACTAAAATAGGGAACCGATACATATAGGACCTAGATATATATTATACTCAAATAAATAACTTTTATATAATATATACATATACAATGGGTCCAATATTTTTTAAATAAGTCACCCCCCCCCCCTCTTTGCATTACACACTAAAGGCTACTAAATCACAATACTAGTCGGATTAACAAGGCACGGTTTATAGCACTTTTCTACTTGTAATCTTGAATCTTAGGTATCACTAAAAGATCATTGAACTGAACTAATTTAGTTTTAATTAAATTAAATGAGATTAAAGAGGTCTCTAATGGCAATGCTATTGAGTATAACTACTTTAACAGATTCCACTTGTCTCCACCTCAAACTAAATGGAATTTATATAAGAAAATATATACTTCTAACAGTGCCCCCCCCCCCCCCAGGAGAAACAAGTCTAGAAGAAACACTGCACCCACTGCCAACAAAAAAAGGGGTTAGCTAACATTTCTGAATCAACTGAACTGTAAAAACCACATACCAGATGAAATTAAGCATTTGATGATGAACTGAAGCATCATGATTTTGCACCAGCTGACTATCAATAATAATACTACCTGTGAAATGTCCAGATATACTTTATTTCAGCAGCTGCATTTAGCTTAGGTAGCCAGAAATAGCCACTTTATCTTACAGACTTTTTACTCCGGGGGGGGGGGGTAGGGGGTGTGGAAGAGTATTGTTTTCTATATAAATTCCATCCCCACCCTCTCCCCGAAGAGATGCATGGAAGAAACTCTAGATATAGCATGTCTAGGTCTCTTTGAGATGTAACATAAATTTTAATGGTCCAACAACAATAGAAAATGTATAGTGTAATCAAGACTAAACAAAAAATTAGCAGCAAAAAATGTTTTAGTTCTTTTATTGGCCTTCATGTGATGTTACCTCTTTGATTAGTCACTGTAAATAGTACATGACACAACTTTGATTATTAACTTTATTTAAACTTTAAGGCTATACATTCTTGTAATCATGTGCTGATGATGTGTTTCACTTTCAGATTGTCACTATTCTAGATATTTGTGTGAATGTGCATAGATCTTTTGTAAATTAGACACTAAATTAAGTTTTTATGTACTGTAATAAAATTACTTATCAGACAGTGAAAAACTTCTTCACAAGCAAGTCATGAAATTAAATCCTATTTTAATTATTATTAGCCTTTAAAACAAATACACAATATTAAATCCTATTTTAATTATTATTAGCCTCTAAAACATACACACACATGATGAAATTTTTAAAAAATGCACATGTTCAACATAACTTAAAACTAAATTATAACCAAACAAACAAGACGAGAGACCAAGGCTTAGAGAGAAGAAAATAATTTTAATACATGATAAAACTTCCTTGACAGGTCTACAGTTGGATACACAGTTAAAGTTGAAACTCACTCCCTCAATCAGAAGATCAATTTAAAACAGTTTATTTAACTTATTTCAGCTCATTCACTCACTCATCAACCACTAGTCTGATATATTAAGTACTCATTTCCTTTTCTTTGAAGCAACTGAAGCTGTTGCTGATGCAGATGGAGTGTAGACATTTTGAGAAATGCGGTTGATGTAGTAAAGAGCCACAAGTGAAAATATAAGGCTGGGAACAGAAAGAAACATCTATATATTTTATAACAAAAAAAAAACTGTTCCAGTAATTTAGTTTTTAACTTTATTCTTGTTATTTTTTCAATAACAAAAATGGTTCAGACATATAAATGATTATGGTAAAAGAAATTTAGACTTGCCCTTAAATAGTTTTACCTCTGTACTAAAGTACCCCTCCCCTTTCCTTTATAAAAATACACACTGTTACAGCTGGTTAATTAGAAAACTTGAGTCACTTACCAAGTGGTTACACAAACTCTGTGTACTAAAGCTGAAGCAAACATTGCTACAAATAAGCATGCTACAACTGAAAAAGATGATATCAAATATAGACTGTATTCCAGCAGTAACACTATTGACATAACAGAATTTAGCTAACATCACAAAAATTAGGAGGACTTTTAACCCTTTGAGCCCGCCAGGCCAGTAAACCAGCTTCAACAATAGGCATATATGTCAGAAAAGCCGGTTTTCCGGCCCGATGATCTAGCGTCATATTCCTAGCGGCCGGTAAACTGTCTAATTAAATATAATTAGCGGAAGACTGACTAAAACTGCGCATATGTCTTTTTAGTGCGGGATTATGATTCTAAAAATAGATTTTAGGAAAAGTGAAAGTGTTTACATTTTGTAGCAATTCCGCCGAACCGAAAAGCTGAGCCACATAAAGTCGGTGCAAAAGATGAAGCAAAAGACCGAATTACCAACAAAAGAAGTAGAATGACTGCATCTCAGGCAATACAACTACTTATTGATTCTGATGAAGAAGATAATATTCCTGGTCTATATTGTGATGATAGTGACGTTGAATTTGAGACTGAACACCATGACATTGAAATTGACAGTGACAATGAAACTGTTCAAGTACGTTCTGATACACGTGGTGCTGTAAAACTTCAGTCTCCCTTGCGTGTTAATAATAATTATGTGTTCGTTTTATACACATTGTTCTGTTCATACATTGTAAAAAAAAATAAAGAAATTTCCAAATCTTGCTGCATTGTTGTTTGATCCTGAGTCTGGATTCCAAATTTGGCTTCATTATCTTAAATGGTTCAAAACTTATAGGCCAAGTATAAGCAGATAAGTAAAAATTTCTTTGACCCTGGGAGCTCAGGAAATGGGAGAAATTAGGTCAGGGAGGCCAGGGCTCAAAGGGTTAAGACATGTCTTAAGACAGAGGAATATGTGAACTTTACCTTGAACACAAAGAAAAGAAACAACTTAGACCTTGGTTAAGACACTAACTGAATTTTTAAGAATATCAATGTAATGTATAAACAGTAATAAATAATACATAGACATTGAAACTAAAGGACAAGACAAAATGTCAAGACAAAAATATTTCAGTTTACATGATTAATAACTGTTTCAGCTTGTGTGGTACTTGTTTTTACCTGAATGCCTAAATAATAATTAAAAAATGAATGAAAAAGATAAAAACTTCCCTCACCTTCAGGAAACAGCTTTGTTTGAAATCCTTTGCCAAATGCTAAAGTTTCAACATTGCTGGTAAACTGAATACATTTTAAGGAAGAAAATATTACCACAGTTTTACATGACTAAAAATATTCACTCACGCTGTGTTTGTAATAATTCATAAAAAATTATAATTACAATAGTAAAAAAATTGGGAATAAAGCTCACAAGAAATATCCATTTGAATAACAAAATAGTATGGTACTTTTTTTTATCTATAAAAAAAACAAAGTGACCCTTAAATCCTCAAATACAAACTATTGACGTCAAAAGGATACTGTTAACAAGGTGATGAATAAAATGGAACCAATAAATCCTCCAGCAATTGTAAAATATTCTTTAGATGCAATGTCAGCTTTGAAGATTTGCATTAAAGCAAACACAAGTATGCTAAGCAGAAGTGACACAGCAGCTGATGGGGCAGTAGAGAGTGCTGAAAATAAAGTAAATTATATCACATGTAGCAGTTTTGTACAGCAAAAATATTTATAAATAGCCATGTGTTTATTGTGTTGCCATTGACAATTACCTAAACCCTTAGTTTTATAAATATTCAGATACGTAGGCCCATATTTGGCAAACGAACAACTATATATACTTCAATTTTCTGTTTTTAAAACAATTTGTGTACTATTACTACTATGTTCATTTGTACACAATTTCTCTCTATCTATCTCAACTAGCACTATTTCAACTACTGAGCTATGGTTCACTTTGACTAGCCTTTTCAAGCTCTGTTGGTCTTCAGACGAGTTATGCTAATTTTTGGAATGTGATTGATATGCCACCATTATGAAAGAGATATAATATAAGATGGTCGTCTTTGTTTTTGATAAACCCAAAAAAAAAAAAAAAACCAAGTCGGTTTGTAACCATATTGTTTCAATAAAAAAGGTATTATTTATGTTAAATTAAAATCTAAAAAGAAATGTGATTAGTTGCTAGTACATAGGTCTACACAAATTGCAAAGATATCAATTTAAAACATTTATTTCTGAAATTAATGTTTGGTGTTGAAACAACACTGGATGACAACATCAAATAGCTTAGACAGAAAAAAATTGGGCAGTCCTAATATCTAATTTTAGATTGCGTTTGACCTAGTGAACACATTTGAGGACCAGCGAGTTCCACACAAATCTGGGCAAAAATCTTTTTAAATTAAAATTCTTAGTTTCTTTTACTTTCTCACCTAGGCCTAGTTTTTGTAGACAGATTCTAGACTTATAAATAATTTGGTTGGTGATTCATTATTTGATTTATCAGTCTGCGAAAACAGATATTAAATATCTGAGGCAGTTTTTTATATTAGCTGCTTAAAAAAGACAACTAATTTTAAAAAAATAATAAATCACCGACCTCTATTGGGCTGGATAGTTTATCCGGGATGCTCAGTTGATTTAGTAAACTCTTGTTGATTTTATGATTAATCTTATTACTTATAACTTGCATTTTTTGCTTTTATTGAGCAGTAGGCCTAAATTCAATTTGATTTCTATTAGCCTAGGCCTAAATTACTAATTAACGCTGCTAACCCAAATGTCTTGCATTTGAATCCGGGGCCAAGTCAGTAGAACATCCCTGAGTCTATCCAGCTCTGATGGGTACCTAACTCATGTTAGGGAAAGTAAAGGCGGTTCGGCAAAGTGCTGACCACATCTTCCCTTAATTATGCAGAGGACAAAAAACATATGAACTCTACTTTATCTGCGCAATAGATTGTGCTGGTCCTAAGCCCAGTGAAGAAGGAGGGTATGATCATTTTACAATGATATCTAGATCTTCTATTTATAATTTGTCCTAATTAAATATTGCTAAAACACACTGAAAAAATATATTTAAAAAAAACACGTGAATATGAATATATTTTAAAAGTTTAGATTTAGGTCTAAACCTATGTATTTTTCATTATTGCAAACGCAATTCTTTTTGGTTCATTCATTGGGCCTATGCTAAAATGCAGGCCTATAAAATAAAAATATAGTAGGCCCCTAAATAGGTTACATAACCAAGTTACGAGTTTGCTTTTGATTATGTTTACCGCCGCATACCTCCATTTTAACCGCACCCACCCGATCCTTTTAAACCTTAATCCCCAATTTTGGGTCAACTGCTATATTCTAGATCTAGTAGAGGCACCAATAATTAAAAGGCCGATTCCAGCCGGAGAAAGATATGCATGCGCAATAGCGAGAAACTACAACTTTCCTTCGTCGCGATGTTTTCAATGGTACTGCGCATGCGTGTGTTAACAAACAAACCCCAGAACCCTAACCCTAGCTCAGCTATTAAGGTCACAGCGCATGTGCAGAACTATCTTTTGCCGACCAGAGTAGTCGCTTCGTAATTAAAATGCTGTACATTGTACATTAGCCCCAAATGAGCTAGAACCATCAAATTTAGTGTCTAGTTGGTTTGAAAAAGATTCTCTTGTTTTCAATGGTACTGTTTAATGGCATTGTTTTAGCCTCTGGGCCTAAAAATATATTTATTGCTGCTAGATCTTGTCTAGATCTACCTACACTTATTCTACAATCTACTGTTACTCGTACTCTTGCAGCAGCCGAGGCCGAGTGTAAATTTTACTAGACTCAACAAGTCTAGAATTCTAGATCTAGAATTTGTTTATCTCAGATTTAGGAGCAAAGATTAGTGTCTGCCAGGTGCATTATACAAATATTCTCGAATCAATAATTAACATTTGTAACAACGTAGAAGGCAATTATTTACCCATTTTTGGTCGATAACACAATTTCAACTGACTATTGATATTAGCAGACCGGTGGAAGTTATACGTGTTGCTTCCGCTTAGGGATACTATATTATTTTATAATGTTTTCTTAAAAACTAATAAATATACGTTGTGATATTGTCCGAGAGTAAATTTTTTTGATAAAATTAACTAATTATAATGCGAATTTGAAATATTATTTATAAAAATTACTCACAGGTCTTTACTTTCAAAATTTATATTTACACAATGAGTACTCACTAGACAGCAACACTAAACTGTCTGCAGTTAAAAATAAAACGATGCGTCGAACGTTTCCTTTGTACATCAAGTTTAGCGGAATAGCCGACTTAAGAATATAAGTAAACTGTCCAGTAAAAAATTGCATTTTGATGCACGGGCGTAGTTAGTGAAAAGTTCGCGCGCGTGTATATAGGGGGGGGGGGGTCCTAAATAAATGTCTTAAGTTAATTTAAATTTTAAGATATTGGCTTCTCCCCGACTACGCACTTATGTCGCCAGAGCCGGCGTTAGGGGTACGCGGGGCCTATGGCCAACCATCCGCGCGGGGCCTTATATTTTTTTCATTGGTGTATAATTAAATAAAACATATACAATGAGGCGTTTTTTTTTCCTCCTCAAAGCGAATTAATATTTATAACGATATATATGGTATTTTTAAGCTGTTTATCAATGTCGTATTAACATTAAGACACTGATTAACAAATAATTTGTTTACTTAAAAGTGCTTTTGAAACGTTGCTTTTTTCTGTTAAGGCTTTTTGTTTGAAAAGTAAAAAATAAAACAGATATAAGTTTGAGACACGCATTAAAGAGTCGATGAACGTCAGCTTCAAACCTGATTTTTTTACATTAATGTTTATTTATGAAAATCTTACCAGTACGTTCACAAACGAAGATCTACTTTTCTTGCCTTTCGTGAGGAAAATTCCATGATTATATGATACGAGCCGGCCCGCGGCATAACATACGCCGCTAGTTGTTTCTAATTTTCAATAATTCATAATTTGTGAATTCGACAGTACCAACGCTGACACTGAAAATATTTCTTTAAAACACTATAAGTAGCTCGTTAAGGACCATAACCCCCCCCCCTTCCTCCCCCCCCTCCTCCCCCCCCCCCCTACGTTTAAAATCGTTGGCTCTGCTTGTAAACATTTAGAGTGAACACAGCTCACTAAAACCATGTAGGGGTGGGGAGGTAGGGAGAGCGTTTGCAGCTTGTTTTCTAACGGCTCGAAGAGGAGAATTATATATATAGATCATCATAGTCCAAACTGGAGGCTATGTCTTTTTCTATTGACAGAATCGACAGGCCGCAGAGCCTGTCTTGGGACATCGTTGATCTCAAATAGTTCTTGATCAACTTCAGTTTGGAGAAACTTCTTTCGGCGCTTGCCACTGTGACTCGAACTGTTTGCAAGATTCTGTAGGCGATCGCCGTATTGGGAAAGGAATCCCGAATACTCCAAATGTACTGAAGGCACTGTTTGGCTGACTTAATACCTTCGGGCACTTTGAAGCAACGTTAAATCGGTCCACAGTGGCAGGTGATAGTATCGATATTTTCTCAATTTATCGAGGGTTAACAGGGGCATTCAAAGTGTGTGGATGCCGGGGAAAATAGCAAAACATTGATAGATTTCGGAATAAGATCGAATCGTGAAAAAAACTGTTTACAGCTATAGATATCCAAATGAAATGACTCTCAAATGTAATCACGGACGCTCAGTAAGGTGGAACACTGGGGGGGGGGGGTGACAGTTGGTGGGGGGAGGTGAAGCCCGTGAAGGATAACTGTACATTTAAATCTATGGGACGCCAAACCCTAAAAAAAATCAGTTCGGGTACTACGTTACTGGATCTGGCCGCAGCCATTCAAGAGAAGGTGCGTGTGTATAGAGCGTCCACGTATTACATTACAGGTTAAGACCGCGTTCTCACAAGAGAAGGTCCGTGTCTATAATTAGAAAGTGAACCATGTTATTTATGAGTTTCGCGATGGCATGCTCGGACTGCCGGTAATTTAGACGTTTTAGAAATCAGGAGAACTTTACTATAAAACAGTCTCGGTACGATGTATCAAACAGTATAGACTTTATAATTTGTTTAGTGTGCCTACACTATTTTAAAACAAGAATCACTATGGCCTTAACTATTATACTGAATATCCCTACACAGAGGCGTAGCGAGGGGGGTGCGGATCGCACCGGATGACACCATTAAGGGGGGTGACACCAAGGCAAAAAATAGCAAAATATATAGAGAAAAACTTGAGGGGGGTGTACATCGAAAGTTTGAGGTGGGGGGGGTGCAAATCGAAAACTTGAGGGGGGGGGGTGCAAATCGAAAGTTTGAGGGGGGGGGGGGTGCAAATTGAAAATTTGAAAGTTTTTTCCCGGGAAGGGTCGCTACGCCTCTATGGGAGGGGGGTGTCACCATTAAGTGCCGCACCGGGTGACACCTGACCTCGCTACGCCACTGTCCCTACAATTAATTAAAATAAACATGTGCTTAATCACTTTACGAATACCGTTAAAGTTTACCAAAATGAAAATGGACATAATTACTGTATAAATGCCCTTCAAAAATATAAAAATAAATACAAGTATAATGTATTTAAAGATGACCTGACAATATATAAAATAAATATGAACATAATGACTGTATGGATGCCTATCAAGCGTATCGTGGTGAATATGCATAATTACAAAAAAGATGCTCATACAGTGTATAAATTATGATTTTAGGGATAAATACTCTGGAATTCCGGGGCATGTCCCCATCCGCTCACCCCCCCCCCCCCCCCTCCTCCTCTGCAAGACATCATCAGGTCACTGACTGTTTACTACAGGCACCCCCGCCTGCTCACTAAAAAAACGTCTTCAACGGTCCGCAAACAATAGGGTATCTTTTTACATTTTTCCCGATTTTACCTCCCATGTCAGGTCGGGGGCTAATTCGCGACCGCCATCTCCAGTCACCTCAGGACAATAGCGAGTCGACCGTGCCAGCGATGTGTGACACTAATGTCTTTCTTTAGAATAACGGTCTGTCCCAGCCCATGTAAAGGAAAACTCACTAACATCAGCCGTGGCCTCAGTTTTAACATCCAACAACTTCGGCCATTTAGTTGGTTTTTTTTTTAAATTTAATTCAGCAAAGGTTATTTAAGTTTACAAACTAATTCAGGCAACAATGGCCTTGCTGAAGCGCGGGGCCCCTTCAAGCGCGGGGCCTGGGGCGGTCGCCCCGTTTGCCACCCCCTAACGCCGGCTCTGTATGTCGCGTACTGTTTACAATTTGAAAGTCATAAAAAGACAACTCTATATTTTAAAAATAGTTAAGCAAGGGGCCTGTATAGGGCTAATATAAGCCATAAACCCTTTGGAAAATATGACAAAATCCAGGCTTTGGGTAACCTATAAATGACGTCACGCATTTTTGACGATTTTTATCTCATTCTCCTCATAGTTAGACATTATCACAAACAAGTTAATAAAAAGTCTAGTGACAATTTAAGCGCAATTTCCTTAATTAATTTTTTGTGACCGAACGAAAGGATATTTTTGAAAACTTTCTTCGGCAATATTGTTCTAAATCATGGCAGGAATCGATTGGTAAATGTCGCTAAGTGGTCTGGTTGCCGAGATATGGGCAAAAAACTGCATTTTTTCGAGGTTTTTTGGCTTTTCCGGGAAATCCAGGAAGGAATTCCGGGAATATTTTTGGCCCACAATCATCATCGGAACTTGCTTAACATATTTGCTTTGGAACTAGTCCTCGATATTGCTTCGTTGAGGAGGAGATACGACTTAAAGCTGCGGACACATCCATCCATCCATCACCAAAAATGACGAGTTAATAATCGCAATTGTCCAGTATGGAAATTGCGCTAAAAAACCCTACCCCTAACATGACGTCACACCTCAACCCACAACCCACCTAAAAATGTCAGTTCTAGTTGTCTAAAACAGCGTTTTCTTTTTTATAATGTTTCCCAAGCTCGGTCAATATTGAATACAGCAATATAAATTAGGGCCTATACATTTCTATTATAATTTAGAGCCTTTAAACAAACGTGAAATCACGGCTAAAATTAAGATTCTAACTTAACTTTTTAAACTCCTAAGTCAGTGTCGTCACACTTTGTGACCTCAAGTTCCCTAATGTCACACATATTCACAGATTGACGGCCTAATGTTTTAACTTATGAGTATCTACCTTACACATACATAGGAGGTCATCCATAAAAAAAAGTTACTCTTCTTTTCTAACATATAGCGCCCATTTCCACCCCCCCCCCCTCCCCCCACACACGATAATTTTAGAAATATTGCTCAATGTTGATTAGTTTTGATTACAATTTAATTAATAAAGATAATAAATAAAATTTGTTAAACAACTGCCAAAGTTCAGTTCAAATTCAACACAATGGAAGAGATCTATTTAACATAGTGAAATGTCATCCAATTACAACCAATACATCACACATGCAGCGCCATAATCAGACTATTAAACACGTCAAGCATTCACATTCATACAGAGTTTCTTCCAGGCTTCTCTTCGGGGGGGGGGGGGGGGGGGGGTTGGGGGGGGGGGCGAAGCCCCTCCCCCCCCCGAAATTTTTTTACCGCCCCCCCCCCCCCCCGAACGAAATGAAATTTATAATTTATATAGAAAATATATACTTTTAACAGTGTCCGCCCCCCCGAAGAAAGTCTACCGCCCCCCCCCCCCCGAAAATTTCAAGTGCCCCCCCCCCCCCCCGGAGAAAAAAGCATTCATACCACACAGTAATTACAAGGTTGCTTCCCTTTCCAATAAAGTAGCAATAGACTTACAAAAGAGCTGTTTGAATAATACAGGTGTTCAAAAAAACAAAAAAAAAAAAAAAAAAAAAAAAAAGAAAAAGAAAGAAAGAAAAACATACAGTGAAATTCTAAGGTGTAGTTTTGTTAAGATTGTGTTTTTTTTTTCTGTTACAATACAGAAACAAATAAATAAACTTTAAATATAAACGTCAGAGTGGGACGATGCAAATATAAGGACCATTTTGTAAATTTAGAATAATCTTTATCTAAAATAGGAACTCTGATATTGGACTATTAATTTCAAACACAATTTACATTCCTACAGAGACAAAGTCTCACATTGGGTCTTGAGACGTTTTATAGATATGTATTGGCCAGGTGAGTACAGCCACAGGTGTTAAGGAAATCATTAAGTTGTGACTAGTATATGTTCACGTGACCAGCATATCCTCACGTGACTAGCATATCCTCACGTGACTAGCAAACCATCACGTGACTAGCATATCCTCACGTGACTAGCAAACCATCACGTGACTAGCATACCATCACGTGACTAGCATATCCTCACGTGACTAGCATATCCTCACGTGACTAGCATATCCTCACGTGACTAGCATATCCTCACGTGACTAGCATATCCTCACGTGACTAGAATACCCTCACGTGACCAGCATATCCCCACGTGACTACCATATCACGTGACAAGAATACCCTCACGTGACCAGCAAATCCTCACGTGACTAGCATATCCTCACGTGACTAGCATATCCTCACGTGACTAGCATATCCTCACTTGACTAGCAAACCATCACGTGACTAGCATACCATCACGTGACTAGCATATCCTCACGTGACTAGCATATCCTCACGTGACTAGCATATCCCCACGTGACTACTATATCACGTGACTAGAATACCCTCACGTGACTAGCATATCCTCACGTGACTAGCATATCCTCACTTGACTAGCAAACCATCACGTGACTAGCATACCATCACGTGACTAGCATATCCTCACGTGACTAGCATATCCTCACGTGACTAGCATATCCCCACGTGACTACTATATCACGTGACTAGAATACCCTCACGTGACTAGCATATCCTCACGTGACTAGCATATCCTCACGTGACTAGCATATCCCCACGTGACTAGCATATCCTCACGTGACTACCATATCACGTGACCAGCATATCCTCACGTGACTAGCATATCCCCACGTGACTAGCATATCCTCACGTGACTAGCATATCATCACGTGACTAGCATATCATCACGTGACTACCATATCATCACGTGACCAATATCAAACTCAATATTTTAGCAGACGTGTCCATGAAGGTTTCAATATTTAACTCTGGGATGGAGATCAAATGAAATTTCATATGTCCAAGCAATGATAACAATTCTAGTATGAAACTTCATATGCCCCACCCATCACAACATGTAATAGATAAATATAACTATTATTGTGAATAGAAACATCAAACAGGCTAAATAAATTACTTTTTTTCAAATCTTATTTTAAAGGCCTTCATTTTTTGCTCATTGCTGCACACCAAATTAAAAGTCGATTTTTAAATTATCATATTGTTTTCAAAAGTCAAAAGCCTCGTTTTATTTTACTTCCGTTTACTTTGTTCAGTATTGCATTTGTTTTTGTTTATCAAAATTCTTTAAATAATAGGAAAATAGGAAAATAGATTTTTACAGATCAAAAAGAACATTATAGAGCAACGAAACGAATCTAAAGTTTAGGGCCCTTTAGGGCGACCTACTAGACCTGCAGGCCAACTATTGGAGCCAGTGTAAATAAGAGATATTGAAGGAGTTTTAGTTTAAAATAAGGCAGAGGCATAACAGGTGACATATTCGAGATCTAGGCTACTCTTATTATTATAGTCTTATAGGTTTTTTTTTTTTCTATTTTGCTATTCATGACTTTTGAAGCTTATTTCTACTCCTTCAGAAGTTAATTACTTTTGATCACAATTTTAGAAAAACGTTTATAAAGAGATACACACAGTCTGCAAACAGTGACCTATATCGAATAACTGACTAAACCAGCTGAGCAATAAAACAATGGCTACAGAGAATGAACAACTCATCTTCAAGCCTGCCAGACGGTTGCCCGGGCAACTGAACGCCTTCCCCACCTACCCGTGGATGTTTACCTGGCCAATGAGCGCCAGCGAGAGGTCAAGGATAACTTACGGAGCTCCGTGCGAAAGGTCAAGGTCATATCATCCTTACAAAATGGTTAGTGGATTATGTACATCAAAACATGTGGTTGAATACTTTTTGTATGACCGCTTTCTATGGAAATAGGATACTGTATAGAGTTGATTTATCCAAGGGTAGCTGGTACGGTAAGCCTACAGTTAAAGATTAGTAAAATTGTAGAGTTAGGGTCTGGGCAGAGATACCAACATATGAATAGCTCCGATATGCCCTGCCAGTTGGCATAGAAACTACACTACATTTTCAAAGTGCAGGGAAAAGCAAATGTTCCTTTGTTAACTACAAACAATTGCCTCTCGTACAAAGAGCCCGAACAAATCGTCCTGTGGAAAGTTTTGCACGCCTTACAAAGTATACTGATGCGGCTACAATGTCTTTGGGTATCTCGCGAGTGACGTCAACGATCCCATGAAGTTGTATAGGGTACGGTCGACTACTTTATGTATCAGGAGATGGTCACTGAACATTTTTTTTTCATCCCTCAACCATGACTTTAAGGCTCCCCTTTCATTTTATGCCTGATTCGGGGTATAAAGTATGTTCATCAAAACACATCTTTTAAAATTAACAGTTGTTAGATAATTTTGAGATAATTTAATTAATTTAACTTTGTTTTACACTGGGCATATCAAGACTACCAATTTAATTAATTTAACTTAGTTTTACCCTGGGCACATCAGAACTACCAATTTAATTAATTTAACTTTGTTTTACCCTGGGCACATCAGAACTACCAATTTAATTAATTTAACTTAGTTTTACCCTGGGCACATCAGAACTACCAATTTAATTAATTTAACTTTGTTTTACACTGGGCACATCAGAACTACCAATTTAATTAATTTAACTTTGTTTTACACTGGGCACATCAGGACTACCAATTTAATTAATTTAACTTAGTTTTACACTGGGCACATCAGAACTACCAATTTAATTAATTTAACTTTGTTTTACACTGGGCACATCAGGACTACCAATTTAATTAATTTAACTTAGTTTTACACTGGGCATATCAGAACTACCAATTTAATTAATTTAACTTAGTTTTACACTGGGCACATCAGAACTACCAATTTAATTAATTTAACTTTGTTTTACACTGGGCACATCAGAACTACCAATTTAATTAATTTAACTTAGTTTTACACTGGGCACATCAGAACTACCAATTTAATTAATTTAACTTTGTTTTACACTGGGCACATCAGAACTACCAATTTAATTAATTTAACTTTGTTTTACACTGGGCATATCAAGACTACCAATTTAATTAATTTAACTTTGTTTCACCAGGACTACCAATTCAGGGACCGCACAACGGAGGGGATGGTGCCCCTGCCATTTGTTGACCTCAGGGGGGGCCCCGCCAATGTTCATAACGTGACAGCCTATAAACCAGAGCCTGCCCCCTTTCTTGAGGCTGTTGGCATACACAGGGACTTTTCCGTGTTCCAAGGTAGTGTGTTCAAATCTTGGTGTGTTTAAATCTTTTGTGTTTAAATCTTGGTGTGTTCAAATCTTGGTGTATTCACACTTTGGTGTGTTTACACCTTGGTGTTTAAATCTTGGTGTGTTCGCATCTTTTGTGTTTAAATCTTGGTGTGTTCAAACATTGGTGTGTTCACACTTTGGTGTGTTTACAAATTGGTGTGTTCACACCTTTTGTGTTTAAATCTTGGTGTGTTTACACCTTGTTGTGTTTACACCTCTATGTGTTGAAACCTCTATGTGTTGAAACCTCTATGTGTTTACACCTCTATGTGTTTACACCTTGTTGTGTTTACACCTCTATATGTTGACACCTCTATGTGTTTACACCTTTATGTGTTTACACCTTGTTGTGTTTACACCTTGTTGTGTTTACACGTCTTTGTCTTTACACCTCTATGTGTTTACACCTCTATGTGTTTACACCTCTATGTGTTTACACCTCTATGTGTTTACACCTCTTTGTCTTTACACCTCTGTGTGTTTACACCTCTATGTGTTTAAACCTCTGTGTGTTTACACCTCTTTGTCTTTACACCTCTATGTGTTTACACCTCTTTGTCTTTACACCTCTATGTGTTTACACCTCTATGTGTTGAAACCTCTATGTGTTTACACCTCTATATGTTTACACCTCTATGTGTTTACACCTTGTTGTGTTTACACCTTGTTGTGTTTACACCTCTATGTGTTGACACCTCTATGTGTTGACACCTCTATGTGTTTACACCTCTATATGTTTACACCTCTATGTGTTTACACCTTGTTGTGTTTACACCTTGTTGTGTTTACACCTCTATGTGTTGACACCTCTATGTGTTGACACCTCTGTGTGTTTACACCTCTTTGTCTTTACACCTCTATGTGTTTACACCTCTTTGTCTTTACACCTCTATGTGTTTACACCTCTATGTGTTGAAACCTCTATGTGTTTACACCTCTATATGTTTACACCTCTATGTGTTTACACCTTGTTGTGTTTACACCTTGTTGTGTTTACACCTCTATGTGTTGACACCTCTATGTGTTGACACCTCTATGTGTTTACACCTCTATGTGTTTACACCTCTTTGTCTTTACACCTCTGTGTGTTTACACCTCTGTGTGTTTACACCTCTATGTGTTTAAACCTCTGTGTGTTTACACCTCTTTGTCTTTACACCTCTATGTGTTGAAACCTCTATGTGTTTACACCTCTATATGTTTACACCTCTATGTGTTTACACCTTGTTGTGTTTACACCTTGTTGTGTTTACACCTCTATGTGTTGACACCTCTATGTGTTGACACCTTGTTGTCTTTACACCTTGTTGTGTTTACACCTCTATGTATTGACACTTCAGTGTGTTTACACCTCTATGTGTTTACACCTTGTTGTGTTGTAGATATAGTTAGGTATAGTTAAACTTTCATACAAAGGCGTAGCGATGGGGGGGGGGGTACATATGTCCCCGGTCGCCGACCATATGGGGCGCCAAAATGGGTTGTAAAAACAAATTAAATTGTTATTTTAGCTGCATTTTTGCAGTTTGAGAGGGGTGTGCAAATCGAAAAGTTGAGGGGGGGGGGGGTGCGGGTGCAAATCGAAAGTTTGAGGGGGGATGCAAATCGAAAAGTTGACGGGGGGGGGGGGTGCAAATTGAAAATTTGCTCCCGAGGGGGGCGCCAAATTGAAAGTTTGTCCCCGGGCGCCGGGGAGGGTCGCTACGCCTCTGCTTTCATAACCTAAACACGGACAACGTTCTCGCATTGTTTGGTCAACAGATGGCGTTCGTTACAACCGCATGATGGCTGAGGACAAGAGAATTTCACGCGATTGGTTGGCGCTCTACGGCAAAAAATATTTCTATGTTAAAGATTAGGTGGCGCTCTACGGCAAAAAATATTTCTATGTTAAAGATTAGGTGGCGCTCTACGGCAAAAAATATTTTTATATTAAAGATTAGGTGGCGCTCTACGGCAAAAAATATTTTTATGCTAAAGATTAGGTGGCGCTCTACGGCAAAAAATATTTTTATGTTAAAGATTAGGTGGCGCTCTACGGCAAAAAATATTTTTATGTTAAAGATTAGGTGGCGCTCTACGGCAAAAAATATTTTTAGGTTAAAGATTAGAGGGCGCTCTACGGCGAAAAATATTTATATATATAGATTACTGTGACACTTTCTGGACTCCCCCCCCCCCCGCCTCCATCAATACTCTTTATAAAGCATTTGTATAGAAATAGTTTTTGAATGGTAAATATATTTGATAGTTTATAAATATAATTACTAAAATATTTTATAAAGTAACTCACTGAAGCGCTAAAATAGTTTATAAAATTAACATCAAAAGCGCTAAAATATTATATAACATCAAAAGCGCTAAAATATTCTATATGAAATAACATCAAAAGTGCTACTATATTCTATAAATATAACATCAAAAGCGCTAAAAATATTTTATGTATTCAACATATACAAGTCTATTAAATAATTAATAGCCTACTAAATAATTTTCAGCCATAACGTTTTGTAACATCATATAAGAACATCATTTTGTGATATAATGTGTTGTAACATCATATTGTGAGAAAACCTCTGTATCATTTAACATCTTTGTACTTCCCAAGTATTAAAATTTGGATCTACACTCCACTTAGTGTGTGTCTAGTTTTTATTTGAAATATCACAAGGACTACTGGGAATGTGTATTGTACTAACTAAGAGACTTGCTGTAAACAATGTGTTAGTTTGCAGTGTGGGGTGATGTGTTTACGGTGTGGGGTGCTGTGTTTACGGTGTGGGGTGCTGTGTTTACGGTGTAAGGTGATGTGTTTACGGTGTGGGGTGCTGTGTTTAGGGTGTGGGGTGTTGTGTTTACGGTGTGGGGTGTTGTGTTTACGGTGTAAGGTGATGTGTTTACGGTGTGGGGTGTTGTGTTTACGGTGTGGGGTGTTGTGTTTACGGTGTAAGGTCCTGTGTCCATGGTGCTAGGCGGGCAACGTCATCGAGTCTTGATCTACGTGTAAAGCTAGAAACAAATTTTCTGGGAGATATAACATTTTTTTAAGAAATCGAAGATACCTCATTGGTCACCGGAACTCACTCAAAATTTGCCAGCAGAGAATAAGAAATGTATAATTATGATTTTTTTCACCTCTTCGAAACGGTACTTACGTTTTCGGTATTTTAGAAATCGTAACGTAGCACTTCCGGAAATCGGAGGTCACTCAAAATTTGAGAGTAATCAAACTACAAGATCTTATATTTATAAAAGCTAATGTCAACGGCCTATGTCTCAGGAGGGTGACACTAACCTACCTACAATACTTATATTTCAAATTTCGTCTAGTCGAGATAGTACTCACGTAATCATATACCCAAGGAAATAGAGCAAAGTACCACTTTGCGGTTACCGGAAATCTTTGAAAAGTTGATGGAAACCTTCGTATACAATGTCATACTTATATTTTAAATATTTTGTCAACTTAACTGAAATGGTACTCAAGTTATCATGTTTATACACACATGTTCACACACACACGCGCGCACACACACACACATTTTTCCAAAATTACACTGCTTTCTTTATGTTCCGTACTCAATAAAGTATGGAGGTGTCAAACTTGAAACTGTCAAAATATATGTTAACGAGCCGACCCGCTGCGTATCATACGCCGCTATTTAGTTGTTTTATTTTCTACTTTTCAGTAATTCATTATTTGTGAATTCAACAGTACCACTGCTGTCACTGAAAATATTTGCTTTAAAACACTATCAGTAAGTCGTTGAGGACGATAACCCACCATATATATATATATATATATATATTGTAACGTTAACCTTTCTATCAGCCAAATAGAAGGAGAACGTCCCCGGATTCTTTTTTCGGGGTCATATGCAAATGCCTTACGGCCTAAGTGGATGAACACTTAACACAACGACCACTAGGGCTCGAAATTAATGTCTAGGGGAGCTAGTGATACTATTGTAATTAACACTCATCCAATCTACATACGACCATTTAATCAGCGAACTCAGATGTGGCAAAACACAAAGATGAACTAGATAAAATATTTAATGTATAAAATATCAAAAACCCAACTTACACAATGTAGGAAAAAACACTATCACAGATTTCTACACTGTCCTAAGAACAGCTACAGGCCACACAACACTGCTGTAGCTTCCAGACTTACTTAGCGACAAGTAATATTAAACTAGAAGACTAAATCAACTGAAGAAAGCAAGGCACACACAGGTCTTAAGTACTCTCACGTTCAAATGGTCAGAGTCTATAGCCGGACAATATGGACGGCTGCCTGACTAAGGTAAAACGGCCTCGTAGACTTTTAGGTCAAGAAAAACTGCCTCGTGTTGCGAGTGTGCGGGGCAATTAAAGACTTCTGTGACAGGGGAGGTTATCCTCAACTCATGTCGCCATTGGTTGGGATAATCATCTGATCAGAATCATTCAATCAGATTTTAATGGAAATTTTCTATGTCTCAAACACCTTAATAGTCAATGGAAAAACCCCAGGTGTTACACAATCATTCCATATAAGGAATTATACAATGTCAAAATAAAAATGACTCGACCTAAGTAGGTCACATCCCCTCCCTTTTTGGAAGTGACAGATAGGTTCCACAAAAACATACATAAGGAACCAATCTGGCAATGAAATAACAAAAATGTTTTACAAATGTAGGCAATCAAAATCATAATACCAGATGAAAATATCCCTGAACATAAAAGAGAAGTAACTCCAACTTTTACAATTGGTGAAAGGGGAGTAACCCTTCAAAAAGTAATTATACATCAAAATCCCTCAAAAAAGGGTATTACAATTTTTCCATGAGAATATTAAAAGTGGTAAACCCGCCAGGGTAAGACCTTTATTTCAATGACTAGCTACAATATCAATTGAGTCATATGAGACATATTATTATAAAAGATTACATATAATCAAAAACTACCTTTAATTAAGGTTCACCTGAAAATAAACAAAATATTCAACAGGATTGGAATTTTGAAAAAAATTCAAAACTCACACCACTCATTTTCATATGAGTGACACTCAAACAAAACCTGTTTATGGTCCTAATGAACCACAAAGCATGTCACATGATCAATGTGTGTAACAAGATTTTACATCCTTGACAAACAATCAGCCACAACATTATCACTACCCTTAATGTGTGAAATTTCCAGATTAAAATTTTGGAAATATAAGCACCATCTCAATATTCTTTGATTTGTCTGTCCTAACTTAGAGGTAAATTTCAGGGGATCATGGTCAGAAAACACTCTGACTGGATTGGTTGAAGAAGAGACATAGACTTCAAAATGTTGTAATGATAAAACCAAAGCTAAAGCTTCTTTTTCAATAGTAGAATAATTCTTTTGGTTTTCATTTAACTTCCTGGAAAAAAAGGCAATGGGATGGTCAATTCCCATGTTGTCTTCTTGAAATAGGACTGAGCCAATGGCTAAGTTGCTAGCATCAATGGCAAGTTTAAAGGGCTTGCTAAAATTTGGTGCAGCCATAACAGGAGCATTTGATAAAAATGACTTAATGGTTAAAAAAGCTTCTTGACATTTATCTGACCATTCAAACTCAACACCCTTTTTCAATAATGCAGTAAGAGGTTCAGCAATAGCTGAAAAGTTTTGACAGAACCGTCTATAGTAACCAGCCATCCCAAGGAACTTTTTGATCTCTTTACAATTTTTGGGAGGTGGTAACCTTACAATAGCATCTACTTTAGCTTCAATGGGCCGAACTTGGTTCGTTCCCACTTGATAACCCAAATAGGTAATTGAAGCTTTACAGAAATCACTTTTATGTAAGTTTACAGTAAAATTAACTTCAGACAATTTTCTAAAAAGGTTAGTCAATTGAACAATATGTTCTTCAAAAGTATTAGAAAATACAACTATATCATCTATGTAGGCCTCACATTGGTCTATGTCAGCAATGACAGAGTTAATGACCCTCTGGAAAGTTTGACCAGCATTTCGCATACCAAAGGGCATGCGTTTGTATCTATAAAAACCATTAGGGGTTACAAAAGCAGATATTTCTTTTGCACGGTCAGATAAGGGGATTTGCCAGTATCCTGAAAGTAAATCAATTTTGGAAATTATCTTAGCCTGACCAACTTTATCAATAACGTCTTCTATCCGAGGTAAGGGATAGGAATCAGCTTTGGTGAGCGCATTCACCTTCCTAAAGTCGGTCACAAACCTGAAAGATCCACCGTCTTTCGGGACTAGGAGACATGGGGAACTCCAGTTGCTGAAACTGGGCTCAATGATATCATTCTTGAGCATATAATCAATTTCATCTTTTATCAAAGCAGCTTTTTCCGGGTTAACTCTTTAGGGGTGTTGTTTAATGGGTTTTGCGTCACCTACGTCTACATCATGAGGTGGAACCTTCGCTTCTTTGGGGACATCCCCAAAAATAGAGGGAAATGTCTCAAATAACTGAGACAACCTATGGCTTTTCTCTGTGGAAAAATGCCTAAGGTGGACATTCAAATTATCTAAAAAGGAAGAATTTACCAATTTTGGGGGTTTCAATTTATCATGTATCACATCATCAGAAACATTTGAACATACAGGTAAAGTAATTTTAGCTGTGGAATGAAAATTGTTACAATTATCATAATATTTTTTCAGTGAGTTAACATGATACACTGTCTGTTTCTTTCTTCTGTCGGGCGTATTGACAACATAGTTCAAATCACTTAATTTTGAATGCACAGTAAAGGGTCCACAATATCTTAAGGATAACGCATTGTTCAGATTAGGCACTAACACAAGAACTTTGTCGCCTGGATTGAATGTTCGTTTACAAGAACTCTTATCATACAGTTCTTTCATTCTAACTTGGGCCTTTCTTAAGTTCTTGTGAGCCATTTCGCACACGGCTTTCAGTCGCACGTGAAAATCGTCAAAGTTTTCCACTGGATGATCACTGGTACCTGTCCAACGTTCGTGTATCAGCTTCAGGGGGCCACGGACAGAATGTCCAAACACAAGTTGAAAAGGCGAGTAGCCTAAAGAGTCCTGGACACAGTCCCTCGCGGCGAAAATAATCCAAGGAACAGACTCATCCCATTGGGTGTTACTATTAGCGAACGTTCTTAGCATGGTTTTGAGGGTTTGGTGGAACCTCTCAAGTACGCCTTGAGACTGAGGGTGGTAGGCTGAGCTGGTGATGTGGGTAACGCCTAGCTTGGCTAGTGCTTCCTGAAAATGGTGACTGGTGAAGTTGCTGCCTTGATCTGTTTGCACGATTCTAGGTAATCCAAAGGTAGTGAAGAACCGGGTCATGGCTCTGACTACAGTCTTTGCCTTAATGTTCCGTAAGGGAATCGCCTCGGGAAAACGGGTACTTGAACACATAAAGGTAAGTAGGTACTCGTTGCCCGTCTTGGTTTTAGGCAAGGGACCTACACAGTCCATGACAATTTTAGAAAAAGGTTCTTCTAATACAGGAATCGGACTCAAAGGGGCCTTAGGAATTGTCTGGTTTGGCTTTCCGGCCAACTGACAGTTCGTGCAACTTCTACAGTAACGCGACACATCTTTTCTCATTTTGGGCCAAAAGAACAGTTCTTTGATCTTCGCCGTCGTTTTAGTGACACCTGGGTGCGCTGACATTGGATGGTCATGTGCCAGCTTAAGTATTTCATGCCGATAAGGTGGAGGGATCCACAGCTGGTTTTTACTCAACCATGGTTCGGCTGGTGAGGCATTCACTGGTATAGCGCGACGAAAGAAGAGGCCGTTCTCGGAGAAATATTCTCCATCGTCAGATGATAGAGATTTTTCGACCGTTGCTTTGAGTTCCGCGTCGACTTGTTGAGCTTTAATGATGTCTTCCTGAGATATCCTCAGGGGTAAGCCCAGACTTGTGTTTTCTGGAAGCATAGACTCCAGTTTGGGAGTCGAATTTCTTGACGATGATGGCGGGTGTGGTTCAGACGTTGTGTCAGCCAATTGTGTGGTCTGGCTTCTTGTCACCGCACATGCAGGATACAGTTCATTATCATTATCTGGAACTGTTGACAAAGGGTCTGAAACCGTACAGGGGTATACTTTGCTTCCCGCAAGGTCATTCCCAAGAAGTAGGTGTACTCCTGGGACAGGAATACTATCTATCACACCTAAAATGACTTCACCTTCGACGAGATGATGTTTCAGGGCAAACTTGTGTAGAGGGACGACAGTAGATTTTGTCCCCACTCCCTGGATAATGGAAATCCTTCCGGTGTTCGTCTCTGGTGTAATGTCCATTGAACTTTTCAAAAGGAGTGATTGTGACGCTCCTGTGTCTCTTAGAACGGTGATATTCTTCTGAGACAACGGATCACCTGGTTTGCTAATGATGGCTTCGGCAATAAAAGATGAAAAGTCAACTTTTCTCGATCTCTCGAGATCGGTAGACTCGGAAGAAACTGGATGGTGGCGAGAACAGTCAAAATGTGACTGCACATAATGTGTGGAGACTTGACTACTTTCTTGCGGACACTTAGGGTTAGAGTCCTTTACAATTCTAGAGTTCATAGTTGAACTGGCTGCTTGAGGGGATAGAGCATAGTGCGCGGAAGTACGCACCACCTCTCTGTTATTCTGAAGACGTTTGTAACAGTCCTTGACAAGATGCCCAGACCTTTTGCAGAACTGGCATACTGCTCGACGATTGAGAGTTGATCTTGGTTTCTCTCTGGACTGTGATGCCTTCAAATGTTGGCCAACAGGATGATTGCTGCCAAAAAGGGGAAGCACGGGGTTGAGGCGGTTTCCTGACACCGGTGGTTTCTTATGCACCAACATATATGTGTCAGCCGACTCAGCAGCCTTCTGGATGTCAGTTATCTTGTTATCCAGAATGTGTAGTCGTATCTCTTCAGGCAGGGACGATAGGAATTCTTCCCTTAGGATAAGTGACCTGAGTTTCTCAAACTCAGAAACTTCCTCAGAGTGTAGCCACCTTGAGAATATTTTCTCCTTTTCAAAGAGAAATTCCACATATGATTGTGTGGGTAACTTGCGGAGTGTTCGGAATTTTGTCCGATAGGCCTCGGGCGTCAGTGCGTAGGCCTTTAAAATGGCAGTCTTGACCAAACTATAGTTATTTTGAACGTCGTGAGAGAGTGCCTGGTATGTTTTTGCAGCTTTCCCAGTAAGGACAGAGCTCAATAAAGCAGTAATGGAGGTTTCGGGCCATTCACATGTCTTCGCTAAACTCTCAAACGAGTTAAAGAAAACGACCAAATCTGTTTCATCAAATTTAGGAACTAATTTCACAAATTTGGCAATCACTTGCCCTACTGACAACTTTTTTGGATCTACCTGAGAAGTGACATCACTAACTTGACCAAACTCTAATTCCAACCTCCTCTTATCTAAAGCAATTTTAGCCTCTAACTCCTTTTCTTTTAATAAAAGCTCCCTCTCTTCTATAGATTTCTCCTCGCGGAGCAACACACTAGCTAACAAACTTTCATCAAATACTCCTTCATTAATGAAATGAACAACAATTTTATCTCTCAACACCTCTGATTTCTGCGTAACAGAATAATCCAATTTCAATTCCTTAACAACACTAACCAAAACTTTTCTACTCAACTTTTCTACATCTTCAACAGTAGGATTAGCCAAAAAAGACTCCATAACACTAACTTGAAAATCACAACAAGCCTAGATTCTTTAAATTAATACACAGCGTTGGGCCGTGTACTTGACCTCTAAATGTAGGACGTGACACGTCTGCTTATTTGACCTAGATACTCTAGCCTGAGCGCGCGTTGTAAGAACACTGCGCTACTGGATATAAAAACAACTAAGTCCAACTAACCTTAATATTCAACTGATATAACCAACAACTGGAACGACAGATTAAATCTCGGCGAGACCCCACTTTGTAACGTTAACCTTTCTATCAGCCAAATAGAAGGAGAACGTCCCCGGATTCTTTTTTCGGGGTCATATGCAAATGCCTTACGGCCTAAGTGGATGAACACTTAACACAACGACCACTAGGGCTCGAAATTAATGTCTAGGGGAGCTAGTGATACTATTGTAATTAACACTCATCCAATCTACATACGACCATTTAATCAGCGAACTCAGATGTGGCAAAACACAAAGATGAACTAGATAAAATATTTAATGTATAAAATATCAAAAACCCAACTTACACAATGTAGGAAAAAACACTATCACAGATTTCTACACTGTCCTAAGAACAGCTACAGGCCACACAACACTGCTGTAGCTTCCAGACTTACTTAGCGACAAGTAATATTAAACTAGAAGACTAAATCAACTGAAGAAAGCAAGGCACACACAGGTCTTAAGTACTCTCACGTTCAAATGGTCAGAGTCTATAGCCGGACAATATGGACGGCTGCCTGACTAAGGTAAAACGGCCTCGTAGACTTTTAGGTCAAGAAAAACTGCCTCGTGTTGCGAGTGTGCGGGGCAATTAAAGACTTCTGTGACAGGGGAGGTTATCCTCAACTCATGTCGCCATTGGTTGGGATAATCATCTGATCAGAATCATTCAATCAGATTTTAATGGAAATTTTCTATGTCTCAAACACCTTAATAGTCAATGGAAAAACCCCAGGTGTTACACAATCATTCCATATAAGGAATTATACAATGTCAAAATAAAAATGACTCGACCTAAGTAGGTCACAATATATATATATATATATATATATATATATATATATATATATATATGACTACAATACTTCCCCTATACTCTGTTTACGAGAAAGTAAAAATACGGAAGAGTAGGCCTAACCACGTTCATTCAAATTAAATAAAAGTTATTTTATCTACATCTACTAAATAAAAGCAATTTTATCTAGGTCTACGCACTAGGCGTTGTTGCGCACCATTTTTTTTTTTTGGTGAAAATTGTTTTGAAAAGAGAACGCAGAATTTTTCTCTTCCGGTACTGAGTGATATACTTACGAAGGTGGGTTAAAAATTTTTAATTAAAGCACCACGAAGAGTGAATGAATAATAAAATTAGGAAAGGTTAAAAACGTGTTTGTGGCATGCTAAATATTTGAGTGTTTTAATGTCCCTGAATTTTTACACAGAATAAAGAGAAAAAGATGGAGGCTTTGAAAAATGGGGACTGAATGAAAGATGAGCATTTGTAGAATATCTAGATCTAGATCTAATTAAAACATTTTTAATTTTTTACACATGTACCTGACTCCCACTAACCTAACCACTATGTCTAACCTTGCCACTGACTCCCACTAATCTTGCCACTGACTCCCACTTATCTTGCCACTGACTCCCACTTATCTTGCCACTGACTCCAACTAACCTTGCCACTGACTCCCACTAAAATACCATTGACTCCCACTAACCTGACCAATGACTCCCACTAACCTGGCCACTGACTCCCACTAAATTGCCAATGACTTCCACTAACCTTGCCACTGACTCCCACTAATCTTGCCACTGACTCCCACTAACCTCGACACTGACTCCCACTAACTTTGCCACTAACTCCCACTTACCTGACCACTGACTCCCACTAACATTGCCACTGACTCCCACTAACCTTGCCACTGACTCCTACTGACCTGGCCACTGACTCCCACTAACCTGACCACTGACTCCCACTAGCCTTGCCACTGACTCCCACTAATCTTGCCACTGACTCCCACTAACCTGGCCACTAACCTCGACACTGACTCCCACTAACCTGACCACTAACTCCCACTAATCTTGCCATAGACTCCCACTAACCTTACCACTGACTCCAAATAAACTTGCCACTGACTCCCACTAGCCTGGCCATTGACTCCCACTAACCTGACCACTGACTCCCACTAACCTTGCCACTGACTCCCACAAAAATTGCCACTGACTCCCACTAACCTGACCACTGACTCCTACTAACCTTGCCACTGACTACCACTAACCTTGCCACTGACTCCCACTAATCTTGCCACTGACTCCCACTAACCTGACCACTGACTCCCACTAACCTGACCACTGACTCCCACTGACTCCCACTAACCTTACCACTGACTCCCACTAACCTTGCCACTGACTCCAACTAACCTTGCCACTGTCTCCCACTAACCTTACCACTGACTCCACTAACCTGGCCACTGACTCCCACTAACCTTGCCACTAATTCCTACTAACCTTGCCACTGACTCCCACTAACCTTGCCACTGACTCCCACTAACCTGGCAACTGACTCCCACTAACCTTGCCACTGACTCCCACTAACCTGGCAACTGACTCCCACTAACCTTGCCACTGACTCCCACTAACCTGGCAACTGACTCCCACTAACCTGACCACTGACTCCCACTAACCTTGCCACTGACTCCCACTAACCTTGCCACTGACTCCCACTAACCTGGCAACTGACTCCCACTAACCTTGCCACTGACTCCCACTAACCTGGCAACTGACTCCCACTAACCTTGCCACTGACTCCCACTAACCTGGCAACTGACTCCCACTAACCTGGCCACTGCCTCCCACTAACCTGGCCACTGACTCCCACTAACCTGGCCACTGACTCCCACTACAGCACGGACATGGCTACTGATAACATCCGTCACGTGACCAAGCCACCCAGAAGACAACCCGGCAACCTGCAAACCTTACCCAGCTACCCCGGTCTCTTGAGCTGGCCAATGAACGCGTACGAACGCTCGAGACAAACATACGGGTCACCCCAGTCTCAGTCCACCACAAGCTCCCCGTACAAAATGGTGAGTCACCCCAATCTCAGTCCACCACAAGCTCCCCGTACAAAATGGTGAGCCACCCCAATGGTGAGTCACCCCAATGGTGAGTCACCCCAATGGTGAGACACCCCAGTTACAGTCCACCACAAGCTCCCCGTACAAAATGGTGAGTCACCCCAATCTCAGTCCACCACAAGCTCCCCGTACAAAATGGTGAGCCACCTCAGTTATAGCCCCCCCCCCCCCCCCGTACACATTGGTGAGTCCCCCTAGTGTAGGTATACCGAACTCGTTTGGGTACGGGGGTCTGGTCAGTACAGGGGTCTGGTGGGTACAGGGGTCTGGTGGGTACGGGGGTCTGGTCAGTACAGGGGTCTGGTGGGTACAGGGGTCTGGTGGGTACATGGGTCTGGTGGGTACGGGGGTCTGGTCAGTACAGGGGTCTGGTGGGTACAGGGGTCTGGTGGGTACAGGGGTCTGGTGGGTACAGGGGTCTGGTGGGTACAGGGGTGTGGTGGGTACGGGGGTCTGGTCAGTACAGGGGTCTGGTGGGTACAGGGGTCTGGTGGGTACAGGGGTCTGGTGGGTACAGGGGTCTGGTGGGTACAGGGGTCTGGTGGATACAGGGGTCTGGTGGGTACAGGGGTCTGGTGGGTACAGGGGTCTGGTGGGTACAGGGGTGTGGTGGGTACGGGGGTCTGGTCAGTACAGGGGTCTGGTGGGTACAGGGGTCTGGTGGGTACAGGGGTCTGGTGGGTACAGGGGTCTGGTGGGTACAGGGGTCTGGTGGGTACAGGGGTCTGGTGGGTACAGGGGTCTGGTCAGTACAGGGGTATGGTGGGTACAGGGGTCTGGTGGGTACAGGGGTCTGGTGGGTACAGGGGTGTGGTGGGTACAGGGGTCTGGTGGGTACAGGGGTCTGGTGGGTACAGGGGTCTGGTGGGTACAGGGGTCTGGTGGATACAGGGGTCTGGTGGGTACGGGGGTCTGGTGGGTACAGGGGTCTGGTCAGTACAGGGGTCTGGTCAGTACAGGGGTCTGGTCAGTACAGGGGTCTGGTGGGTACAGGGGTCTGGTGGGTACAGGGGTCTGGTGGGTACAGGGGTCTGGTGGGTACAGGGGTCTGGTGGGTACAGGGGTCTGGTGGGTACAGGGGTCTGGTGGGTACAGGGGTGTGGTGGATACAGGGGTCTGGTGGGTACAGGGGTCTGGTGGGTACAGGGGTCTGGTGGGTACAGGGGTCTGGTGGGTACGGGGGTCTGGTCAGTACAGGGGTGTGGTGGGTACAGGGGTCTGGTGGGTACGGGGGTCTGGTCAGTACAGGGGTGTGGTGGGTACAGGGGTCTGGTGGGTACGGGGGTCTGGTCAGTACAGGGGTGTGGTGGGTACAGGGGTCTGGTGGGTACAGGGGTCTGGTGGGTACAGGGGTCTGGTGGGTACAGGGGTCTGGTGGGTACAGGGGTCTGGTGGGTACAGGGGTCTGGTGGGTACAGGGGTCTGGTGGGTACAGGGGTCTGGTGGGTACAGGGGTCTGGTGGGTACAGGGGTCTGGTGGGTACGGGGGTCTGGTGGGTACGGGGGTGTGGTGGGTACAGGGGTCTGGTGGATACAGGGGTCTGGTGGGTACAGGGGTCTGGTGGGTACAGGGGTCTGGTGGGTACAGGGGTCTGGTGGGTACAGGGGTCTGGTGGGTACAGGGGTCTGGTGGATACAGGGGTCTGGTGGGTACAGGGGTCTGGTGGATACAGGGGTCTGGTGGGTACAGGGGTCTGGTGGGTACAGGAGTCTGGTGGGTACAGGGGTCTGGTGGGTACAGGGGTCTGGTGGGTACAGGGGTCTGGTGGGTACAGGGGTCTGGTGGGTACAGGGGTCTGGTGGGTACAGGGGTCTGGTGGGTACAGGGGTCTGGTGGGTACAGGGGTCTGGTGGGTACGGGGGTGTGGTGGGTACAGGGGTCTGGTGGGTACGGGGGTCTGGTGGATACAGGGGTCTGGTGGGTACGGGGGTGTGGTGGGTACAGGGGTCTGGTGGATACAGGGGTCTGGTGGATACAGGGTTCTGGTAGGTACAGGGGTCTGGTGGGTACAGGGGTCTGGTGGGTACAGGGGTCTGGTGGGTACGGGGGTCTGGTGGGTACGGGGGTGGGGTGGGTACAGGGGTGTGGTGGGTACGGGGGTGTGGTGGGTACAGGGGTCTGGTGGGTACAGGGGTCTGGTGGGTACAGGGGTCTGGTGGGTACAGGGGTCTGGTGGGTACAGGGGTGTGGTGGATACAGGGGTCTGGTCAGTACAGGGGTGTGGTGGGTACAGGGGTCTGGTGGGTACAGGGGTCTGGTGGGTACAGGGGTCTGGTGGGTACAGGGGTCTGGTGGGTACAGGGGTCTGGTGGGTACAGGGGTCTGGTGGGTACAGGGGTCTGGTGGGTACAGGGGTCTGGTGGGTACCGGGGTCTGGTGGGTACAGGGGTCTGGTGGGTACAGGGGTCTGGTGGATACAGGGGTCTGGTCAGTACAGGGGTCTGGTCAGTACAGGGGTCTGGTGGGTACAGGGGTCTGGTGGATACAGGGGTCTGGTGGGTACAGGGGTCTGGTGGGTACAGGGGTCTGGTGGGTACGGGGGTCTGGTGGATACAGGGGTCTGGTGGGTACGGGGGTGTGGTGGGTACAGGGGTCTGGTGGGTACAGGGGTCTGGTGGGTACAGGGGTCTGGTGGGTACAGGGGTCTGGTGGGTACGGGGGTGTGGTGGGTACAGGGGTCTGGTGGGTACGGGGGTCTGGTGGATACAGGGGTCTGGTGGGTACGGGGGTGTGGTGGGTACAGGGGTCTGGTGGATACAGGGGTCTGGTGGATACAGGGGTCTGGTGGGTACAGGGGTCTGGTGGGTACAGGGGTCTGGTGGGTACAGGGGTCTGGTGAGTACGGGGGTCTGGTGGGTACGGGGGTGTGGTGGGTACAGGGGTCTGGTGGATACAGGGGTCTGGTGGGTACGGGGGTGTGGTGGGTACGGGGGTGGGGTGGTTACAGGGGTGTGGTGGGTACGGGGGTGTGGTGGGTACAGGGGTCTGGTAGGTACGGGGGTCTTGTGGGTACGGGGGTGTGGTGGGTACAGGGGTCTGGTGGGTACGGGGGTCTGGTGGGTACGGGGGTGTGGTGGGTACAGGGGTGGGGTGGGTACAGGGGTGTGGTGGGTACGGGGGTGTGGTGGGTACAGGGGTCTGGTAGGTACGGGGGTCTGGTGGGTACGGGGGTGTGGTGGGTACAGGGGTGGGGTGGGTACAGGGGTGGGGTGGGTACAGGGGTGTGGTGGTTACGGGGGTCTGTTGGGTACAGGGGTGTGGTGGGTACGGGGGTGTGGTGGGTACGGGGGTGTGGTGGGTACTAGTGGGTACAGGGGTGTGGTGGGTACGGGGGTGTGGTGGGTACAGGGGTGTGGTGGGTACAGGGGTCTGGTGGGTACAGGGGTGTGGTGGGTAAAGGGGTCTGATGGGTACAGGGGTCTGGTGGGTACAGGGGTCTGGTGGGTACAGGGGTCTGGTGGGTACTGGTGGGTACGGGGGTCTGGTGGGTACAGGGGTGTGGTGGGTACAGGGGTCTGGTGGGTACAGGGGTCTGGTGGGTACTGGTGGGTACAGGGGTCTGGTGGGTACAGGGGTCTGGTGGGTACAGGGGTCTGGTGGGTACAGGGGTCTGGTGGGTACAGGGGTCTGGTGGGTACTGGTGGGTACAGGGGTCTGGTGGGTACAGGGGTCTGGTGGGTACTGGTGGGTACAGGGGTCTGGTGGGTACAGGGGTCTGGTGGGTACAGGGGTCTGGTGGGTACAGGGGTCTGGTGGGTACAGGGGTCTGGTGGGTACAGGGGTCTGGTGGGTACAGGGGTGTGGTGGGTACGGGGGTCTGGTCAGTACAGGGGTCTGGTGGGTACAGGGGTCTGGTGGGTACAGGGGTCTGGTGGGTACAGGGGTCTGGTGGGTACAGGGGTCTGGTGGGTACAGGGGTCTGGTGGGTACAGGGGTCTGGTGGGTACAGGGGTCTGGTGGGTACAGGGGTCTGGTGGGTACAGGGGTCTGGTGGGTACAGGGGTCTGGTGGGTACAGGGGTCTGGTGGGTACAGGGGTCTGGTGGGTACAGGGGTCTGGTGGGTACAGGGGTCTGGTGGGTACGGGGGTCTGGTCAGTACAGGGGTCTGGTGGGTACAGGGGTCTGGTGGGTACAGGGGTCTGGTGGGTACAGGGGTCTGGTGGGTACAGGGGTCTGGTGGGTACAGGGGTCTGGTGGGTACAGGGGTCTGGTGGGTACAGGGGTCTGGTGGGTACAGGGGTCTGGTGGGTACAGGGGTGTGGTGGGTACAGGGGTCTGGTGGGTACAGGGGTCTGGTGGGTACAGGGGTCTGGTGGATACAGGGGTCTGGTGGGTACGGGGGTCTGGTGGGTACAGGGGTCTGGTCAGTACAGGGGTCTGGTGGGTACAGGGGTCTGGTCAGTACAGGGGTGTGGTGGGTACAGGGGTCTGGTGGGTACAGGGGTCTGGTGGGTACAGGGGTCTGGTGGGTACAGGGGTCTGGTGGGTACAGGGGTCTGGTGGGTACAGGGGTCTGGTGGGTACAGGGGTCTGGTGGGTACAGGGGTGTGGTGGATACAGGGGTCTGGTGGGTACAGGGGTCTGGTGGGTACAGGGGTCTGGTGGGTACAGGGGTCTGGTGGGTACAGGGGTCTGGTGGGTACGGGGGTCTGGTCAGTACAGGGGTGTGGTGGGTACAGGGGTCTGGTGGGTACAGGGGTCTGGTGGGTACAGGGGTCTGGTGGGTACAGGGGTCTGGTGGGTACGGGGGTCTGGTCAGTACAGGGGTCTGGTGGGTACAGGGGTCTGGTGGGTACAGGGGTCTGGTGGGTACAGGGGTCTGGTGGGTACGGGGGTCTGGTGGGTACGGGGGTGTGGTGGATACAGGGGTCTGGTGGGTACAGGGGTCTGGTGGGTACAGGGGTCTGGTGGGTACGGGGGTCTGGTGGATACAGGGGTCTGGTGGGTACGGGGGTGTGGTGGGTACAGGGGTCTGGTGGGTACAGGGGTCTGGAGGGTACAGGGGTCTGGTGGGTACAGGGGTCTGGTGGGTACGGGGGTGTGGTGGGTACAGGGGTCTGGTGGGTACGGGGGTCTGGTGGATACAGGGGTCTGGTGGGTACGGGGGTGTGGTGGGTACAGGGGTCTGGTGGATACAGGGGTCTGGTGGATACAGGGTTCTGGTAGGTACAGGGGTCTGGTGGGTACAGGGGTCTGGTGGGTACAGGGATCTGGTGGGTACGGGGGTCTGGTGGGTACGGGGGTGGGGTGGGTACAGGGGTGTGGTGGGTACGGGGGTGTGGTGGGTACAGGGGTCTGGTGGGTACAGGGGTCTGGTGGGTACAGGGGTCTGGTGGGTACAGGGGTCTGGTGGGTACAGGGGTGTGGTGGATACAGGGGTCTGGTCAGTACAGGGGTGTGGTGGGTACAGGGGTCTGGTGGGTACAGGGGTCTGGTGGGTACAGGGGTCTGGTGGGTACAGGGGTCTGGTGGGTACAGGGGTCTGGTGGGTACAGGGGTCTGGTGGGTACAGGGGTCTGGTGGGTACAGGGGTCTGGTGGGTACAGGGGTCTGGTGGGTACAGGGGTCTGGTGGGTACAGGGGTCTGGTGGATACAGGGGTCTGGTCAGTACAGGGGTGTGGTGGATACAGGGGTCTGGTGGGTACAGGGGTCTGGTGGATACAGGGGTCTGGTGGGTACAGGGGTCTGGTGGGTACAGGGGTCTGGTGGGTACGGGGGTCTGGTGGATACAGGGGTCTGGTGGGTACGGGGGTGTGTTGGGTACAGGGGTCTGGTGGGTACAGGGGTCTGGTGGGTACAGGGGTCTGGTGGGTACGGGGGTGTGGTGGGTACAGGGGTCTGTTGGGTACGGGGGTCTGGTGGATACAGGGGTCTGGTGGGTACGGGGGTGTGGTGGGTACAGGGGTCTGGTGGATACAGGGGTCTGGTGGATACAGGGGTCTGGTGGGTACAGGGGTCTGGTGGGTACAGGGGTCTGGTGGGTACAGGGGTCTGGTGGGTACGGGGGTCTGGTGGGTACGGGGGTGTGGTGGGTACAGGGGTCTGGTGGATACAGGGGTCTGGTGGGTACGGGGGTGTGGTGGGTACGGGGGTGGGGTGGGTACAGGGGTGTGGTGGGTACGGGGGTGTGGTGGGTACAGGGGTCTGGTAGGTACGGGGATCTGGTGGGTACGGGGGTGTGGTGGGTACAGGGGTCTGGTGGGTACGGGGGTCTGGTGGGTACGGGGGTGTGGTGGGTACAGGGGTGGGGTGGGTACAGGGGTGTGGTGGGTACGGGGGTGTGGTGGGTACAGGGGTCTGGTAGGTACGGGGGTCTGGTGGGTACGGGGGTGTGGTGGGTACAGGGGTGGGGTGGGTACAGGGGTGGGGTGGGTACAGGGGTGTGGTGGGTACGGGGGTCTGTTGGGTACAGGGGTGTGGTGGGTACGGGGGTGTGGTGGGTACGGGGGTGTGGTGGGTACTGGTGGGTACAGGGGTGTGGTGGGTACGGGGGTGTGGTGGGTACAGGGGTGTGGTGGGTACAGGGGTCTGGTGGGTACAGGGGTGTGGTGGGTAAAGGGGTCTGATGGGTACAGGGGTCTGGTGGGTACAGGGGTCTGGTGGGTACGGGGGTGTGGTGGGTACAGGGGTGTGGTGGGTAAAGGGGTCTGATGGGTACAGGGGTCTGGTGGGTACAGGGGTCTGGTGGGTACAGGGGTCTGGTGGGTACTGGTGGGTACGGGGGTCTGGTGGGTACAGGGGTCTGGTGGGTACAGGGGTGTGGTGGGTACAGGGGTGTGGTGGGTACAGGGGTCTGGTGGGTACAGGGGTGTGGTGGGTAAAGGGGTCTGATGGGTACAGGGGTCTGGTGGGTACAGGGGTCTGGTGGGTACAGGGGTCTGGTGGGTACTGGTGGGTACGGGGGTCTGGTGGGTACAGGGGTGTGGTGGGTACAGGGGTCTGGTGGGTACATGGGTCTGGTGGGTACTGGTGGGTACAGGGGTGTGGTGGGTACAGGGGTCTGGTGGGTACAGGGGTGTGGTGGGTACAGGGGTCTGGTGGGTACATGGGTCTGGTGGGTACTGGTGGGTACAGGGGTGTGGTGGGTACAGGGGTCTGGTGGGTACAGGGGTGTGGTGGGTACAGGGGTCTGGTGGGTACGGGGGTCTGGTGGGTACTGGTGGGTACAGGGGGGTGGTGGGTACAGGGGTGTGGTGGGTACGGGGGTGTGGTGGGTACAGGGGTCTGGTGGGTACTGGTGGGTACAGGGGTGTGGTGGGTACAGGGGTCTGGTGGGTACGGGGGTCTGGTGGGTACTGGGGTCTGGTGGGTACAGGGGTGTGGTGGGTACAGGGGTGTGGTGGGTACAGGGGTCTGGTGGGTACATGGGTGGGGCGGGTACGGGGGTGGGGTGGGTACGGGGGTGTGGTGGGTACGGGGGTCTGTTGGGTACAGGGCTGAGGTGGGTACAGGGGTGGGGTGGGTACAGGCGTCTGGTGGGTACAGGGGTGGGGTGGGTACGGGGGTGTGGTGGGTACGGGGGTCTGTTGGGTACAGGGCTGAGGTGGGTACAGGGGTGGGGTGGGTACAGGGGTCTGGTCGGTACGGGGGTCTGTTGGGTACAGGGGTGGGGGTGGGTACAGGGGTGTGGTGGGTACAGGGGTGGGGGTGGGTACAGGGATGGGGTGGGTACAGGGGTGGGGGTGGGTACAGGGGTCTGGTGGGTACAGGGGTGGGGTGGGTACAGGGATGGGGTGGGTACATCGGTGGGGTGGGTACAGGGGGGGTGGGTACAGCGGTGGGGTGGGTACAGGGGTGGGGTGGGGTGGGTACATGATCTGTACACGTTAACACTAATTGCAAATGTTTGCTCGTGCTTAGAACTGGCAGTTCCGGGATCCCATGACTGATGGACTGACACATCCTGACTTCCATGACTTGAGAGGTGGGCCGGCCAACCTCCGAGATGTCACCAACTACCATCCGAACCCATCACCATTTCCTAACATCTTTGGCATCAAGCCGATCTACCCCGACATCACAGGTGGGTTTTTGACCTTATACTTACACGTACACTTACACTTACACGTACACAAGACATTGACACAATAATACACGTGCAATGTGTGTACATACAAACATGCACACACAATCCATTTATCCGTGTGTTTATATATTATATAATATATATATGTTTATATATTATATATGTCCCCAGTGGAGTGTGAGTACATGAAGAAATACAAAGAAGACCAGAAGATCTCCCAGAAATGGTTGTCCGTTTTTGGACAAAAATATTTTTACGTGGCTGACGAACACTTGTAGCCTAGGTGGAGTTGTCTAAATCCGTGTCAGAAGAGAATTGGTGGGTCCCATTCTTCACCACTAGAATATATCGGTTGATTGAATCGTCATTATACTTGTCATCTGATCGAAGAAATATGCTAATCATCGAATAAAATAAAATACATTACAATATATTGGAAAACAAAATGTCTGTGTAGCTTTTTTGAGTAATATAATTATGTGTGATTCACTAAACTAATCTGTCTTGGCTAAATAAGTAGTGGGTTAATCTGGACTAAATAATCAGTAGCCTATGTCTTTGATTAATAATTAGTGGGCTATGGCTCTGGGTTAAATAATTAGTGGGCTATGGCTCTGGGTTAAATAATTAGTGGGCTATGGCTCTGGGTTAAAGAATTAGTGGGCTATGGCTCTGGGTTAAAGAATTAGTGGGCTATGGCTCTGGGTTAAAGAATTAGTGGGCTATGGCTCTGGGTTAAAGAATTAGTGAGCTATGTCTGGTTTAAAGAAATAATGTCTGGTTTGTAAAGATGACCTAAAATGATGCTGCTAGATAAAATGGTATCCACACCGTGCGCCTGACTGCTGACAATAGAAACTGTTGTCAATTTTATTTCTGAACTACGACTAAATGTACTTAGTAAGTACCCGTAACCCCACACCTTACTAAACAAAACCTATTTATGTGGTTACCTCCCTTAAAAAGAAGAGGCATGAATTCAATTTTATGATTTAAAAGAATTTAATGGACTTTTTTTTTTCTTTTTTGTTGGTACAACAAAAACGAATCTATAAACTCTTATTTTCTTATTATAAATTACAATTTAAGAACTGTTTGAATAAAAAAGTTAATTTAAGCGGGATGAATGCACCAAGTGGAAAACCAACAAAAGCGATTAAATTAAAAATAAGAATAAAAACATGTCCTCTCTAACTAACCCTCGCTACAGCAGACTTCTATGAACAGCATGTGTGCATCATACATTTTACTCTGAAAACCTAGCTCAGTACACAATGTTTGAACGAATCGAGTTATCGCTCACAAACTTTTGTTTCTGTTTCAATAATTACGTCAGAGATAATGGGGATGTGTGTTTACCTTTGAAACCAAAATAGCAGGTTGATCGTGTGCGGGGGTGGACTGACGGGGGGGGGGGGGGCGAGATGGGGTAAGAAATTTGTTTACTGTGGCTAGAGCTGGGTGAAACAAGTTCATGGCCGAACGAACCACTGGTTGAAATCGTCGGAAAACTTTCCACAGGAAGTGCGTCATCTTTAGCCGCAGTTGAAACGTTTGTTTGATATATTTTACGTGGTAGGCTGAGACCACCTTTTGAATAGTTTAGTCATTAATTTAATTAAGTAATTATTTTTTTTCTGGTTATCATGGAAAAATTAATCCCTAATTAAATGGTTGTCTTAAAAGTGGGTGAAAATAAAGTTGTCAAATTTGAGCAGACGGCCCAGACACACGCGAGGAGAGACAAGAAGCCAAAGCTTGTGGTAATCTGTCATTCATCAAAGGCGATGACGTTTGTCTGGCACTGTGCCATTTGTCTGACATTGTGCCATTTGTCAGACTTATGTCAACTGCTGAGCTAGTCAGGTCCAAGATCCAAAGTTCAAAGTTCAACCATCCGCCGCTTTTTAAGCTGGGTTCAAAGTGCACGTTACATCAAGGTATCGTAATTTCTGTAAGCAGGCCCTTACACTCGACATTAGCTTCTGTAAGCAGGCCCTTACACTCGACATTAGCTTCTGTAAGCAGACCCTTACACTCGACATTAGCTTCTGTAAGCAGGCCCTTACACTCGACATTAGCTTCTGTAAGCAGGTCCTTACACTCGACATTAGCTTCTGTAAGCAGACCCTTACACTCGACATTAGCTTCTGTAAGCAGGTCCTTACACTCGACATTAGCTTCTGTAAGCAGACCCTTACACTCGACATTAGCTTCTGTAAGCAGGCCCTTACACTCGACATTAGCTTCTGTAAGCAGGTCCTTACACTCGACATTAGCTTCTGTAAGCAGACCCTTACACTCGACATTAGCTTCTGTAAGCAGACCCTTACACTCGACATTAGCTTCTGTAAGCAGGCCCTTACAGTCGACATTAGCTTCTGTAAGCAGGCCTTTACACTCGACATTAGCTTCTGTAAGCAGGCCCTTACACTCGACATTAGCTTCTGTAAGCAGGCCCTTACACTCGACATTAGCTTCTGTAAGCAGACCCTTACACTCGACATTAGCTTCTGTAAGCAGGTCCTTACACTCGACATTAGCTTCTGTAAGCAGACCCTTACACTCGACATTAGCTTCTGTAAGCAGACCCTTACACTCGACATTAGCTTCTGTAAGCAGGTCCTTACACTCGACATTAGCTTCTGTAAGCAGGCCCTTACACTCGACATTAGCTTCTGTAAGCAGGTCCTTACACTCGACATTAGCTTCTGTAAGCAGGCCCTTACACTCGACATTAGCTTCTGTAAGCAGGCCCTTACACTCGACATTAGCTTCTGTAAGCAGGCCCTTACACTCGACATTAGCTTCTGTAAGCAGGCCCTTACACTCGACATTAGCTTCTGTAAGCAGGCCCTTACACTCGACATTAGCTTCTGTAAGCAGGTCCTTACACTCGACATTAGCTTCTGTAAGCAGACCCTTACACTCGACATTAGCTTCTGTAAGCAGGTCCTTACACTCGACATTAGCTTCTGTAAGCAGGCCCTTCATACGAGCTTAAGAACAGCAGGCCCTTATAAAGCGGATCCCGTGTATTCAACAAATGACACCAGCACAGTGGGACAGTGTGGGCGGGTGGTAGAGAGCTCAACTGGTAGCCCGATTGAATCACGTTCGGACCTGAGTCTGCCCTATGGATAGTTAGGTCTGAAAAACAAACTCTCCTTTTACACAAACATAGGTTTGGTGTTAGTAACTGCCAGGATAAAACATTTTTGTAACACAGGGCAAAGATGTAACACCCACACATGTGCAACACACACACCTGTGTAGCACTCACACATGTGTAGCACCCACACATGGGCACCACACACATGTGTAGCACACACACATGTGTAGCACCCACACATGTGTAGCACTCACACATGTGCAACACACACACACATGTTTGCAACACACACACATGTGCAACACACACACACATGTGTAGCACTCACACATGTGTAGCACTCACACATGTGCAACACACACACATGTTTGCAACACACACACATGTGCAACACACACACATGTGTCGCACCCACACATGTGTAGCACTCACACATGTGCAACACACACCTGTGCAACACACACATGTGCAACACACACACATGTGTAGCACTCACACATGTGCAACACACACACCTGTGCAACACACACATGTGCAACACACACATGTTTGCAACACTCACACATGTGTAGTACGCACACATGTGCAACACCCACACATGTGCAACACACACACACATGTGCAACACACACACACATGTGTAGTACGCACACACACATGTGCAACACACACACATGTGTAGCACCCACACATGTGCAACACACACACATGTGCAACACACACACATGTGTAGCACTCACACATGTGTAGCACTCACACATGTGCAACACACACACATGTGTAGCACTCACACATGTGTAGCACCCACACATGTGCAACACACACACATGTGTAGCACTCACACATGTGTAGCACTCACACATGTGCAACACACACACACATGTTTGCAACACACACACATGTGCAACACACACACATGTGTAGCACCCACACATGTGTAGCACTCACACATGTGCAACACACACACACATGTTTGCAACACACACACATGTGCAACACACACACATGTGTAGCACTCACACATGTGTAGCACTCACACATGTGCAACACACACACACATGTTTGCAACACACACACATGTGCAACACACACACATGTGTAGCACCCACACATGTGTAGCACTCACACATGTGCAACACACACACCTGTGCAACACACACATGTGCAACACACACATGTTTGCAACACACACACATGTGTAGCACTCACACATGTGTAGCACTCACACATGTGCAACACACACACACATGTTTGCAACACACACACATGTGCAACACACACACATGTGTAGCACTCACACATGTGTAGCACTCACACATGTGCAACACACACACACATGTTTGCAACACACACACATGTGCAACACACACACCTGTGCAACACACACATGTGCAACACACACATGTGTAGCACTCACACATGTGTAGTACGCACACATGTGCAACACCCACACATGTGCAACACACACACACATGTGCAACACACACACACATGTGTAGTACGCACACACACATGTGCAACACACACACATGTGTAGCACTCACACATGTGTAGCACTCACACATGTGCAACACACACATGTTTGCAACACCCACACATGTGCAGCACCCACACATGTGCAACACACACCTGTGCAACACACACACATGTGTAGCACTCACACATGTGTAGCACTCACACATGTGCAACACACACACACATGTTTGCAACACACACACATGTGCAACACACACACATGTGTAGCACTCACACATGTGTAGCACTCACACATGTGCAACACACACACACACATGTTTGCAACACACACACATGTGCAACACACACATGTGTAGCACTCACACATGTGTAGCACTCACACATGTGCAACACACACACACATGTTTGCAACACACACACATGTGCAACACACACATGTGTCGCACCCACACATGTGTAGCACTCACACATGTGCAACACACACCTGTGCAACACACACATGTGCAACACACACATGTGTAGCACTCACACATGTGCAACACACACACCTGTGCAACACACACATGTGCAACACACACATGTTTGCAACACTCACACATGTGTAGTACGCACACATGTGCAACACACACACATGTGCAACACCCACACATGTGCAACACACACACACATGTGTAGTACGCACACACACATGTGCAACACACACACATGTGTAGCACTCACACATGTGTAGCACTCACACATGTGTAGCACTCACACATGTGCAACACACACACATGTGTAGCACTCACACATGTGTAGCACCCACACATGTGCAACACACACACATGTGCAACACACACACATGTGTAGCACTCACACATGTGTAGCACTCACACATGTGCAACACACACACACATGTTTGCAACACACACACATGTGCAACACACACACATGTGTAGCACCCACACATGTGTAGCACTCACACATGTGCAACACACACACCTGTGCAACACACACATGTGCAACACACACATGTTTGCAACACCCACACATGTGCAACACCCACACATGTGCAGCACCCACACATGTGCAACACCCACACATGTACAACACACACATGTGTAGTACGCACACACAGTACGCACATGTAAAAAAAAACAAGTTTAAAACTACAGTTGTGATTAAGAGAAAAAATACACAAAATCAAATATCAGCAATCCTGCGCAAGTCAAATACCAAGCAGTTCTATCTAAGTGCTCAAAAGTCGACAAGTTCCAACCAAGTCCTTAACTGCGCATGTAACTGGCATTAATCTGGCAAGCCGACAAAGTTTTTATGGTTTGCACTTTGTAAACTTTGATCATCACAACAACAGCTGTTTGAGGCTTTTGATATTCTGACGTCACTGCTTGTTGCTTGTTCCCACGGCTACACCACGATGACGTCATCAATTCCTGCGTGCTGAAGTGTACGTCAGAGTCACCGTTTTCTCGCAGATGTCTCCGACGTCTTGTCGCCCAAGTTCGACACAAACACGACAGCTTATGTTAATGGCTACACCTCAAGTGATCCACTCATCACACTTGAAAAAACTTTTGAATTTAACTTGCTAAGGGAGACAAGCCGGGCCAGTTTTGTTTTTCTGTCAGGGGAAGTAAGCTTAAGGTTGTTGATTTGTAAAGTAAATTTCATATTTTTTTTTACACCAACGCAATTTCAGATAAATCAAAATATCTCATTAAAATTGTTGGAGTTGGATTATATCCAAGCATAATTATACTTTAGTAATTTGATATTTTTTAGAAAGAAAACTTCACAGGTAACAGGTAGGCTTTCAAAAGCTATTTTCAATCAGCTTTGATTCCACTTACCTTAGTTCATCTGGATGGTCTTTTACCTGCTGGTTTGTTAATAAAAAAAGAACCTTTTCGACTGTGGATTCAACACAGATTGCATAGTTATTCTAGTAGGCCTACACTTGAGATATAAATAGTGACGATTATAATTTAGGGAATCCGGTTGTAAACGTGCTCCTAAGATTAAATGATGTCCTTAAATATGTGTCAAATATTGGTCAAATGTTAGGTTAGCCTGTCGTCCCTCCTGGGACATAGGTCACTGACCAGAGCTTTCCAGGGAACACCTCTGTCATGGGCTAGTATATCCAAATGTCCCCGGTGTATCCAATCTACTTGGTGTCAGGCCTCTCTGTCATGGGCTAGTATATCCAAATGACCCCAGGTGTATCCAATCTACTTGGTGTCAGGCCTCTCTGTCATGGGCTAGTATATCCAAACGTCCCCGGTGTATCCAATCTACTTGGTGTCAGGCCTCTCTGTCATGGGCTAGTATATCCAAATGACCCCAGGTGTATCCAATCTACTTGTTGTCAGGCCTCTCTGTCATGGGCTAGTATATCCAAACGTCCCCGGTGTATCCAATCTTCTGGGCGTCTTGTTCGGAAACCTGGAGACGTGGCCTTGGTCAAAACTTGGTCAAAACTTGGGTCAAAATATAGGTCAAATATTGGACAAACGTGGGTCAAACATAGGACAAAGCTTTGTCAAAACTGCGACGCAGGACTACCGCAGACCGGTGAAATTTGTATTTCAGCATTATTTAACTGTCCGTTTCCTACACAACATCAATGATTAGTTGAACTGATGAATAAAACTAAAAGAAATACTAAAGGTTCCACTAACAGCTACATTCACAGCCACTCTACCAGTGACACTCTACCTCTGGCCACCCTAGCTGACACCCCCCTCCCACTATCCACCCCACCTAGCGACGCCACTTTATATAAGTCTTACCAGTCAGCGGCGATCAGTATATCAAACGAAACGTTAGTGTATAGGTTGGGGTTGTGTGGGAGTTTTGTGGGGGTAGTTTGGGGAGCTAACGTGTAATGTGGGGAGTTAACATCTAGTGTGGGGGCAGTGTGGGGGAGTTAACATCACATACTTTTAGTTTTTGGTCAGGTTCCGCCAAATACTAAATAGAGCCAACCCCCCTCCCTCCCCCCACGTCCTTTACCCTCGGGTACCTCTTCCCCCCCCCCCCCCCCCCCCCCCCCAGACAGCTAGTGGCAGAGCCTCTAAGTGAAAACGAGTACTAAGACAAACGAGAACTGACCTCTGGTGACCTGCTGGGACCTATCACGAGGAATTCAATTTAGCGACGTACACTGACGAACAACGATTGTGACTAATGGTGATGTCGACTGACTAATTGTAAAGAGTGGTCATTATACATTTACATTACTGATACAACAATGACTGACTCAATGTGCTTGCTTTATTTCTACACGTGCAGATTGTACAGAAATATCGTCATAATATAATCTACTGGTGTTCTGCTGGGGATGGGTTGGTATTCGGCTGTTGATGGGTTGGTATTCTGCTGGTGATGGGTTGGTGTTCTGCTGGTGATGGGTTGGTATTCTGCTGGTGATGGGTTGGTATTCTGCTGTTGATGGGTTGGTATTCTTGTGGTGATGGGTTGGTATTCTGCTGTTTATGGGTTGGTATTCTGCTGTTGATGGATTGGTATTCTGCTGTTTATGGGTTGGTATTCTGCTGGTGATGGGTTGGTATTCTTGTAGTGATGGGTTGGTATTCTTGTGGTGATGGATTGGTATTCTTGTGGTGATGGGTTGGTATTCTTGTGGTGATGGGTTGGTATTCTGCTGTTGATGGGTTGGTATTCTTGTGGTGATGGGTTGGTATTCTGCTGGTGATGGGTTGGTATTCTGCTGTTTATGGGTTGGTATTCTGCTGGTGATGGGTTGGTATTCTTGTGGTGATGGGTTGGTATTCTGCTGGTGATGGGTTGGTATTCTTGTGATGATGGGTTGGTATTCTGCTGGTGATGGGTTGGTATTCTTGTGGTGATGGGTTGGTATTCTGCTGGTGATGGGTTGGTATTCTTGTGGTGATGGGTTGGTATTCTGCTGGTGATGGGTTGGTATTCTGCTGTTGATGGGTTGGTATTATTGTGGTGATGGGTTGGTATTCTTGTGGTGATGGGTTGGTATTCTTGTAGTGATGGGTTGGTATTCTTGTGGTGATGGGTTGGTATTCTGCTGGTGATGGGTTGGTATTCTGCTGTTGATGGGTTGGTATTCTGCTGTTGATGGGTTGGTATTCTTGTGGTGATGGGTTGGTATTCTTGTAGTGATGGGTTGGTATTCTGCTGGTGATGGGTTGGTATTCTTGTGGTGATGGGTTGGTATTCTTGTAGTGATGGGTTGGTATTCTTGTAGTGATGGGTTGGTATTCTGCTGTTGATGGGTTGGTATTATTGTAGTGATGGGTTGGTATTCTGCTTTTGATGGGTTGGTATTCCACTAGTGATGAGTTCGTATTCTGCTGATAATGGGTTGGTATTCTTGTGGTGATGGGTTGGTATTCTGCTGGTGATGGGTTGGTATTATTGTAGTGATGGGTTGGTATTCTGCTTTTGATGGGTTGGTATTCTACTAGTGATGAGTTCGTATTCTGCTGATAATGGGTTGGTATTCTTGTGGTGATGGATTGGTATTCTTGTGGTGATGGGTTGGTATTCTTGTGGTGATGGGTTGGTATTCTTGTAGTGATGGGTTGGTATTCTTGTGGTGATGGGTTGGTATTCTGCTGTTGATGGGTTGGTATTCTGCTGGTGATGGGTTGGTATTCTTGTGATGATGGGTTGGTATTCTTGTGATGATGCGTTGGTATTCTGCTGTTGATGGATTAGTTGTACTATTTTCTACGTATGTTCTGCTTGTGTTTTCTGGTTGAATAAAACAATTTTTCCTTTGAAGTCAACTTTCCCCACCGAGTCAGTACCCCTCCTGCAAGCAGTCACATCCGTTTCCCCCACCCCCTCCCACCTCTAGCCAGTGAAGAGTTGACCCGGAAGTGGCACTAACCGGCCTTCTATAAAGGCTGGAGCAGCGCTCACGTTAGCAGACGGCTAACTTGTCTTCAATAGTCTGCTGTAGCAGACGTGTTCATGTGCTATCACAATTGACATTTGTAGATCTAGCAGCAGACGTGCAGAGTGCAGGATTAGACGGCACCCAAACATGGACGCTTGCAGACGTGTGGTGTTTGTGTTATTGATTTGGTCGATTGAGACGGCGGCTGACACGACAAAGTGAGTCCTACATTTCTCTCTTTCATGCTAGGTTTAGTGTAGGTTTACAGGGAGAGGTTACATGGGTAGGTTTACATGGGGAGGTTTACGTGGGGAGGTGTACATGGGGAAGGTTTCTTCTGTTCAGTCATATAAGGGGTAGGTTTATATGGGAAGGTTTACTTATGTAATTCCATATATATATATAGGGATATGTTTACATGGGTATGTTTATATCTGTAGTTTTAATTCATTCGTACAGGTGTGGGTTTACATTAGCTCATTCATTAAACTGGTGTTTATTTATATGGGAAGATTTTCTTTAGTTCGTTCAAACTAGTGTAAGTATATATAGGAGAACTTTAGCCCGTTCATTAAAAAATATGTGTCAGATTAATATAGACTTGGGGGGGGGGGTGGATGTTTCGGTATTGTGTTTTTGTGACAACTTTAAGCAAGACAATATGGGCTGTAAACTAAATGTAAGGGTGGTGCTTCTACAAATAGTGGTGATATGTGTATGTGATATGTGTATGTAACTGTTTGTAAACCTACAAGTGGTTTTAATATACATGTTGTGGTGTGATACATGAGTAGCTGATGTGAGTATATATCAGTAGTGTACGCAACGGGGACTTTTTCAAAGACTCTGTCGCATTTTTCGGAGATCATTCAAATCAAATGTAAACACGTACCAAATAAGTCAACAAACAAACCCACCCACTCACAGAAACAGCTGATGTAAAACGGCCTTGTAATGCAAACATCAAATGTCAATGACTCATCACAAGTATCATTTTTGGCGTACATTTTGACGCCAATGTTTGGCATGCGCAAGGAGCTTTTTTGTCACTATGTCAGGTCCACTTTAACGTCTGTGCATCTGTTATTTATTTCATTCTTGCTGGAGATGGCAGAAAAAACGTACAGAAAAATAACATTCTCACACATCGGTAGAAAGGGTCAGCACGTATAGATGTGCTTTAGAAATATATTCTTAAATACCTCGTTTACATTTATTTAGAACAAAACAAAAATACTGAGGATAAAATTAAAAAAAATGTTTTTGCAATAACCAGTGCGAGTACAGATCTAGCCCATAGTTTGTCATTTAAAAAAAAACAACTTGAAAGTACGCAAATGGCAGCAGCTCATTCCTGTGTAACAAAAATGACCTGTGTAACAAAAATGTCATCTGTAACAAAAATGTCCACTGTAACAAAAATGTCCTTTGTAACAAAAAATGTCCTCTGTAACAAAATTGTCCTCTGTAACAAAAAAAGTCCTCTGTAACAAAAATGTCCTTTGTAACAAAAAATGTCCTCTAACAAAAAATGTCATCTGTAACAAAAATGTCCTCTGTAACCAAAATTGTCCTCTGTTAATGTCATCTGTAAAAAAAATGTCCTCTGTAACAAAAATGTCATCTGTAACAAAAATGTCCTCTGTAACAAAAATGTCCTCTGTAACAAAAATGTCCTCTGTAACAAAAATGTCCTCTGTAACAAAAATGTCCTTTGTAACAAAAAATGTCCTCTAACAAAAAATGTCATCTGTAACAAAAATGTCCTCTGTAACCAAAATTGTCCTCTGTTAATGTCATCTGTAACAAAAATGTCCTCTGTAACAAAAAATGTCCTCTGTAACAAAAATGTCCTCTGTAACCAAAAATGTCCTCTGTTAATGTCATCTGTAACAAAAATGTCCTCTGTAACAAAAAAGTCTTCTGTTACAAAAATGTTCTCTGTAACAAAAATGTTCTCTGTAACAAAAATGTCCTCTACAATCAAACAAAAATGTTATCAGTAAGAACAGCCACTGTACGAAGTTCCCCAGTGAAATTAAAGTTATCGTCCTACAAACTGACCTTCCTCCACCCCCACCCCCATCTTCATATAACCAACTCCTATCACCGTCTGCTTTGACAAGAGCGTCAGCTCACGTATGACGTCATGATTACTTTGACGCCTGCCACGAGCCCGAGATCTCGCGGGACTTTGTCAACCAATTAGTCCGTCACTCGTTAACCTAATCGAATTGTTTGAGAATTTATTGATTCGCTTTTTCAGACTTCACCTTTTCAAAAGATTTCTGCTGGGAGCATATAGGTCACAACCCGGGGGTGGGTGGGGGGGGGGGGGGGTGGGGGTTAAAGTACTGACACAACCAAAAATGTTTACACTGACATGTTTGACAAGTTTCCTGACAAAATCACGTCACAAACTTGCTAATTACAGGCGAATCGGGGCAGTCTTCAGTAAAGGCAGGAACTTTATTGCTGGGGTCAGTTAAATCAGAAATATTATTGCTGGGGTCAGTCAAATCAGGACGGACAAGTCAGGGATTTTATTGCCGGAGACAGTTATCTTCTGGTTAACATGGGTCGTCTGGTTGATCGACAGACTGCTACAGTTTCAATAAATGCGCAAAAGGAAAAAATGCGCAATGGAAAACTGCGCAAACAGAAAAAAATGCGCAAATACAAACGAATTTTACCAATACACATTATTTTTTTCATATTTCGTGGAAAATTTTTAAATTATGCTACATTGTGCATGTAGTCACTCTTTGTTAATATCTATAACTGTTCGATTTAATAAAATAAAAAATGCCCTTGCCCACTTTTATGTGCTCAGTTTTCCGTTGTGCAGTTTTCTTTGTGCAGTTTTCCGTTGTGCAGTTTTCCGTTGTGCAGTTTTCCGTTGTGCAGTTTTCCGTTGTGCAGTTTTCCGTTGTGCAGTTTTATGTTGTGCAGTTTTCCGTTGTCCAGTTTTCCATTGTGCAGTTTTCCGTTGTGCAGTTTTCCGTTGTGCAGTTTTCCGTTGTGCAGTTTTCCGTTGTGCAGTTTTCCGTTGTGCAGTTTTCCGTTGTGCAGTTTTCCGTTGTGCAGTTTTCCGTTGTGCAGTTTTCCGTTGTGCAGTTTTCCGTTGTGCAGTTTTATGTTGTGCAGTTTTCCCTTGTGCAGTTTTCCGTTGTGCAGTTTTCCGTTGTGCAGTTTTCCGTTGTACAGTTTTCCGTTGTGCAGTTTTCCGTTATGCAGTTTTCCCTTGTGCAGTTTTCTGGTCATCGTGATTAATTGTGAGATTTTTCTTGATGTGGTGCCGTCATAATTGCCGTTATAATTGAGTTACATTTTTAGCATTAGTAATTAATGTTTAAAGAAAAGTAAATAAAACCATAGAGTGAAAGATGAAGCAGAAGAGATTTGCAATAGAGGGATTGAGATGAGATCAATGTTGAGGGTTTGATATATTCTTCGTTGTAGGTATAGCAGTGGTTGAGTGGCATCTTTAGGCTGCATCTTCTGCGTATCATTAGGTTGAGTGTTTGTTTTTCGGACTGAATAGACTTCGTCGTATGCGGGATGATTTGTGTGTAAGAGTTAACAAGATGTACATGGAGCATTATTTTCTTGTGTGGGATCGTGTTGACAGTTACATTGTATCCACATGTCCGGTGATGGTGTGTCGTTGTTTACCCTGTGTTGTTGAAATGTGTTTAGATGAGCTATATGCTGGTTTAGCTGATTATTGTTGTTTAATCAGATGGCGAAGTATCTGCAGCAATAGGCGATTATTGATGCTGCGATTGTTGGTCTAGAGTCTAGGGGATAGATTTGACTGATAGTGGTGACTGCTGCTGATAATGTTGGCTGCTGCTGTAGAAGATAGCATTGACTGCTGCTATGTTGGATAGAGTTGACTGATAGTGTTGACTGCTGCTGATAATGTTGACTGCTGCTGTAGAAGATAGCATTGATTGCTGCTATGTTGGATAGTGTTGACTGCTGCTTCTGTTTGCTATATTTTTGGTTGATGTACGGGTGTGTCTTGGCTGACTGTAGGCAAGACACATCTAAGAGTTCCACTGATGCAGTTCGTGTTGGTTGGAATATAAAGTTTAGGAACGTGTTTTTGTGTTGAGTATTGATGTGGCGTCAAAAATCTTTGATGAAATTTACCCGCTGTGCATTCTATCAAAGTTAATTAAAATAATGTATTGATTGCTGATCAACTGTCAGATGACGTGTACAGTGAGGCGAAGGTGACGTCATACTTTGATGGTGACCTGTGTAGTTATCGCTGGATACACGGCAGGATAGTCAGCGATGATGAGAACAATTTAAAACCTGGTTATTTTAGTGTTAAATATGTTAACATTTAAAACCTGGTTATTTTAGTGTTAAATCCGTTAACATTTAAACCCATTTTAAATAATTTAGTAAAGAAATGAACAAAGAAACATCAATTAGTCGAAAACAAATTACAAAACTGTTTAGAATGCCTGCTAAAAGGCTGTCCTCTGCTTGAAGGGAGATAATACTTTTCTAATGTATGGTGTTTGGGTGATGGGTAATGGAGTTATAGTCCCTGCCCGGATAGTCACAACTGGTAGTTCGGAGAGTCTAGAAATACAAACAGTAGCAGAAGTAATTTCCCTTGTGTGCTTGACACAATTATCGGCCTTGTTTGATGGATGGTTTGTTGGGTCTGGAGGTGTATTAGCACGGGGGGTGGGGGGAGGGGGGGTGGGGGTGGGGGGGGGGGGTCGCCGTGTCATTGACGATGGGATTAGGAATAATCAATTACAGCATCCGCTCTCTTTCTAGCGCTGGACATCAGATCAAGACAGAGAACTTGATAGATCTTAGTATGACTGGTCAAGTCAGAGAACTTGTGTATATGGGTGTTTATTTTTATATTTAGAACAATATATATATATATATATATATATATATATATATATATATATATATATATATATATATATATATATATATATATATATATATATATATATATATATATATATATATATATATATATATATATATATACATATATATATATATATATATATATATATATATATATATATATATATATATAGGCTATATATATAGGCTATATATATAGGCTATATATATATATATATATATATATATATATATATATATATATATATATATATATATATATATATATATATATATATATATATATGTGTATATATGAGACAGAGTTTCTTTGCATGTTTGTTTTTTTTATAAAAAAAAACAAATTTATAAATTTAAAACTATCGTGCGTGTTTGTCATGAAGCTTCTTATAATTTGATTTCATGTATATTTTTTGTGTTGAAGGGGCAAGGGAGTGGAAGGGGATCAATAAATGTTATGGAGCATAATTTTGTATTAATTGAGAATAAATATGATTGAAAACATTAATTTTTGTTATGACTATAATTATTCGTAGGAAATGGAAAGGGGGGGGGGGGGGGAAGGTAAAGCACGCGAGGGTGAAGAAAGGGGCGTAATGATCTGAAAAACTTTGACGTCATTTATGGATTTTTTACCCCCCACCCCCCTCCCCTCCAATAAACAATCCCTCTTCTAACTTTAATATGGCCACTTTCTAAGTCTTTTTATAAATAGATGTATATCTCGTGGAATTTTTGTATAACGAACTCATTAGTGCTGTTACAGTGTTGTATAATGTTATACATTTGTTTAGGTACATAACTAAGTATTTGGGATCAATGTTATACATGTGTATACTGAAGGTTAGCTCTTGTATGTGTTCATGTTTTAGCGAGGACAAAACTTGTCTATTTTAATAAAGAAATAGAAACTTGTCAACACATCCATTTAAAAGCCGCCATCTTGGCGACAGAGTTATCCGCCATGGTCGCCGCAGACGACCAATCCTCAGATAATTAGAAGACAACTATCTAAGACAAGCAGACGTGAGCGTGGAGACAAAGTGCGGCGACTTCCGGTCGCTCGTGGCTTCCTCTCCCTGGGACATCTCCTAGTGGCCAGAAACATCAAGTCGAGGGTCGTCGTAGTGCAACATATAATTGGGGCTTTTTTAATTTACTTCATTATTAGGAGTAGTATGTTTTTAGTAGTATGGCGTTTGTGTGTAGTAAGTTTATCTGCTGCTATAAACAAATGCCATTGAACATAGATCGTGTCGTTTTATAGGATATCTCCATCTACACAACATCGCTCTATATTTAGCCACGTAAAACACTTTCCGACACTTTTCATCCAAGTAAAAACCGTTTTTTTGGGTAATTTTCTTCCAGTAATTAAAAAAAAAAAAAAACAACGAAATCATATTTTACCTGTTGCTATGACGCCCTTGCACCCCCCTTCCCCTTATTTCAAGGTATAATTTAGCCAAACAATTCAATGAACCTTTCATACGACAACCCCATGCAATAGATAATCACAGTGTGTCAGCTTGACTTAGATGCAACACCCTTATGACTACCAACAAGACGATGATGATGATGATGATGATGATGATGATGATGATGATGATGATGATGATGATGTATAACATTAATTGCTCTGTACAAAAATGCGATGAAGATTTCAAAATGCAAAAATGAAAATGAGTTTGGATGTTTGCCCGTCGAAAATGGCAGAAAATTGATTATAAAACATTTTCGTTAGAAACTAATGATAATATTTTAAAATTTTAAGTATAGTCTTGTAGGTCAGCTTTAGTACCATTTGGTGTGGCTTTAAAACGTCGAATTCCCCCCCCCCCCCCACACACTTCATAGCAATTTATACCACCCCATAACTCATTCTATGTCGTTTTAAATACCAAATTCCATAAACACATTTTATGAATAGTATTTTTAATATGGGTTTAATTCATTAGCTTATCTACAGATTATTGATATCAGTTTCCATTCGAAAGGATTGTGTACTAGCGTGATAGGCCAGTTGCGATTTTAGTCAAGCTGAAATATGTGAAGGGTGACCTGTGTGAGATTCACATTTTTTGGGAGTCCATTTTCTCGGCCAAGAGGTGCTAACAATTACATGATCTGTGGGTAACTTAGTGCTCACCATTACATGATCTGTGTGTAACTTAGTGCTCACCATTACATGATCTGTGTGTAACTTAGTGCTCACCATTACATAATCTGTGGGTAACTTAGTGCTCACCATTACATGATCTGTGTGTAACTTAGTGCTCACCATTACATGATCTGTGTGTAACTTAGTGCTCAATATTACATGATCTGTGTGTAACTTAGTGCTCAATATTACATGATCTGTGGGTAACTTAGTGCTCACCATTACATGATCTGTGTGTAACTTAGTGCTCACCATTACATGATATGTGTGTGATTCGGTGCGTGCTCCTCCGTACAGTTTGATGTGCAGCAGTGCAGGTTATAAAACGTACCGTAACCCACCGTTCCTACCACTGAAACTTTTTACCGTCCTTTGATTAAAGCCGACCAGTCTCCTGCGGTCAGACCCGGACAATTTTCATGTGGCGGCAAAACGCCATTGATCAAGGTTCGAATCTTTACTAGACCACCCTAAGAGGTCACCCCTGAAACAAAATCATCGGCTCAGTGGTGTTACTGGTATGGGAGTTAAATGGTGCGGTCCCATACGTGACGTCATTGTACTGTCATGGTGTGTGGGTCAAGGTACTGTCATGGTTGTGTGGGTCAAGGTACTGTCATGTGTGGGTCAAGGTACTGTCATGGTTGTGTGGGTCAAGGTACTGTCATGTGTGGGTCAAGGTACTGTCATGTGTAGGTCAAGGTATTGTCATGGTTGTGTGGGTCAAGGTACTGTCATGTGTGGGTCAAGGTACTGTCATGGTTGTGTGGGTCAAGGTACTGTCATGTGTAGGTCAAGGTATTGTCATGGTTGTGTGGGTCAAGGTACTGTCAAGGTTGTGTGGGTCAAGGTACTGTCATGTGTGGGTCAAGGTACTGTCATGGTTGTGTGGGTCAAGGTACTGTCAAGGTTGTGTGGGTCAAGGTACTGTCATGGTTGTGTGGGTCAAGGTACTGTCATGTGTGGGTCAAGGTACTGTCATGTGTAGGTCAAGGTACTGTCATGGTTGTGTGGGTCAAGGTACTGTCATGGTTATGTGGGTCAAGGTACTGTCATGTGTAGGTCAAGGTACTGTCATGGTTGTGTGGGTCAAGGTACTGTCATGGTTGTGTGGGTCAAGGTACTGTCATGTGTGGGTCAAGGTACTGTCATGGTTGTGTGGGTCAAGGTACTGTCAAGGTTGTGTGGGTCAAGGTACTGTCAAGGTTGTGTGGGTCAAGGTACTGTCATGGTTGTGTGGGTCAAGGTACTGTCATGTGTGGGTCAAGGTACTGTCATGTGTAGGTCAAGGTATTGTCATGGTTGTGTGGGTCAATGTATTGTCATGTGTGGGTCAAGGTATTGTCATGGTGTGTGGGTCAAGGTATTGTCATGGTTGTGTGGGTCCAGGTACCGTCATGGTTGTGTGGGTCAAGGTACTGTCATGGTTGTGTGGGTCAAGGTACTGTCATGTGTGGGTCAAGGTACTGTCATGGTTGTGTGGGTATCACATTAAACCTAATTCCTATGAAACATATTTTCTGTAATCATACTTGTGTCCCCCTCTGTCCTTATTTCTATCCGACTTGAAATTCTTTAAACCAGTCATCCATTCTATGGTTCTACTTCAAGCAAATCCTGATATCATGTTTTTAAATGTCTTTTAGTAAGTACCTGTTCACGATGCCTAAAATATTGCGTCACGGTACAACGCCAGAGTTCTGCCTGACGTTTTACGGCTCAGAGGGATCCGAACCCGCAACCCTGAGGCTTGTACCACAGGACAGCAACAAACCTGGGGTCGATCTCACGGACATGTATCAGTCAGGTATGTTAATGTGTGCACGTGAGTCAGGTATGTTAATGTGTGCACGTGAGTCAGGTATGTTAATGTGTGCACGTGAGTCAGGTATGTTAATGTGTGCACGTGAGTCAGGTATGTTAATGTGTGCACGTGAGTCAGGTATGTTAATGTGTGCACGTGAGTCAGGTATGTTAATGTGTGCACGTGAGTCAGGTATGTTAATGTGTGCACGTGAGTCAGGTATGTTAATGTGTGCACGTGAGTCAGGTATGTTAATGTGTGCACGTGAGTCAGGTATGTTAATGTGTGCACGTGAGTCAGGTATGTTAATGTGTGCACGTGAGTCAGGTATGTTAATGCACGTGAGTCAGGTATGTTAATGTGTGCACGTGAGTCAGGTATGTTAATGCACGTGAGTCAGGTATGTTAATGCGTGCACGTGAGTCAGGTATGTTAATGTGTGCACGTGAGTCAGGTATGTTAATGCACGTGAGTCAGGTATGTTAATGTGTGCACGTGAGTCAGGTATGTTAATGTATGCACATGCAGCCCATTGAAGGTGGATTTAAGGAAACATTGTTTCTAGAAGATTCCCTTTGGAGCTAGTCAGATCCCAGGGGCCCGCTGTCACTGTCCTTTAGACTTAAACCAGTAGAATACGACACTATGTCGGGTGTTGTTAAAGGGGGGGGGGGGTAAAGGAAGTGGACAACAAAGCGCCCATGCACGTCAACATCAATAGAGCAGACTTGACTGGGTCGTCTGGAAGACAGGACGTAGACTTGACATTTCCTTGAGCCGATTCAAAAGCTTGCACAGTTTAGTTACATACATCGCTAAAGGGAGATAATAACACACACGCTTAGTTTCTATTTTCAGAAGAAAAAAAAACAGTTGTTCTATCAATAACAAACATACATTTTACATTATCTAATTTTCTAATGGACTTGTGGGCCTGTTATGGCAAGTCGTGGGAGTCGTTTACTTGTCTGCATCCCCCCCCCCCCCCTCCTCAGCTGGCCTTTAAATTTTTATCAAAGAAGTTAGCCGTCGACAGCATCTTATGTGGATGTAAAAGAAAGATAACTTGATAATAAATAAATAAATTTTGCCCGCATGTTTGGCCATTCTAATTGTCCTTTCCCCCGGGGAAGGGGGGGGGGGGAGAGAGGGAGGGGTAACGTCACGGTAATTTCGTCCCGATTAAAGGCATATTCTAACTTCTGTTACAAACAGTTTGCTTTATAGAATACAATATAAGTTATTATACAGACAAACCACTGTTTCTAGTAGTTTGCTTAGGATCTACATTTGTATACAGATATATCCAAACATAGCAATATTAACAAAGTGTTGCGACAAGGATTAATAGATTTAGCAGTCTATAAAAATGAACTTTTAAATGCACTGAAAATAAGAAAATTATGTTTAAAAAACTTGCTTCTATAATCAAAGTTTAGGCCGCTAAAACATGTAAAAGATCTCATTAACAACTAAAGCTATAATTAAAGAAATCAAGTTTGTTTTGGTTTTCTTATTTTCGGTGTATTAAAAAGTTTCTTATTATAACTGTTTTATATTTGAATAATTTAGGGGTCATCCATAAGTGACGTCACGCTTTTTTGACGATTTTTACCTTCCCCCTCCCCTCCGTCACACATCGTCACAAAAAGCCAGACCCCCCCCCCCCCTAAAATGACGTCACACCTCAGCCTACAACCCCCCTCAAAATTGCAGTTGAATTTTTTTTAAAATATCGATATTTTTCCAAAATCGTGTATGAACTCTGTCAACATAGAGTATTTTAATCAATTCCTATTACACTTTATTAAAACAGTTTTCTAAAACGCGAAATAACGTCTAAACTTCGTTTTCTAACATTGCTTTTTTTTTTATAATGCAACTGTGTGACGTCACACCATCTGAACACCCCCCCCCCTCCCCCTCATCACACGCCGTCAAAAAATAACGGACCCCCTCCCCCTACGAATGTGACGTCATTTATAGACGACCCCTTATCTTGTGTTCGCCAATTTTCAGGGGAACAAATATGTCGAAGCTTCAGTGCTCCGCCCCCGGGTGACTATGAGTTGCAGCTGTATAAGGGTAATAACTCTCTTAACACGCCTTTGAAGGTTACAGTTTTCAGTGATAAAATAATCACACTAGTACAGACTGACAAACCTGTCTACAAACCAGGACAGAAAGGTAACCTGGGTGTTTTTAAGTTGTTCTAAGCATTTAAAAAAAATCAAGATATCTTTAAATGTTTAACTTATTTTTATTGTAATCAATAATTTATTGTTAAAAATATTTTTAAGACACCATGAATGATATATTTTTTGAGAAAATGAAAATGACTCTTCTTTTACCTACAGTTATGTTTCGTGTCTTTACACTGATGAGTGATTTAAAAGCCAGAGTCGGAAAAGTAAAATTTAAAATTTCTATTAGTTAGACAATGTCTTATATTAAAGTTTGTATTAGTTAAACAATGTCTTATATTAAAGATTGTATTAGGGGTCGTCCATAAATGACGTCACACTCGAAGAGGGAGGGGGTGGGTCCGTAATTTTGTGACGGTGTGTGACGAGGGGGAGGACGCTTCAGATGGTGTCACGCTTTTTTTGACGATTTTTACCTCTCCCCCCCCCCCCCCCCTCCGTCACACATCGTCACAAAAAGCCAGACCCCCCCCCCTAAAATGACGTCACATTTCAGTATACAACCCCCCTCAAAATTGCAGTTGAATTTTTCTTAAAACATCCATATTTTTTCAAAATCTTGTCTGAACTCTGTCAAAATAGAGTATTTTAATCAATTAATATAACAATTTATTAAAACAGTTTTCTAAACCGCGAAAAAACGTCTAAAATCGTTTTCTAACATTGCTTTTTAGTAATGCAAGTGTGACGTCGCACCATCTGAACCCCCCCCCCCCCCCCCCACCCTCCCCCTCATCACACATTGTCACAAAATTACGGACCCCCTCTACCCTACGAGTGTGACGTCATTTATGGACGACCCCTTATATTTTTAATTGAATGTCCTTTGTGGATGTAGAATTTTGTAGATCTATGTGCTACACTTGTAAACCTCGAAATCTCTCAATAATCTATTTTTTTAAAATATTTTTCCAGATTAAAAGTATTTACATCTCAGATCCCAATGACATTAGGGTCAAACAATTTGCTGATGTCGATCACAAAGGTAAACTACTCTATATTTACTAAAACTCTGTAATATTCTAGAGTTATTAGACTTTGTACATGCTATTGTTGACGTTAAACGTTTACGCTTAGGCCAGGCCTAATTGCTTTGTATTAGATCAATGTAGTTTTGGTGAATTTTAATTTACAGTGAAAATTGGTTTAAAATACGCCTCGCATATAAACATGGATAGTATTTGTTATTGGTTTTTTTTTTAATTCGTTCTTTGTGCAGCAAAGAAGATTTTTCCCCGTTGGTTTAAATTTATCTATAATATAAGCGGGCTGTGTCTGTCCTTCCTTCCTTCCTTCCTTCCGTCCGTCATCGCTATAGATTTTGGGACTATAAAAGTAAACATTCGCACCATGCTGTGCTTGAAAGTGCACCGCAGTGTCTTATTATAAGTAATAGAGTAGGGTTTGTTTATATAGCGGCATAGAGCTATTTTATAATTGCCACGGTTTTTACTCTTTTGCATAACGTCAAGAAAATATTAAATACACGCAAACTGCTAAAACGTATTAAAAAGATAAAAGTCAAATATCATTTTCGTTTATATTCCCAGAAAAAGTGGATACATTTTAATAACATAATAACAGTAGGGTAGAAAAATCAAATTAATTTAACTCTTTTCTAATTTTGACAAAGGAGGTAATTTAAAAATACATTAAACTCACGCTAATAAAAAATGTGAATGCAAATATACGTTCGTCATAGAAGGAATTAGTGTTGCAATAATATAATTAGCAAAATGTGAATGCAAATTATTCGGATGTGTAAGAGGAAATTATTGTTAGAAAATTATAATTAGCATGGATTGATAAAAGGCAATCTTTTATTTATTTTATTCACTGAATGTAGGCCCTACTGTTTATTACTTATAATTTTTAATCAACTATTCAGCACTATTATAGACGCGTCATCAATTTCATTAGGTGCGCAATGGTTTTAGTAATGAAACTCTATTGTAAATTTTTAAAATTTAAAGTACTGGAAAAAAAATGCGTGAATGGATAAAGTGAAATATTGTTTATATTATAGATACTGCCTATTATTTATACTGTTTTCTAATTATTATTCTATCTTTCGGGTTTTATAGGAGAGGCGTAGCGAGGGGGGGGGGCATATGTCCCCGGGTGCCGACCTTAGGGGGCGCCAAAGTGGGTTGGAAAAAATTTGCGAGGGGGGGGGGGGGTGGTGGAAATCGAAATTTTTAGGGCGGGGGGGGGGGGTGCAAATCGAAAGCTTGAGGGGGGTTGCATATCACCGGAAAGGGCGCGATTTGGCGCTACGGGCTAGACTGTGAGCAATATGCCTTTATGATTGCATTTAAATTGTGTTTATGTTATGAGTGTTGTGTTTGTTTTTTCGTTTTTTTTTTTTTTTTTTTTTTCGTTCGTTTGTGTTGTGTTTAGTTTTGTTCTGTTGGTACATTTAAAAAAGATTTACCGTGGCGGAGCACGGGATGCAGCTAGTATTTTTATAGGCCTACTGTACTAGATCTAATAGTAGTAGAGTAGTAGTATTCTACATCCGAAATTCTAAATGACACCAAATGAAATTTTAAAATGTGTTTTCATATAAATGTATTTGGTCAGCGAATATGTTGGTATAAATCACATATAGATCTATGTGAGATAGCAAAAGCCAAATGAAAATGTATTTAGTTCACTTGTACATCGTGTGTGTCTGTGAACTGTGCAGGTATCAGCAGCTTTGAGTTTGAGTTGGCTGCTGAAGCCAAACTTGGCAAGTGGAAGATTGAAGTGAACGTGGACCAGTTTGAGGAGAATAATAACAGGGGCAGCCTACTCTATTTCACTGTGGAGGAATATGGTGGGTAGTTTTAAATTGAGTCTTAATTGCTTGCAGTTTTCTAGCTTTGGTACAGGCTGTTCGTGGGTAGTCTAAAAATGATAAAATTTTTATAACTTACAAAAGTAAATGTCTGACATCTATAACTTTAATTATAACTTATATCTGTTGCCATATGACACAGATCTAGATCTAGAGTCTAGTAATGACTAGTATAATAATTAATACTATCTTACTAGTATTACTTACTTAGTATACTTACTTAATCCTCATCACTCCCTGTGGAGTATAGGGCAACAACAAATCTCCGCCATTCCACCCTGTCCTGGGCGAGCCACTTTAGTTCATGCCAGGTTTTGCCAGTAGCCTGTACTTCTTCTTCCATCTCCCTCCTCCATGTTCCCAGTGGTCTTCCTCTACTTCTCTTTCCGGGTGGGTTCCACTTCAGCGCCATGTTGGGGAGTCTTTTTTTGCTCATGCGTAGGACATGGCCCAGCCATCTCCATCTCCTCGTTCTAACTTCTGAGACAATGTCGTTTAATCCTGTCCTTCGCCATATTTCCTTGTTCGGGACTTTGTCGTCCCACTTTATCCTGAGGATGCGTTGGAGGGATCTTCTTTCAAAGCCTCTGAGTCGGCTGTCTACTTTCTTGTTTAGTTTCCATGACTCTGCAGCATAGAGGAGTACAGAACGTACATTAGACTTATAGATCCTTATTTTAGTTCTCTGCTGCAGTGAGGATGATTTCCAGATCTTAGCAAGTCTGTTGAAAGCTTGTGCTGCCATTGCTATTCTGGTGGCAATTTCTTTCTCCATGCTGCCATTTGCTGATATATAGCTGCCGAGGTACTTAAAGTCTTCGACCTCTTCTAGCTCTGCTCCATTCGCAAAGGTCTTGAGAGCACTTTTGGTTTTTATTTTCATTAGCTTGGTTTTTCCGGAGTTTATCTTTAGCCCAACGCTTTTGGCAATTTGCTCTATTCTTGTGGTTTTCGCTTGGATGTCTTTTTGGGCATGTGAAAGTAAAGCCAAGTCATCAGCAAAGTCACAGTCCTCTAGGTGGATGGTAAGTTCCCAAACAATTCCTCTTGGCTTATCCTCAGTGGCTCTTCTCATAATCCAGTCTATTACCACCAAAAAGATGACAGGTGAGATGACACAGCCCTGTCTGACTCCTGTTTTTACCTTGAACCATTCACTTTGCTGATTTTCGTGTCGCACACAGCATTGGTTATCATAGTACATGTCCTTAAGTATGTTTATGACTTTTCCTGGAAAGCCATATAGCTCTAGTATCTTCCATAATGATGGATGGTGGATGCTATCAAATGCTTTCTCGAAATCTATGTAGTTGATGTAGAGAGACGAATTCCACTCCAGGGACTGTTCCACTATAGTGCGCAAGACAAATATTTGGTCGTTACATGACCTGTTGGCCCTGAAGCCAGCTTGTTCTTCACGAAGGATCCCATCAATTCCTTTCCTCATTCTTTGTAATAGGACTCTGCAGAAGATCTTACTAGTATTAGTAGTATATAATATATTATATAAAGGATTTTAAAAAATATTTCTAAAAGATAATTTTTTGAAATCTGTAGTAAAAGTAGTTGTTGTTGTGCTTTTGTTTCAGTTCTGCCAAGGTTTGAAGTAGTGATTACACCCCCTTCTTACTTGCTCATCACTGATGAAACGATTCAAGGAAAAGTCTGTGCTAAGTAAGTTGTCATTCAATTTTTTTTTCTTGCAAATTTGTCAAAAACAATTTTTGTTGCCAAATTGTAACAAAAGATGAGGAAAAGATTAAACATATAGATTTCTACTGTCATATACGGTTTTTATCTGCCTCTAATGTCTAAAATGTTAAAACATTTGCAGGTACACGTATGGCAAGCCTGTCAAGGGCTTGTTAGAGCTACGGGTCTGCTGGGAGAAAAATTACCTGGATAAAAATAATAAGTGCCATCAGGAGGCTGTTGAGGTAAAATCAAGGTTGTCTTATCAAAATAAGACCATATCCAACTTTGGAACTAAATAAAACAAGCACAAAAAAATTGTAACACTATCAATCTATTTTTTTTTTCATTTTTTAACAATTAACATTTGACAAATTGCCAGTTAAAAAAAAATCCCATAAAAACCTTTTGTCCACAGATAAATGGCTGCTACACCTTCACAGCAAATACCTCTAAAGTCCTTCCCCCAGCCGACCAAATATATTATGGTGGATCCCTGTCAATTCATGCCTCAGTCACAGAGAAGGATACAGCTTTTGTCGTGAGCAAAACTCACAGTGGACTCTCACTAACACATGAACCCTTGGAGATAACTCTGAAAGACTTTACCAAAGGATATTTTAAGCCTGGGCTGCCTTTTTATGGAAAGGTAAGACTTGCTGGTAATATTGCTTTACAAAAAGTACACATTTATTTAGTAACATTTACAGTAATTGAGAAGACATTTGAGTGTTGCAGTTCTTCATGATTTCCAGATTGTAGTGACAAATCCAGATGGAACTCCAAAAGAAGGAGAGCTCATTGAATTATCAGCTGCTTCAGGCGTCCGTAAATTCTCCCGACAGTTTGTCACCGACAGCGCTGGCGTCATTCAGTACACATTGTGTGATGGCATCTCAGAGAACATTTCATCTATCTCTCTTGAAGTATGTGTTGGCCACCCCTTAAATTCAGTCTAGAAAATATTAAAATTTTAGACCATGTCAGGTGAATTTATTTAGTGAAAGATTTGTCCCCCTGTCATTAGGCTAAAGCAGTAAATCACATTCTTCCCCCTGTCATTAGGCTAAAGCAATAAATGTGAATTTAGTTAGGTAAAGATTTTCCCCATGTCATTAGGCTAAAGCAGTAAATCACATTTGTCCCCCTGCTGTCATTAGGCTAAAGCAGTAAATAACATTTTTCCCCTGTCATTAGGCTAAAGCAGTAAATCATATTTTTCCCCTGTCATTAGGCTAAAGCAGTAAATAACATTTTTCCCCTGTCATTAGGCTAAAGAAGTAAATAAAATTTTCCCCCTGTCATTAGGCTAAAGCAGTAAATCATATTTTCCCCCTGTCATTAGGCTAAAGCAGTAAATAAAATTTTCCCCCTGTCATTAGGCTAAAGCAGTAAATCACATTTTCCCCCTGTCATTAGGCTAAAGCAGTAAATCACATTTTTCCCCTGTCATTAGGCTAAATCAGTAAATCACATTTTTCCCCTGTCATTAGGCTAAAGCAGTAAATAAAATTTTCCCCCTGTCATTAGACTAAAGAAGTAAATAAAATTTTCCCCCTGTCATTAGGCTAAAGCAGTAAATCACATTTTCCCCCTGTCATTAGGCTAAAGCAGTAAATCACATTTTCCCCCTGTCATTAGGCTAAAGCAGTAAATCACATTTTCCCCCTGTCATTAGGCTAAAGCAGTAAATCACATTTTCCCCCTGTCATTAGGCTAAAGAAGTAAATAAAATTTTCCCCCTGTCATTAGGCTAAAGCAGTAAATCATATTTTCCCCCTGTCATTAGGCTAAAGCAGTAAATAAAATTTTCCCCCTGTCATTAGGCTAAAGCAGTAAATCACATTTTCCCCCTGTCATTAGGCTAAAGCAGTAAATCACATTTTTCCCCTGTCATTAGGCTAAATCAGTAAATCACATTTTTCCCCTGTCATTAGGCTAAAGCAGTAAATAAAATTTTCCCCCTGTCATTAGACTAAAGAAGTAAATAAAATTTTCCCCCTGTCATTAGGCTAAAGCAGTAAATCACATTTTCCCCCTGTCATTAGGCTAAAGCAGTAAATCACATTTTCCCCCTGTCATTAGGCTAAAGCAGTAAATCACATTTTCCCCCTGTCATTAGGCTAAAGCAGTAAATCACATTTTCCCCCTGTCATTAGGCTAAAGAAGTAAATCACATTTTCCCCCTGTCATTAGGCTAAAGCAGTAAATAAAATTTTCCCCCTGTCATTAGGCTAAAGCAGTAAATCATATTTTCCCCCTGTCATTAGGCTAAAGCAGTAAATCACATTTTCCCCCTGTCATTAGGCTAAAGCAGTAAATCACATTTTCCCCCTGTCATTAGGCTAAAGCAGTAAATAAAATTTTCCCCCTGTCATTAGACTAAAGAAGTAAATAAAATTTTCCCCCTGTCATTAGGCTAAAGCAGTAAATCACATTTTTCCCCTGTCATTAGGCTAAAGCAGTAAATAAAATTTTCCCCCTGTCATTAGACTAAAGAAGTAAATAAAATTTTTCCCCTGTCATTAGGCTAAAGCAGTAAATCACATTTTCCCCCTGTCATTAGGCTAAAGCAGTAAATCACATTTTCCTCCTGTCATTAGGCTAAAGCAGTAAATCACATTTTCCCCCTGTCATTAGGCTAAAGCAGTAAATCACATTTTCCCCCTGTCATTAGGCTAAAGCAGTAAATCATATTTTCCCCCTGTCATTAGGCTAAAGCAGTAAATAAAATTTTCCCCCTGTCATTAGGCTAAAGCAGTAAATCACATTTTCCCCCTGTCATTAGGCTAAAGCAGTAAATCACATTTTTCCCCTGTCATTAGGCTAAATCAGTAAATCACATTTTTCCCCTGTCATTAGGCTAAAGCAGTAAATAAAATTTTCCCCCTGTCATTAGACTAAAGAAGTAAATAAAATTTTCCCCCTGTCATTAGGCTAAAGCAGTAAATCACATTTTCCCCCTGTCATTAGGCTAAAGCAGTAAATCACATTTTCCCCCTGTCATTAGGCTAAAGCAGTAAATCACATTTTCCCCCTGTCATTAGGCTAAAGCAGTAAATCACATTTTCCCCCTGTCATTAGGCTAAAGAAGTAAATAAAATTTTCCCCCTGTCATTAGGCTAAAGCAGTAAATCATATTTTCCCCCTGTCATTAGGCTAAAGCAGTAAATAAAATTTTCCCCCTGTCATTAGGCTAAAGCAGTAAATCACATTTTCCCCCTGTCATTAGGCTAAAGCAGTAAATCACATTTTTCCCCTGTCATTAGGCTAAATCAGTAAATCACATTTTTCCCCTGTCATTAGGCTAAAGCAGTAAATAAAATTTTCCCCCTGTCATTAGGCTAAAGCAGTAAATAAAATTTTCCCCCTGTCATTAGACTAAAGAAGTAAATAAAATTTTCCCCCTGTCATTAGGCTAAAGCAGTAAATCACATTTTTCCCCTGTCATTAGGCTAAAGCAGTAAATAAAATTTTCCCCCTGTCATTAGACTAAAGAAGTAAATACAATTTTTCCCCTGTCATTAGGCTAAAGCAGTAAATCACATTTTCCCCCTGTCATTAGGCTAAAGCAGTAAATCACATTTTCCTCCTGTCATTAGGCTAAAGCAGTAAATCACATTTTCCCCCTGTCATTAGGCTAAAGAAGTAAATAAAATTTTCCCCCTGTCATTAGGCTAAAGCAGTAAATCATATTTTCCCCCTGTCATTAGGCTAAAGCAGTAAATAAAATTTTCCCCCTGTCATTAGGCTAAAGCAGTAAATCACATTTTCCCCCTGTCATTAGGCTAAAGCAGTAAATCACATTTTTCCCCTGTCATTAGGCTAAATCAGTAAATCACATTTTTCCCCTGTCATTAGGCTAAAGCAGTAAATAAAATTTTCCCCCTGTCATTAGACTAAAGAAGTAAATAAAATTTTCCCCCTGTCATTAGGCTAAAGCAGTAAATCACATTTTCCCCCTGTCATTAGGCTAAAGCAGTAAATCACATTTTCCCCCTGTCATTAGGCTAAAGCAGTAAATCACATTTTCCCCCTGTCATTAGGCTAAAGCAGTAAATCACATTTTCCCCCTGTCATTAGGCTAAAGAAGTAAATCACATTTTCCCCCTGTCATTAGGCTAAAGCAGTAAATAAAATTTTCCCCCTGTCATTAGGCTAAAGCAGTAAATCATATTTTCCCCCTGTCATTAGGCTAAAGCAGTAAATAAAATTTTCCCCCTGTCATTAGGCTAAAGCAGTAAATCATATTTTCCCCCTGTCATTAGGCTAAAGCAGTAAATAAAATTTTCCCCCTGTCATTAGGCTAAAGCAGTAAATCACATTTTCCCCCTGTCATTAGGCTAAAGCAGTAAATCACATTTTTCCCCTGTCATTAGGCTAAAGCAGTAAATAAAATTTTCCCCCTGTCATTAGACTAAAGAAGTAAATAAAATTTTCCCCCTGTCATTAGGCTAAAGCAGTAAATCACATTTTCCCCCTGTCATTAGGCTAAAGCAGTAAATCACATTTTTCCCCTGTCATTAGGCTAAAGCAGTAAATCACATTTTCCCCCTGTCATTAGGCTAAATCAGTAAATCACATTTTTCCCCTGTCATTAGGCTAAAGCAGTAAATCACATTTGTCCCCCTGCTGTCATTAGGCTAAAGCAGTAAATCACAACAGCAGCAGGTACCAGCCAACCAGGTACAAGACAGTCCAGCAGTGGTTCTCTCCGTCCCTCACCTACATCCAGATACCCAGACACGAGCAGACGCTAACTTGTGGCCAGAATATTCAATTGAGGATCCCTTTTACAACCAGGGAAGACAAGATTCAGTTTCATTACCAGGTAAGTTCAATAAATTATCTCATTAGCAGGTAAGTTCAGTTAATTACCTCATTACCAGGTTAGTTCAGTTATTTATCTCATTACCAGGTAAGGTCAATTAGTTATCTAATTAATCTCATTACCAGGTAAGTTCAATAAATTACCTCATTACCAGGTAAGGTCAATTAGTTATCTAATTAATCTCATTACCAGGTAAGTTCAATAAATTACCTCATTACCAGGTAAGGCCAATGAATTACCTCATTACCAGGTACACTCAATTAGTAATCTCATTACCATGCAAGTTTTATTAAATATTGCGTTACCAGGTACATTTTATTACATTCTGGCATCGCGAGGTAAATATTTTTTTCTCTGTGTAATTGCCAAAAAATACAATTCTAATTGTAATATTATACTATTTAACTATAAGATAAATATACGCTTTGTATGTAGGTCCTCATATTTGTAATGGTTTATTTATTGAAATTATTTAGAAAAGACTCAGAAGTTAAAACAGTCGTATTTTTTTAGTAGAGAGCTGGTGTTTGTTTGATTACTCTTAGTTTAAAGAGTCTTTAGATATTTTAAATAAATGTTTATTAATGTTAAAGGTTAACAACTAGTTTTTAATATATGTAAGGATATGAAATAATTTAAATGATTATCTTTATTGCCATAGGTGTTAGCTCGAGGTAAAGTAATTTCCAAAGGAAAAGTCTCCTATGATGGGAGTTCCAGCTCTGAAGACGTGCCAGCAGCTGATCCATCCTCCCAGTGTTTACAGGAAGTCAGAAGTGAAGAGCTCAGTCCAGTGGAAGATTTAACAACTGCCCCACCCCTTCAAGGTCAAACAGAGGACCCACTCCAGGCATCATCAGACGCCACAGTACCCTCCTCACCTGAGCTGCCCCCTGACTCTGACAGTCCACCTCCACCCCCACCCTTTGTACAAGGTAAATCTTACCACACACATAGCTATTACAGTTTTATTTAGAGTCCTGTAACATAAGAACTGCTGTCATAAGCAAACAATAATATCTTCAACTAACGTTTTCACTAATCTGGTGTCGTAGTAATTAGCAAATAGTTCAACATAACTCAATAGTCCTATTTGGTGATGATCTAGCACAGTGGTCTCCAAACTTTTCAGTCCGAGGGCCGCATTAACTATCAAATTTCAGTTCGGGGGCCAGTTTCTTCCAGGCATGTCATTGATTTTTCTGGGCAAAGTTCCTCAGCCATCAGCAAGAAACGTTTTTCCGTGAACAAAAAGATCTCCGCGGGCCGGATGAGAGGACATCACAGGCCGCATCCGGCCCGCGGGCCGTAGTTTGGAGACCCCTGATCTAGCAGATAGTTCAACATAACTCAGTAGTCTTAATGGTGATAAGATTGGTTTGCTTCATTAAAATTTCTGCTTTAAAATAAACGAGCCGGCCCGCGGCATAACATACGCCGCTATTTAGTTGTTTCTAATTTTCAATAATTCATAATTTGTGAATTCGACAGTACCAACGCTGACACTGAAAATATTTCTTTAAAACACTATAAGTAGCTCGTTAAGGACCATAACCCCCCCCCCCCCCCTTCCTTCCCTCCCCCCCTACTCTCCACCCCCCCCCCCTACGTTTAAAATCGTTGGCTCTGCTTGTAAACATTTAGAGTGAACACAGCTCACTAAAACCATGTAGGGGTGGGGAGGTAGGGAGAGCGTTTGCAGCTTGTTTTCTAACGGCTCGAAGAAGAGAATTATATATATAGATAACCATTCTAGTTCCACCAGCCAGCAATTAACTAATGGCCTAGAGTTGAATTCTATCTGTTTAGAAGAAAAAGGAAACTTCATCTATACTTTAAAATTTGGATTAAAAATGTAACCACTTGAGAAATGAATATTTTGCTGCAAAGGCCCTGTAATGTTAAAACAATGGCTAGCCAGATAAAAGCACAGTAATAATGTTAAAACAATTTTTAGTTTTTACAGATAAAAAGCCAAAAGAAAAAATTGTCAGATCCGAGTTCCTGGCCAACAAAGTTTCCAGCTTTGCTTTGGATCTAAGCATCACAGCAGCTATGTCTCCTAAGTTTACCCTGTTGATCTACCACGTCCTGTCAGATGGGGAAGTTGTGGCAGACAGCATGAAGTTTCAGGTCCAGCCGTGCTTTGAGAATACAGTAGGTCACAATTTTATCGTTACATTAGTTACATGTGTCATTACATTAGTTACACATGTCATTACATAGGTTACACTTGCGTCATTACATTAGTTACACATGTATCAATATGTCAGTTACACATGTATAATTACATATGATATAATTGTATCATCACAGATTTTAAATTTTGGTAAACAAAGATAAATGATATAAATTATAATTATTTTTTAAAAATATGAAATTCTGTTGGTAGATTTTGGGATATTACAGCAACTTAATGCTAACAATGGACCATTTAGGTGTTACAGCAACGTAATGCTAACAATTGACCATTTAGTTGTTACATGCTAACAATTGACCATTTAGGTGTTACATGCTAACAATTGACCTTTTAGTTGTTACAGCAACTTAATGCTAACAATTGACCATTTAGTTGTTACATGCTAACAATTGACCATTTAGTTGTTTAAGCAACTTACTGCTAACAATTGACCATCAGCAACTTAATGCTAACAATTGACCATTTAGTTGTTACAGCAACTTAATGCTAACAATTGACCATCAGCAACTTAATGCTAACAATTGACCATTTAGGTGAAGATGTCATTTGACAAAGAGTCAGTCCTGCCTGGGGAAAGTGTAAACATTGAACTAGAAGCAGCTCCAGAATCTATTTGTGGTGTTGGCATCATTGACAAAAGTCTGAACATTCTGGGAGGTCAGCACCAGATCAAGCCTGAACTGGTAAGTTTGGCCACACACACAATTTCTAAGTTTGGCCACACACACTATTTCTAAGTTTGGCCACACACACTATTTCTAAGTTTGGCCACACACACTATTTCTAAGTTTGGCCACACACACAACTTGTAAGATTGGCCACACACACAACTTGTAAGTTTGGCCACACACACAACTTGTAAGATTGGCCACACACACAACTTGTAAGTTTGGCCACACACACAACTTGTAAGTTTGGCCACACACCCAACTTTTAAATTTGGCCAACATTCAAAACTGTAAGTTTGGGCAACACTTAAAACTTGTAAGTGCGGCCTATGCACACAACTTGTAAGTTTTGCCAATACACACAACTTATAAGTTTGGCCAACAATCTAAACTTGTAAGTTTGGCCAACACTCTAAACTTGTAAGTTAGGCCAATACACACAACTTTTAAATTTGGCCAACACTCTAAAGCTGTAAGTTTGGCCGATACTCTAAACTTGTACTTTTGGCCAAGACACTAATCTGTTCAGTTAGGCCAACATGTTAAACTAATAGGTTTTGCCAACACTTAAAGAATAATTCCAACACATCTTTGTTTCACAAAACACTTTGTTTATTAAATTGAGTTACCAAGTACACACTATTAATACATTATTCAAGTTGTTTTTAAAAAATAAATCATTGTAATTTTTAAATTAATTAAATACTGACATTTTATTTTAAAAAGATATTTCAAAAAATTGAGGAGTACAATTCACCAGATTTTGCTGATGTTTCTGTTCCATTTTGGGGTGATGGGGACTATTGCACTGAGAAAATGAAAACAGAAGCCGGTAATGGGATGACTTATTATTTTTAAATTTTTTTTTTAATTTTATAAAATTTAGCTGATAATAAATTAGTTAAAAAAACATTAAAAATACATGTTAAAAAGTCAAATCTATGTGTTTTTATAAATAATTCATACATTATTTTCATATAATACAGAAAGTGAAATGGATGGTAACTTTTGGCAATATTTCTCACAATATGTCGATGCAAGCCAAGCTTTTAAGGTAATTCAAGTAATTTAACATGGCTTTGCTAACTCACAATATAAGTTTGAATGTAGCTTAGGCTTTTACCCCAATTCCCTAAAAATTAAACTAAAATATTAGACCATCTTCAATGAAAAATGTCAGTTGTCAATCTCAAAATTGTTTTTACAGTCATCTGGTTTGCTGGTCCTTTCTAATCTAAACCTGGAAACAAGACCATGTTCAAGTAGATGGCCGGTCATGTATGGTAGGCCTGGTACAAAACACATTATCATTATGTCATGTATGGTATGCACGGTACAAAACACATCATTAGTTCATGTATGGTAGGCCTGGTACAAAACACATTATCATTATGTCATGGATGGTAGGAACAAATTACACAATTATTTTCATTACAGAACTATTAAATTAAATGTCGATTAAAGTTTGGTGAAAATTTTATCTTTTATGCGATAGTAATGGCATTTTTAAACATAAGCTACAACAAACTGTGCAAGTGCAGTCTCAATGAGTTTTTATATAAATCAACTAATTACTAATCAATTGGGGTCTCAATGAGTTTTTATGTAAATCAACTAATTACTAATTAAGTGGGGTCTCAACAGTTAAACAACTTTTATTTAAACCCTCAGTTATGTGTTGTGCATAGAACGAGCTTTACTAGGACGTTGTTTTCTTCTAGTGTTGGATTCTGTTATATACATAATGTTAAAGAATGTCAAATAGTGGTAGATTGACATGGTCGATGATATATTTACATTGTTTTAAATGACATCTATGACACCTGTCACATTACTGTGCCATTAGAACTAATGATTTATCAAAACATTCCCATGGTTCTCAAGTGCCTAATTGATTTATAAATTTGTTCTGATTGTCATTAAGTTATTCAGTGTTTTGTTTTTACCTGAATATGGTATAGGATACTAACTAGAAATTTAAGTAGCATTACCGTTAAAATGGAATATCCATCTATTGTCAAAAAAAAAATCAAAGATGGTTATTTATATATAAATGTAGTATCACAACATTTTATTTATTGTATTTTTGTTGTTGTAATATTCATTTGCAAAAGGGATTCACTTACACTTTGCATCAAAAGCTTTTAATGAATAACTTTCATAAGTTTTCAAATATGGGTTTGTTTGAAGCTCATTTTGGCTAAACTAGACTTTTAACTTTTTGGAAGCCCTTTTTATGCACGGGAGACCCACCATCCAAATAAAATCTTTTTCAGCACCTCAAGCTATGGTTAGTTTTCGTCGCAAAAACCACCCCAAAAAAAGAGTCCGTAGGAATTTTCCAGAAACTTGGCTTTGGGATGTATTTATTGTGGGGTGAGATCAATTCACAGGCCACATTTCAATTTTGTTGTTTTTGCTGCATCATGAACCTTTATATTTCCGAAGCCACTTTTTCTCTCTTATTGTCTTTACTGCTGCATCATAAATCTTTATAGATCTAGATCTACTTCTGTGTCAGGACACTTCAAAAAGCCATTTCTCAATTTTGTTATTTTTCCTGCAGTATCGTGTATGTTTATCTTTTGGGTAAGATAAATTCCTAAGCCACATTTTCCTTTGTTTTTACAGCTGAATCATGTAGCTTATCTTTATATTTCTGGGTTAGATTAACTCATTGTTGTGCTGTTTCTGCTGCATCATGTTGCACAAAGTGGGCTGTAAAGAAAATAAATGTGTTCTTTAAGTTAAACTAACAGTATTTGACATTCTTTAAGAAAATATAAAGAAATAACAAAGTATCAGTAGCCTACATAATTAAGGTGCAATAGTTTTGTTTAACTGTAAACTAATTTTCTATTTTAAACTTTGCTGTTAAAACAAATAGGACATGAATGATCTCAACTTATTTGCAACAAGCTGTGCATCTTTTAAAGCTTGTACTAACATGGTGAATTCCTTTTCTTTTGAGCTCAGAAGAAGATGTTAATTTCGACATGAACATGGTTCCTGCCCTTTCGGCAGTTGGGCCTGTACCAATCAGGAAAGCAGTAGAAGGACCCAAAGAAAATATAGCAACTCGCACACATTTTCCAGAAACTTGGTTGTGGGATATACAAATAATTAGGTATGTTTACAAGAGATCCACATCTTGAATCAAACATGGTTCACATTTGATACAAAACATTTGAAAATATTTAAAACTATTACACCTAAAAGATTTATTAATAGGATCATTTTAAAAAATAAAGTTCATTCTATTATACTTTTTCCCTATTTGTTCAAATCCATGTTTTGGTCATTTTTCTTCTGAGCCCATAATGTGATGTGGCAGCTTGCTTGAGAGTAATTTTTGTGAGATGTTGACCTCTTTAATTTTGTCGGCATTTGGTTTGATTGACATTACTCTTCCTTGTGAGAGTCTGACTTGCTTAGCATTATTTTGTTTTAACAAGCATTTTCATTAACTATTATTTCACATGAAAATTCATTACTTTTAAAAATTCTTAAAATATGGAGTTGATAAAAATTAAGTACATTCTTAATAAGACTAAATTTGTTTTTTTTTTAATCTAGGCTAGTTTAATTATATTTAAATTTTTTAAAAGATGTGTTGGCCTACTTAAAATCATATTTTAAACCAGATGTTTTAAGAATGTATTGCTAAGTTGTAAACTAAATTACAATACTACAGCCATTGTTTGAAAACTGTTTTTACTAGCCAATCAGGCAGGTCTGTCATTGATCAAACTGTTTGTTTTTACTAGCCAATCAGGCAGGTCTGTCATTGATCAAACAGCCCCTCATACAATCACAAGCTGGGTTGGCAATGCCTTGTGTATGGACGCAGACAAAGGTTTTGGCCTCTCCAATCTAACCACCCTGGTCACATTCCAGCCCTTTTTTCTTTCACTTCAACTCCCATATGCAGCAGTAAGAGGAGAGAGGCTACCCATCATGTTTACTGTATACAACTACTTAGATAAGTGTCTCCATGTAAGTTTCCACTACACCAACTGTTTTAGAATATAAGGGATTAACTTTAAGAAAAAGAAATCTAAAAAAATCTCTACATTTGCTAAATGTGCTTTCATGTAAGAGACTAAATAAATATCATGAGTTGCCAATAAATAACATGAGTTGCTTGCCTTAGATTCAACTCCATCTTGACATGGGAAGCAACTTTGAAGTTCACAACTCAGCATCAAACAAGGAGCCTATTTGTGTCTGTGGAGGGGACTCTTATACTGCTAAATTTTATGTGACACCCAAAAAAATTGGATCATTGCCCATTAAAGCCAAGGTAATCTTATACTGCTAAATTTTATGTGACACCCAAAAAAATTGGATCATTGCCCATTAAAGCTAAGGTAATCTTATACTGCTAAATTTTATGTGACACCCAAAAAAATTGGATCATTGCCCATTAGAGCTAAGGTAATCTTATACTGCTAAATTTTATGTGACACCCAAAAAAAATGGATCATTGCCCATTAAACCTAAGGTAATTTTATACTGCTAAATTTTTTGTGACACCTGAAAAAATTGGATCATTGCCCATTTAAGCTAAGGTAATTTTATACTGCTAAATTTTATGTGACACCCAAAAAAATTGGATCACTGCCCATTAAAGCTAAGGTAATTTTATACTGCTAAATTTTATACAAAACCCAAACAAATTGGATCATTGCCCATTAAAGCTAAGGTAATTTTATACGGCTAAATTTGATCTAGTTGTCTCCATTTACTGACCAACAAATAATGAATATTTTATTTAGTAAATTTAGGCTACATATCTTGTAGTGGGCCTACCTATTAAGCACTGACATTCAATTTATTTATTAATTTATTCAACACTGGTTACAACAGTAGACAATGGGTGCCTTTGTTCACATTGACCATTTAAAAAAAAACAACATAATAACATAATAAACTAAAAACTACAAAATAACATGGATTATCAATTGACGTACAATCTGTAAAGAGATAAAAAAAATTAGAAATATATATTCATTAGTTAAAAGATAAAATGGCCATTTATAAGGATATATGAGTATGAACTTTCTGTGAATATAAAATTTATAATTGTTAAAGTATATCTACAAAACTGAAATACAATTTATTCCCATTGTAAAAACTTCAGGCAGAAATAATCCCAGGATTTTGCAGCAATACAATTGATGTGGACACCAGCTACATAGGCTTATCTGATGCAGTGGAGAGGACAATGTTGGTCAAGGTGGGTGTCCAACCTACTTTTCTTACATTTCTCAACACTTTATTATTTGTTCTGTTTCATTTTTCTTTCATGTTTTTAATTATTTTATTCCCCAGGCTGAAGGAGTAGAACAACAGTATTCTCACACAATGTATTTGTGTACTAAAAGTATGTAATTCTTATTTAATGCAAGTAAAATTCCTTTGAATTTCAGTCAATTGTTTTCAAACGATTTAGCAAACAGTATAATATTAATGCATGAAAAAATGTTGCTACAATTTTGACCCTCTCAGATGGTGAACAGAAGCAGGAAGATGTCATTCTGCCCATGCCTGCTGATGCTCATATTGTCAGAGATTCTGCTAGGGGAGAGGTTAAGGTTATAGGTAGGATTGAGATTTGTTCTTACATTTAAGTTAGGGGTTAGGCTTTTGATTTAAAATTATGGAGAGGTTAAGGTTATAGGTAGGATTGAGATTTGTTCTTACATTTAAGTTAGGGGTTAGGCTTTTGATTTAAACTTATGGAGAGGTTAAGGTTATAGGTAGGATTGAGATTTGTTCTTACATTTAAGTTAGGGGTTAGGCTTTTGATTTAAACTTATGGTTATAGATGGGGTTTTATTAATTTCGAACAAATATGACAGTAATGACATGATACTTATTCTATTTAATTAGCAACAAATAGTAAGAACATTTTTCTTTTACTATTATTTTGTTTTTAATATTCTTGTGAATCAAAAAACAAGCAGTAATTTAAAATGGCTCATTGAATTTCAATGTTGTTTTTCATGTTTTAATATGTGCATTCTAGCATTAACATTATTTTTAATATGTGCATTCTATCATCAACAAATTTTTTTAATGTGCTTTCTATCATTATTATTTTTTTATATGTGCATTTATCCTTCTTTGTCACAGACAAATTCAACTTTTAATATCTGCATGTCTTAGTGTTTACATCAACATCACCTTTTGCATTCAGGTGATATAATGGGCCCCGCCCTAAATAACCTGGAGCACCTTGTACAGATGCCAACTGGCTGTGGTGAGCAAAACATGGTGGGCTTTGTCCCCAACATCTTCGTCCTCAAATATCTGACCAGCACTGGACAAATCACAGACGAGATCAAGCAGAAAGCTGTTAAGTTTATGGAAATAGGTAGGTCAAGTCACAGGTCAGGTCATTAAGTTTATGGAAATAGGTAGGTCGGGTCACAGGTCAGGTCATTAAGTTTATGGAAATAGGTAGGTCTGGTCACAGGTCTTGTCAAATTATTATATTTATGGAAATAGTTAGGTTGTCGTTAAATTCATGGAAATAAGTAGACTAATAACTGGATGATATAGACTGTTTAATTAGTGCAGTTCATTATAATAACTTTTAATATAGCTTATCAACATTTTTTTTATTTAGAGAAAATTATGACAGAAGAATTATGTTTCAAGTAAAGGCTGCTATTCACACTAAAATAAATAAGCACTAATGTCATTTACTTAAGCAAATTTAAGTTAATTATTTTATAAACCCTGTATGCAATGCAAGTATTTTAGCTCAACTAAACAACCTATCACCCTGCTGTTAGTTTATCTAACACTACTGCCATGTTCTAATCCTAATCAAACTTTGGTTAAACTACAAACCTAAACAAACTTTGGTTAAACTGTAAACCTAAACAAACTTTGGTTAAACTACAAACCTATCAGCCTAAACAAACTTTGTTTAAACTACAAACCTAAACAAACTTAAGCAAAGCTAACTAATGTCCACCAGGGTACCAACGAGAGCTGACCTTCAGACATAACGATGGATCTTACAGTGCCTTTGGTCCCAATGAAAACAACAAGGGCAGCATATGGCTGACAGCCTTTGTGGTCAAGTCCTATGCCCAGGCCCAGCCCTATATCTACATAGACCAGAAGGATCTGACGCTGAGCATGAGGTTCCTACACAGGAACCAGATGGAGACAGGCTGCTACAGGGAGACAGGGAAGGTCCTCAGCTCGTACATGATGGGAGGGCTGGGGAAAGACAAGAAGAAAGGCGAATCATTCACGGCTCTCACAGCTTACGTCATGATTGCTCTCTTGACAGCTGGGGCTGATCCTAATGTAAATCTTACCTCATCTTCTTTACTTAGTTTTTAAAATGTTAATCTTTACTTCATCTTCTTAAGCTAGTTTTTTAAATGTTAATCTTTATCTCATTTTCTTTAGCTAGGTTTTAAAATGTTAAGCTTTACCCCATCTTTTATAGCTAATATTTAAAATTTAAAAATTGAATTACTGTTTGAATTTTAAAACTAAGCACTAAAAAACCCTTTAGTAAATCCCATTTTTATTCAATGTATAAATTTAACAATAAATTTTTTGCTGGTAATGTAAGTTTGTTACCATAACAACTGGAGTATCTCTTCTACCACAGGAACCAGGAATATTTGGTGCTGTTCAGTGCATCAATGAAGCATTTGACAGTGAGAAGGACTCAATGGATGCCTATGTCCTTTCACTAGTAGCTTATGCTTATGCTCTCTACAAACCAAACAGCCCTAAAAGTCTGGAAATTTTAGAAGCTCTTGATGCAAGAGCTCACGTGGAAGGTAATTTTTTAAAAAAATAATTCAAAAGTTGATCTAGATAATTTTTAAAAATTCAAATCAACATTTAATTAGAATATTTTAAACAACACCTAGGCCTACAATTTTTTAAAAAGTTTCAACCATTTTTTTTTTCTTTTTTAATTAAGTAAAAAAAAAAAATCAACTCTTTTTAGTTGAAGTTATTTTTGTTGTTTTCCAGATACACTAAAGTACTGGGGCAAAGATGAAGATTCCAGGCCAAAAAATAATGATCCATGGCATTTTTATGTGGCCCCATCAGCTGAGGTGGAGATGACATCCTATGCCTTGTTGGCCAACCTGATCCACTACGGACCAAGGGCTATAGAAAACACACACAAGATTGCCATGTGGCTGTCAAAACAGAGGAATCCTTTTGGTGGATTCTCTTCAACACAGGTCAGTCTTTTAATTAGTTATATCCTTAGGTTTTAATAAACTAATTATTCCCCTGTAATTTACTTTGTAATCATTTTAATTATCTAATTATCACCTTATTTTTTTAATTAAAGTTTATATAAAATTTACCTTTGATACTTTCAAATGTAACCTTTTTTACATGTACTATACATGAACACCTGATACCATTGATGTTTACTATTTATAACTTATTATCATCAATACAATTATTTTTGCAAACTATTTTTCTCTCAAAAAATTTAATATTTAATCTCCAGGACACAGTGATGGGTCTGAGTGCTCTATCAGAATTTGCCAGTTTGTCATACACTGAAGGAAAAGTAGAAATGAAAATCTCTGTATCAGGCCAAAAAACCAAGCAAGCATTTAGTGTATCCCAGAAAGATGGAACAAATCTCCTGATGCAGTCAGCCCGCATTGGGGTTTTACCAAACAAGATCACGACAGTAGCTAGAGGGTCAGGATGTGCTTTGGTTCAGGTAGGACTGGAGTGGTCAACTGACATTGGTTGAAGATCTAGACTTGGATTTGTAGACTGGCATTGGTTGAAGATCTAGACTTGGATTTGTAGACTGACATTGGTTGAAGATCTAGACTTGGATTTGTAGACTGACATTGGTTGAAGATCTAGACTTGGATTTGTAGACTGGCATTGGTTGAAGATCTAGACTTGGATTTGTAGACTGGCATTGGTTGAAGATCTAGACTTGGATTTGTAGACTGGCATTGGTTGAAGATCTAGACTTGGATTTGTAGACTGACATTGGTTGAAGATCTAGACTTGGATTTGTAGACTGATATTGGTTGAAGATCTAGACTTGGATTTGTAGACTGATATTGGTTGAAGATCTAGACTTGGATTTGTAGACTGACATTGGTTGAAGATCTAGACTTGGATTTGTAGACTGATATTGGTTGAAGATCTAGACTTGGATTTGTAGACTGACATTGGTTGAAGATCTAGACTTGGATTTGTAGACTGACATTGGTTGAAGATCTAGACTTGGATTTGTAGACTGACATTGGTTGAAGATCTAGACTTGGATTTGTAGACTGACATTGGTTGAAGATCTAGACTTGGATTTGTAGACTGGCATTGGTTGAATATCTAGACTTGGATTTATAGACTGGGTTAGGGTTAGGGATCTAGACTTGGATTTGTAGACTGGCATTGGTTGAAGATCTAGACTATGTTGACTAATATTGGACATGTAGATTGGTCTTGTAGTTGTAGACTGACATTGGCAATAGAACTGGACTTATTTGTAGACTGGCATTGGTTGTAGAATTGTACCCATTGGGCTTGATAAAATACTCGGCCCACCGTGAAAATCTGTAATTAGGAAAATAGCAAATATCTTCTCTAATGAGATGCAGAGTACACTTAAACAATACAGTCTTAAAAAAAATTGAAATCAAAAGCTCTTTAGCCAGGATTAGATAAACAAACCCTGTATTTTTTGTCTTCTCATATGCAGCTCAATGTCTTTTACAACAAGCTTCCAAAGGATTTGTTTGCCAAAGATGCTTCAAAGTTCCACCTGAAGGTTACCAGGAAACACTATCGTCATGATGTCAACAAATGTAACATGAGAACTCTTGAAATCAATGTAGGGTAGGTATACAATCAATACAAAATATTTAACAAATGTTGGGTAAATCTCTATTTGATATTGTTGCAGTATTTGATATTTGTTATTGTTGCGGTATTTGATATTTGATGTTGTTGCAGTATTTGATATTTGATGTTTTTGCAGTATTTGATATATGATATTGTTGCCGTTTTTTATATTTGATATTGTTGACCACACCAGATTGTAATCTCTTGACTTGTTCAGAATCTAATTAGACTTGTAGAAAGTATAAACGGCAATTGTACATCTGTTCAGGTCTAAAGAAAACATCAATGCAACAGGCATGGGGCTCGTGATCATTAAAATGGTGACTGGCTGGTCTCCTGTTCCAGAATCACTCACAAAAGTAAGAAAATTTGTGCTCAGTTTAAGTTTTAATTAACTTAATTAACTTTGTATGATTTCAGTATGAAATCTTAATTTAGAAAATTTAAAACCAAATGTTTCTTCCAGTTGAAATCTTTGTCTTTGATGTTGGGACTGAAGAAAATTGAGAACAATGTAGATGACGGCACATTGTCTCTTTACTTTGATGGGGTAAGATCAATTGTCTCTTTACTTTGATGGGGTAAGATCAATTGTCTCTTTACTTTGATGGGGTAAGATCAATTGCCTCTTTACTTTGATGTGGTAAGATCAATTGTCTCTTTACTTTGATGGGGTAAGATCAATTGTCTCTTTACTTTGATGGGGTAAGATCAATTGTCTCTTTACTTTGAAGGGGTAAGATCAATTGCCTCTTTACTTTGATGGAGTAAGATCAATTGTCTCTTTACTTTGATGGAGTAAGATCAATTGTCTCTTTACTTTAATGGAGTAAGATCAATTGTCTCTTTACTTTGATGGAGTAAGATCAATTGTCTCTTTACTTTAATGGAGTAAGATCAATTGTCTCTTTACTTTGATGGAGTAAGATCAATTGTCTCTTTACTTTGATGGAGTAAGATCAATTGTCTCTTTACTTTAATGGAGTAAGATCAATTGTCTCTTTACTTTGATGGGGTAAGAGACAATTGTCTCTTTACTTTAATGGAGTAAGATCAATTGTCTCTTTACTTTGATGGAGTAAGATCAATTGTCTCTTTACTTTAATGGAGTAAGATCAATTGTCTCTTTACTTTGATGGGGTAAGATCAATTGTCTCTTTACTTTGATGTGGTAAGATCAATTGTCTCTTTACTTTGATGGAGTAAGATCAATTGTCTCTTTACTTTGATGGGGTAAGATCTGTCTCCCCTAATTGGTTGTCTTGATGTCTCATCTAATTGGTTGTCTTGCCTCCCATGATCAGCTGAAGAACAGAAAAGTGTTTTCCATAGATGTTGAACAAAACCAAGATTTAGCTGTCTCCAACCCCAGACCAGCATTTGTCAAGGTTTCCCTTTACTATGAGCCTGGTAAGACCACATTTTAAAACATGTCGGATGTGATGATTTTTATTACTACCCTTATATATACATACTCAGTGGTACAGAAATAGAGGATTATTAAGGGTCTGAGAAAAAAACCTCCCAGGAACCCATAAATAACAGCTGTCTCACATTACCCTACTGCTGGTGGTCACTGTCAACTCATCTTACTTTTGTTTCTTCATTCTCAATATCAAAAACTACTATTTTATATTCTTGAAATTGTTCTCAATTAAACATATATATATATATATATATATATATATATATATATATATATATATATATATATATATATATATATATATATATATATATATATATATATTTATATACATTTGTATATAGGCCTACATATATGTGTGTATATATATATATATATACACACATAAGTATTCACACACATATCAGGACTCATGCACATACATCCCCCCCCACACACACACGTTTATAATTTGAAAACACCTCTATAGAAACCTTTTTCTCTATATTTCATTTTTCTCTGTTTCTAGATTTGTATTACGTTGAATCGTATGACATCAAACCTACCTGTGGCACTAAGGAGGAAATCCCCCGTATACCTATACCCATACCAGCTTCAGAACCTCTGATTGGATCATCTGATTTCCCCATGCGTGAGTAGTGTTGATCAGGAGGTGCTGTAGCAAGTTATCTGACCAACAACTATCACATAATCATCATAGCCACATCACTTTTTAACTAACTTAAACTAGCTTTGAGTGCAAAACTAGCAAAAACTAAAGATGCATGCATTAAAAAAATAATTCTGAAATTATGAGTAAAGCAGTTTATTTTGACCATGTTGAAATTTAAACCAATTCGTTGTAAAAATGTCCTTTTTCAGAGACCAGAGTGAGTCCTGCTGACGGTTTTGTAAGTTTTATTTTTTTACGTTAAATGTTACATAATGATGGTAAAATATAGCTAAGATTGACAACTAACTGTTTCACTTAGATTTGTCTCTAAACATTGCAATGACCACAACAGAATAATGACCCCAACAATCCTTCCACAAACAGCAAGTGCCACAAGTCTCTGGCTGCCCTATGTGTATCAAGATTGCTCTTGTGCCAGAAAACTTTAAAGCAAAAGTCTGCAACTCCACAGCAGGTACACACATTATTTATTGTAGCAGTTGATGTCTAGCTTTATATTAGCAGTTGTGGGCCTACACTTGACTAAATGTTTACAATTATTTATTATAGCAGTTGATGTGTACCTTTATATTAGTTGCTGTAGAACTACACGCTGGACAAGCTACCTGGAGGATTAGACTTCAGGCAAACAGGACTAAAGGCCAACTGACCAATGGCCAGTGGTCTAACATATATTCCAGGCAGAAATTATGTTATCATATGAGATATCTGCTAGCCATGTTTAGACGTCTAAAGTCAGTTTTCACACATAGTTGGGTTGTCTACCTTTGGTCCTAGACCAGCATCCAAAGGCCCACAACTCCCATACTTGTTGAAATATAGCTTGAGTTATCTTTCTTGTGGTTTCTATAATGGCAATCAGGACCCACAACTCTGAATCTGCGATTGTGGCCCTTTGTCTGTTCAACATTGTTTACCTAAAAAGCTCTTCAGTTTTGTATTGTGTAGGTTTTGGATTGTTTCATTAGTAGCTAGAGAATTAGACATTTCATGAAAGTTGGATTTGTTTTCATTAGTAGCTAGAGAATTAGATATTTCACGAAAGATTAACCTGTGTTGACTTTAAATTTCTTCAATCCACATAGACAATGTATTTTGCTGTCTTAATTATTTTAAAATAGTTTTGACTTGCATTACTAGGTTTATAATGTATTATTTACATATTCATTATATATGTCATGATGATATATTGATCTACATTGCTTACATCCTATTTTTTACAGCATACAAAGCACAGGTGACTAAAAAAGGCGTCAAACTTCAGCAGAATTTGAGACCCACAAAAATTGTCAAAAGTATCAACATCCTGGCTGAAACTATTCTTCCACAAGGCTGCAAGTGTGATGTCCTCACCCCAGGTAATTACATGTCCTAATGTCCTCACCCCAGGTAATTACATGTCCTCACCCCAGGTAATTACATGTCCTCACCCCAGGTAATTACATGTCCTAATGTCCTCACCCCAGGTAATTACATGTCCTAATGTCCTCACCCCAGGTAATTACATGTCCTAATGTCCTCACCCCAGGTAATTACATGTCCTCACCCCAGGTAATTACATGTCCTAATGTCCTCACCCCAGGTAATTACATGTCCTCACCCCAGGTAATTACATGTCCTAATGTCCTCACCCCAGGTAATTACATGTCCTAATGTCCTCACCCCAGGTAATTACATGTCCTCATCCCAGGTAATTACATGTCCTAATGTCCTCACCCCAGGTAATTTCATGTCCTCACCCCAGGTAATTACATGTCCTAATGTCCTCACCCCAGGTAATTACATGTCCTAATGTCCTCACCCCAGGTAATTACATGTCCTAATGTCCTCACCCCAGGTAATTACATGTCCTAATGTCCTCACCCCAGGTAATTACATGTCCTAATGTCCTCACCTTAGGTAATTACATGTCCTCACCCCAGGTAATTACATGTCCTAATGTCCTCACCCCAGGTAATTACATGTCCTCACCCCAGGTAATTACATGTCCTAATGTCCTCACCCCAGGTAATTACATGTCCTAATGTCCTCACCCCAGGTAATTACATGTCCTCACCCCAGGTAATTACATGTCCTAATGTCCTCACCCCAGGTAATTACATGTCCTAATGTCCTCACCCCAGGTAATTACATGTCCTAATGTCCTCATCCCAGGTAATTACATGTCCTAATGTCCTCACCCCAGGTAATTACATGTCCTCACCCCAGGTAATTACATGTCCTAATGTCCTCACCCCAGGTAATTACATGTCCTCACCCCAGGTAATTACATGTCCTAATGTCCTCACCCCAGGTAATTACATGTCCTAATGTCCTCACCACAGGTAATTACATGTCCTAATGTCCTCACCCCAGGTAATTACATGTCCTCACCCCAGGTAATTACATGTCCTAATGTCCTCACCCCAGGTAATTACATGTCCTAATGTCCTCACCCCAGGTAATTACATGTCCTAATGTCCTCATCCCAGGTAATTACATGTCCTCACCCCAGGTAATTACATGTCCTAATGTCCTCACCCCAGGTAATTACATGTCCTAATGTCCTCACCCCAGGTAATTACATGTCCTAATGTCCTCACCCCAGGTAATTACATGTCCTAATGTCCTCACCCCAGGTAATTACATGTCCTCACCCCAGGTAATTACATGTCCTAATGTCCTCACCCCAGGTAATTACATGTCCTAATGTCCTCACCCCAGGTAATTACATGTCCTCACCCCAGGTAATTACATGTCCTAATGTCCTCACCTCAAGTAAGTATAGGCCTTCATTAATGCACATACTCCGGCTAATTAACCAAAATAGCAATATAAATTAGCTAATTAACCATCAGTCCAAATGTCCTAAGCATGTATTTAACCTTATGTCCATATGTCCTTGGCTGTTACGGGTCATCTGTAGGTCAGGTTAGAATAGCCCAGATGTCTGGGGTAGTGTGTCACTTGATCAGTCAGGGGTAGTGTGATATAAATAGTTGCCTCCCTCTGATATAAAAAGCTTCCCCACTTTGTTCTGATATAAAAAATTTGCCTCCCCCTTTGTGTGTTCCAGATAAAAAAGTTGTGCTCCTTGTGAAGGAGCCTGTCACCAAGGCCAACAATAAGATCCAACTCAATGAAGACGTGACAGTCATCATCGCAGCTAAATCAGTCACAAAAGCTGTTCGAGATTTTCAGAAGTCTTGTCGTCTGACATAGAAGTCTTCTCAGAATTAAATCCGCAGTGCTTAAAGTTCATTTATATGCCTCTTTAACAACGAGAAATTGAATTTAAATAATATAAACACTCTTTTCACTGTTAGCTTGTCAAATTATTCTGTAACGAAACATAAAAATGAGAGTTTCTTAGCGTAAAAGACCTACACAAAGTAATTATATACTAAAACTATTAAAAAGGGTGGATTACTGGTTTCGTATGCAAATAATTTTGGTTTTTACGATAATTTGAGTAAGACGTGTTAGAATAATTTTTGTGAATATTATTTTTGTATTGGTGTTTCCACAGTATTAAAGTTATCTTGATATTATTATCTTAAATGGCCAGAAAATAAATAAACAAGTTTGTTATTTTTTTAAACTTAGTTTTGTACAAAAAATTTTACAATAATTGTGTTATTCAAATGGTGTTTTCTATCATTGTTATGGTGACACTGTAATGGTGTCACTCTACTGGTGTCATTCTACTTTTGTCAATCTTCTTTTGTTTGGTGTAGTGTTATTCACTGTGGATATTTTGTGTAATTCTACTGTTTATTTAAATAAAGCATGTATTTACTGATACATTGTTTTGGATTTGGTTTTACTACTAATTATAGGAATTAGCGGATTTTTCAACAAAAATTGTGAAATGATTAGGTTTTATTATATTTTTAATTGTCATCACCCAACATGAAACATTCTGTACACATAAAAACGATTTAATCACTGAATGAAAGGTTCAAATATCCTAAAAGTGCATTGTAAAGTCTTATAGTTAATTTCGTTTGGTTGTCGCCCTTTACTACCCACAACCCTCGTGAATCATCAAGGCTTGGTTAAAAAGATGAACTCGATAGCCACGAATTTAATTGTTGATTGATACTTGTTTAGGACGTCTGTGCCAGTGTTTGATATGGGAGATAAGTGGGCCGAGTGACTGAACAATGTAGACCTTAGAAGGGGGGGGGGGGGGTGACACTTCTGGAAGGTGAGGGGTGGGGGACACTTCTGGAGGGTGTGGGGTGGGGGACACTTCGGAGGGGGTGGGTGACAACACTTTTGGAGAGGGGTGGGGGACTGGTAGAGGTGGGGGGGGGGCATTTCTGGAGAGTGAGGGGGTGGGGGCACTTCTGGAGGGGGGTGGTTGACACTTGTGGGGGGGAGGGACACTGAATGGGGCGGGGGATGGACTCATCTGGAGAGTGAGGGGTTGGGTGACACACTGGAGGGTAACACGTCTGTCATGGCGACGAAGTGGGAAAAATAAAACGTAAAGTAGTGTAATTAATGTCGACCTCTAATTACGGCGCTGCTTAATTAATGATTTTGCTAATTAATGAGTTGGCTAATTTTAAACAGTTTCTACTCTACTATTTCAGCAACAACCGCCGTAGAACTAGTCATGATTACATTTATTTAAGCTGGTGGTTTTAGGGCTTAGTCTAGCTGTTGTAGGTGGGGTAGGGTTATGACTGGAGCTTGTCTTGCCCGTCTGTTGTAGGTGGGGTAGGGTTATAACTGGAGCTTGTCTTGCCCGTCTGTTGTAGGTGGGGTAGGGCTATAACTGGAGCTTGTCTTGCCCGTCTGTCGTAGGTGGGGTAGGGCTATAACTGGAGCTTGTCTTGCCCGTCTGTTGTAGGTGGGGTAGGGCTATAACTGGAGCTTGTCTTGCCCGTCTGTCGTAGGTGGGGTAGGGCTATAACTGGAGCTTGTCTTACCCGTCTGTTGTAGGTGGGTTAGGGTTATAACAAGAGCTTGTCTTGCCCGTCCACCAACATCCTGGCTGCTTTCTTTCTTGACGGACACCACCGGCTAAGGAGGTGTCTCCCATTAGCCAGGCAGGCATCAACACGGCAAACTCCGACTAACTGGTTTGGGTATTTGTTTGATTACCGTGTACCGGTCGCTTCTGTCCTTCTGTTCTCACCAGGCCTATCTTCCCCCCACTGAATGCAGGGTAAACTAGTACCCCACCGTTCAGTACCCGGCTCGACCGTAGGAGTAGTTAATCCTATTCCAATGTTTTATTGGTTCATTTTGTCAGTGCCATTTTATCATTTTGTCATTGACGAGTTTTCATTTTGTCAGTGCCATTTTTTCATTTTGTCATTGACAAGTTTTCATTTTGTCAGTGTCATTTTTTTATTTTGTCATTGACAAGTTTTCATTTTGTCAGTGACAAGTTTGGTGTTTGTTATGGGTTTATCATTGTACAGAAGTGTAATGGGCGCCAATAGTTGAGTCCTACCGGTTAGCTGACACCTACCCCACCCCTGAAAAGTATACTGCCATGTATCACAGTGCTTAGTACTACAGTATCAATTATATCACAGTGCCGTAGTAGCCTAACTTAGTACTACAGTATCAATTATATCTCAGTACACATTCACAACGTACCAATCATAACACAGTCAGTTTGTCTTTCAGACATCTCTTCGGGGAGGGGGATGGATACTGCCCCACTCACTAAAGCACGCCTACCCCCCTATGGTTTATATAGAAAATATATGCTTTTACTAGTCCCCCCCCCCCCCCCCGGAAAGTTTCAAGTGCTCCCCGGAGAAAAAGTCTGAAAAACTCTACAGTGATTTGTGAGCTACAACTCAATATCGCTAAAATTACCCCCCCCCCCTCACCCACACACACCATCAATTTTAAACTAGCACAAAAACTGTGAAGATTTGCTCAGTAGTTTTAACCCCAGCTTTAATTAGGTCAAGGGCGCTAAACAAACTCTGTATTTCTTTTTCACCAGCAACCCCGAATGGTATAAATAGTGTACATCAGGGGTGTGATGGTGTGGGCGGGGGTGTGGGGGGGGGGGGAGGGGGGTGTGATGGTGTGGGCGGGGGTGTGGGGGGGAGGGGGGTGTTAGGTAGGGGACACCCCCACACGCAATAAACAGCTGTATCACGAAATGCTACAGCCATTGGTGTCTCGCTTTCAGTGTGTCAAATATAACAAAATCCTGCCTACGCCACATGTTTACAACACACCCTTTCAATGGAGAGTCAACAACATAACACAGTTTTATTAAATGGGAAAAGTACATTTGATCAGTTAAATTTCATTGAAGCTTTTAAAACTTTCATCGAGAACAAAAGCAGGAACCAGCTTCGTGTATATTCAGGATGTTATTTCTGTTGTACGAGATATTTTTCATTTTGTTTTTTCCGAAATTTCTCTGAAACTTCCTCTTCGTGCAGTTGTTTCCCTTTATGTGTAGGTAGCTTCCCTTACGTCCCACTTAGCCTATTATTTCTTGCAACAACGTATCGCTGTAGAGCACCCGACTATCAGCCTACTTAGGGCCGGATAACAAAAGCTAGTCTAACTACCGTCGTTTGGAGCGGCTGATATCAGAGTTATCTTTCCTGGGGACTACCCGTCAACAATCAGACACTGTGTGTGGTGTCGCTCTTCGCCGTTTCCACATTCGCCGAATACAACAGGTAATTTGTTATGTGAACCAGTAGGTAACGAAACAGCTAATAATACAGTTAACCCTATTGGGGAACTTTCTACACCCTAAAAGGCATAGACTTAATAGGAAACGGACAACAAACTTGATACTTTTAAATTTCAAGGATACTTTTAAAAATTCAATATAACATATAAGTGCTTTTATTTATTTATTACATATTTGGAAAAGTTATTTTAATTTTGTCATGTGGTGTGAGGGATTATGTTTCTGTTATCTTGCACGTAAGTTGGTCCACACACGTAAGTTGGTCCACACACGTAAGTTGGTTCAGTGGCATACACTGGTCGTGTGATGACTGTGTTGTCTGGTGTCTGACTTCGCACTTGAAACTATGAGGAAGTCGGTGCACTTAAAATTTCCGGGGGGTGTGGGGATGTGGACACTGATTAAAGTAAAAATTTTCTATATACTTTTAAAAATTTCATTTGTGGGAGAGGGGTGGAGACTGTGGACGTGCTTCGCGAGGGGAGAAAATCACCAATCAGAACCACTAATATTTCAGACCAAACAGAACCACTGATATTTTACACCAAACGGAAAACTAATATTTCACACCAAACAGAACCACTAATATTTCACACCAAACAGAACCACTAATATTTCACACCAAACAGAGCCACTAATATTTCACACCAAACAGAACCACTGATATTTTACACCAAAACGGAAAACTAATATTTCACACCAAACAGAACCACTAATATTTTACACCAAACGGAAAACTAATGGTTCACACCAAACAGAACCACTAATATTTCACACCCAACGAATGGTGAACCAGCTGATTGTGTCACCCCTAACTCCCCCCCCCCCCCCCCCCCCCAGCACGACTATACGGTTCAGTAGACAAGCAGAACTCTATGTATTTTCTCATAGTCTTAGACACAACACAGTGTACAGTGGGTTGGGGCGGTGGTGGTACGATAACACACTACCCTTATCTAGTGACGTGTCGTGCTGGGTACGTAGATGGTCTCTGACCTGTTTGTTATTCTGTGACACGTGTTACGTGTGTAGCAGTTTAAGTAGCACACACACGTGGACAGACAGGCACGGGAACACATGTAAACACGGCCAGTCTATAAGTGTTTTACAACGGCAAATATTCCATTCATCCGTCCTTACGCAAGGGGAGCTACTCTTCTCGGCCACAGCTAAACTAATTCCTTTTAGCTAAAGTACAGGTAACAATTTCAAGTTTTTCCTGCACTTAATTTCACATCATCAAGCCGTTTCAGATAGATCATTTTAATTTCTATTTTACATCATCTAGATTATTAGATAAATTGTTAATATTTTACATCACCTAGCCGTTTTAGATAAAATATTATAATTTCTGTTTTACACCGTCTAGCCTTTCATACATGTAATTTACTTTCTGCTTATTCTACTTGTACTTATACTTAAATACCATACCAACGTGTAAACAGACATATTGGACTTTTATACCCAGTAGTTTTAACAAAACAAGAAAAACATGGTGCAATATTTGGTGATTGACTATAGATCTACACACACATTCGATGAACTAACTTTGAAAATTGCCTTAGACTAAAACTTACAATTTCCCCCTACGAGTCCCACACTAACCCAAACCTAAGTTAATAATATTGTTATCGGCATATTCTAGGGTACAGCTAATCTACGAGAGCTTGTGATACTATCATACATATAAAAATATGATACATAAATTGTGCTATCAGTCAAGACGGAACTTATCGCAAAAACTTTGTTTACTGTATCAAGTAAGGCCATGGGTAGGCTAATCGCTACTTAGCTGTTAGTTCACGAAAACACACCAGTAAGGTAGTGGTTAGTTCATCAGTACACCTGTATATAGGTGGTTAGTTCATCAATTTATCAATACACCTGTATGTAGGTGGTTAGTTCATCAGTACACCTGTATGTGGGTGGTTAGTTCATCAATTTATTAATACACCTGTATGTGGGTGTTTAGTTCATCAATTTATCAATTCACCTGTATGTGGGTGTTTAGTTCATCAATTCATCAATCCACCTGTATATGGGTGTTTAGTTAATCAATTCATCAATACACCTGTATGTAGGTGTTTGGTTCATCAATACACCTGTATGTAGGTGGTTAGTTCATAATACACCTGTATGTAGGTGGTTAGTTCACCAATACGCCTGTATGTAGGTGTTTAGTTCATCAGTACACCTGTATGTAGGTGTTTAGTTCATCAATACACATGTATGTAGGTGGTTAGTTCATCAATACTCTTGAACGATTCTAAACAAATAATGAACGGACACGATATATTTTCCAAAAGATTATAACCGTACTTAGTATATTGTGTACACACTGTGTACGTACTGTGTGTGTGTGTGTGGACATGCTACTGTATGTGTGTGTGTACACATGCTACTGTATATGTGTGGAGACACATGCTACTGTGTGTGTGTGTGGACACATGCTTCTGTATGTGTGTGGACACATGCTACTGTGTGTGTGTGGACACATGCTACTGTGTGTGTGGACACATGCTACTGTGTGTGTGTGTACACATGCTACTGTGTGTGTGTGGAGACACATGCTACTGTGTGTGTGTGGACACATGCTACTGTGTGTGTGTGGACACATGCTACTGTGTGTGTGTGGACACATGCTACTGTGTGTGTGTGGAGACACATGCTACTGTATGTGTGTGGAGACACATGCTACTGTATGTGTGTGTGGACACATGCTACTGTGTGTGTGTGGACACATGCTACTGTGTGTGTGTGGACACATGCTACTGTGTGTGTGTGGACACATGCTACTGTGTGTGTGTGGACACATGCTACTGTATGTGTGTGGACACATGCTACTGTGTGTGTGGAGACACATGCTACCTTGTGTGTGGAGACACATGCTACTGTATGTGTGTGGACACATGCTACTGTGTGTGTGTGTACACATGCTACTGTGTGTGTGTGGACACATGCTACTGTGTGTGTGTGTGGACACATGCTACTGTGTGTGTGTGTACACATGCTACTGTGTGTGTGTGTGTACACATGCTACTGTGTGTGTGTGGACACATGCTACTGTATATGTGTGGACACATGCTACTGTATGTGTGTGGAGACACATGCTACTGTGTGTGTGGACACATGCTACTGTGTGTGTGTGGACACATGCTACTGTGTGTGTGTGGACACATGCTACTGTATGTGTGTGGAGACACATGCTACTGTGTGTGTGGACACATGCTACTGTGTGTGTGTGTGTGGACACATGCTACTGTGTGTGTGTGTACACATGCTACTGTGTGTGTGTGTGTACACATGCTACTGTGTGTGTGTGGACACATGCTACTGTATGTGTGTGGACACATGCTACTGTGTGTGTGTGTGTGGACACATGCTACTGTATGTGTGTGGAGACACATGCTACTGTATGTGTGTGGACACATGCTACTGTGTGTGTGTGGACACATGCTACTGTGTGTGTGTGGAGACACATGCTACTGTATGTGTGTGGAGACACATGCTACTGTATGTGTGTGGACACATGCTACTGTGTGTGTGTGGACACATGCTACTGTGTGTGTGTGGAGACACATGCTACTGTGTGTGTGTGGACACATGCTACTGTGTGTGTGTGGACACATGCTACTGTATGTGTGTGGACACATGCTACTGTGTGTGTGTGGAGACACATGCTACTGTGTGTGTGTGGACACATGCTACTGTGTGTGTGTGGAGACACATGCTACTGTGTGTGTGGAGACACATGCTACTGTGTGTGTGTGGACACATGCTACTGTGTGTGTGTGTGGACACATGCTACTGTGTGTGTGTGGAGACACATGCTACTGTGTGTGTGTGGACACATGCTACTGTGTGTGTGTGTGTGTGGACACATGCTACTGTGTGTGTGTGGACACATGCTACTGTATGTGTGTGGACACATGCTACTGTATGTGTGTGGACACATGCTACTGTATGTGTGTGGACACATGCTACTGTATGTGTGTGGAGACACATGCTACTGTGTGTGTGTGGACACATGCTACTGTGTGTGTGTGGACACATGCTACTGTGTTTGTGTGGACACATGCTACTGTGTGTGTGGAGACACATGCTACCTTGTGTGTGGAGACACATGCTACTGTATGTGTGTGGACACATGCTACTGTGTGTGTGTACACATGCTACTGTGTGTCTGTGGACACATGCTACTGTATGTGTGTGGACACATGCTACTGTATGTGTGTGGAGACACATGCTACTGTGTGTGTGTGGACACATGCTACTGTATGTGTGTGGACACATGCTACTGTATGTGTGTGGAGACACATGCTACTGTGTGTGTGTGTGGACACATGCTACTGTATGTGTGTGGACACATGCTACTGTGTGTGTGGACACATGCTACTGTATGTGTGTGTGTGGAGACACATGCTACTGTGTGTGTGTGGACACATGCTACTGTGTGTGTGGAGACACATGCTACCTTGTGTGTGGAGACACATGCTACTGTATGTGTGTGGACACATGCTACTGTGTGTGTGTACACATGCTACTGTGTGTGTGTGGACACATGCTACTGTATGTGTGTGGACACATGCTACTGTATGTGTGTGGAGACACATGCTACTGTGTGTGTGTGGACACATGCTACTGTATGTGTGTGGACACATGCTACTGTATGTGTGTGGAGACACATGCTACTGTGTGTGTGTGGACACATGCTACTGTGTGTGTGTGGACACATGCTACTGTATGTGTGTGGACACATGCTACTGTGTGTGTGTGTGTGTGGACACATGCTACTGTATGTGTGTGGACACATGCTACTGTGTGTGTGTGTGTGTGGACACATGCTACTGTATGTGTGTGGAGACACATGCTACTGTGTGTGTGTGGACACATGCTACTGTATGTGTGTGGATACATGCTACTGTATGTGTGTGGACACATGCTACTGTGTGTGTGTGGACACATGCTACTGTATGTGTGTGGACACATGCTACTGTGTGTGTGTGTGTGTGTGGACACATGCTACTGTATATGTGTGGACACATGCTACTGTATGTGTGTGGAGACACATGCTACTGTGTGTGTGTGGACACATGCTACTGTGTGTGTGTGGACACATGCTACTGTATGTGTGTGGAGACACATGCTACTGTGTGTGTGGAGACACATGCTACTGTGTGTGTGTGGAGACACATGCTACTGTATGTGTGTGGACACATGCTACTGTGTGTGTGTACACATGCTACTGTGTGTGTGTGGACACATGCTACTGTGTGTGTGTGTACACATGCTACTGTATGTGTGTGGACACATGCTACTGTGTGTGTGTGTATACATGCTACTGTGTGTGTGTGGACACATGCTACTGTATGTGTGTGGACACATGCTACTGTATGTGTGTGGAGACACATGCTACTGTGTGTGTGTGGACACATGCTACTGTGTGTGTGTGTGTGGACACATGCTACTGTATGTGTGTGGACACATGCTACTGTGTGTGTGTGGAGACACATGCTACTGTGTGTGTGTGTACACATGCTACTGTATGTGTGTGGACACATGCTACTGTGTGTGTGGACACATGCTACTGTGTGTGTGTGGAGACACATGCTACTGTGTGTGTGTGGACACATGCTACTGTGTGTGTGTGGACACATGCTACTGTGTGTGTGTGGACACATGCTACTGTGTGTGTGGACACATGCTACTGTGTGTGTGTGGAGACACATGCTACTGTGTGTGTGTGGACACATGCTACTGTATGTGTGTGGACACATGCTACTGTATGTGTGTGTGTGGACACATGCTACTGTGTGTGGAGACACATGCTACTGTATGTGTGTGGACACATGCTACTGTATATGTGTGGACACATGCTACTGTATGTGTGTGGACACATGCTACTGTGTGTGTGGACACATGCTACTGTGTGTGTGTGGAGACACATGCTACTGTGTGTGTGTGGACACATGCTACTGTGTGTGTGTGGACACATGCTACTGTGTGTGTGTGGACACATGCTACTGTGTGTGTGTGGAGACACATGCTACTGTATATGTGTGGACACATGCTACTGTGTGTGTGTGTGTGGACACATGCTACTGTGTGTGTGTGTGGACACATGCTACTGTGTGTGTGTGGACACATGCTACTGTGTGTGTGTGGAGACACATGCTACTGTGTGTGTGTGTGTGGAGAC